ACGTATAGAAATTAACGATGTATAAACGAAGATTAGATTTTAGTTTTCATATTTTTAATATTGGCAGAGGATTTTTCGAAGAATGTGTAACATCATCGAAAGTTCAGGGTTTTATAAAGTTGATATTGATATTTTTTTCGCTATGGAAAGTGATGAAACTTACTGTTGGCTGTTGCCGAGTTTCTGAAAGACATGCTTATGATATGGTGCAGATTTCTGTTCGAGGCTACAAAAATGATGAGTACGTTCCATGAGTCTTTTTTCATCACCTACTAACTTTTTTTATTGATCTTCATTAACCCTTATGTTCGTAACCGATGAACAAAATTATTCAATCATAGCATGACAGTTCAGTATCAAGTTTTTTTGCAATTTTCAATCAGTTGAACCTTTTCCTCACAAAATAGTTAATTATATCTACACAAAAATCAAGAAAATAATGTTACAATTCTGAATCATTAGGAGTATTTATTATTAATTAGTTTATAATGGGGAATAGTAATACAGGGTGCGGCACCGAAAACGAAACAGAGGCTCTGTAGGTCGCCAAAACCGGATTATCAAAAAAAACTGAAACAGGTCAACTACATTTTCGAGGGGGACATCTTTCTAAAATATTTTCAGCCCTGCGGCGTTGCCGCTTCTAAAGAAAAGAAGCAACAACTTTGTTATTTCAAATGGAACACCTTGTATTTCATTGCATTTTTAGATTCTCCCCGAAGAGCTGATTTCATCAATGCATCACACTTGGGGTCTAGCTGTAATGGTTTCAGGGATATAAAGTGTTCAAAATCGAGATTTTTCAACTTTGACTTTTTTTTGTGTCGAAACTATTCATTATTGGTCGAAACGGCTCTCATGTCCCTATCTCAACTTGTGATTTACTATCTACTGACATTTATTTGAAACAAATACAGGGTGGTTCAAGATTCAGAATTCTGATCACCCTGTATTTGTTTCAAATAAATGTCAGTAGATAGTAAATCACAAGTTGAGATAGGGACATGAGAGCCGTTTCGACCAATAATGAATAGTTTCGACACAAAAAAAAGTCAAAGTTGAAAAATCTCGATTTTGAACACTTTATATCCCTGAAACCATTACAGCTAGACCCCAAGTGTGATGCATTGATGAAATCAGCTCTTCGGGGAGAATCTAAAAATGCAATAAAATACAAGGTGTTCCATTTGAAATAACAAAGTTGTTGCTTCTTTTCTTTAGAAGCGGCAACGCCGCAGGGCTGAAAATATTTTAGAAAGATGTCCCCCTCGAAAATGTAGTTGACCTGTTTCAGTTTTTTTTGATAATCCGGTTTTGGCGACCTACAGAGCCTCTGTTTCGTTTTCAAAGGCCCACTCTGTATGTTGTTCAATTACTAGTTAATTATATCTACACAAGAATCAAGAAAATAATGTTACAAGTCTGAATCATTAGGAGTATTTATTATTAATTAGTTTATAATGGGGAATAGTAATATAATTCCCATTAGATTATGATCTTTTTTTGGCTTTTTTGTGAGGTATCTAACACTTGAAATGAATGGTTAGGTTCAATGCTCGCTGGCAACAATATTAAACTACAGACTGGGATTCTTTTTATACAGGGCGATCAATTCTTAATAAAGAATATTATTATTCTTCGTGGGACCAATCAAAATTCGTGAACGTATTTATTAGAGCAAATGCAACTTGATCATACTGAATAAAAATCACCGTAACCACCGATTATTTACATATTTGAAAATTAAGGTTTTTTTCTCTCATTGAGATAATATTCGTATTAGCATTGTTCAGCGAGTATGTCCCTAATCTCGATTGTCACATAAAAAAACTTGATCTTTTTTGCTGGTTTCTCAACGTTTCGTCATATTGCCAAATACCATCTTCCGAATACTTACGCTAAATGGTTCTTTAGGTTGCCCGCAAATTGGCAATGGTTGAAGCTGATTTGGAACGTGCTGAAGAGAGAGCTGAAAGCGGAGAATCGTACGTGTCTGTTTATATATTGAGTGTTCGTGAATTTTTCGGCATGTATGGTATTCAGTGTTTTTTTTTCGATTTTATTTGCAGGTTGGAGGTTCCTGAAGAAGTTGCAGCCGTATTTTTGTTCATTATAATTTTTACCAGTGCCTAGATACTGTATTATTTTGGACTTCCCTCAAGGTATTTTTGTATTTCCAAAATTTCATTGTATAATGAAGTTACTGTCATTTTATCGTTTCAAAAAAATAACAATCAGATTCAAGGAAGAATACTACGAACTGGTACAAATATCTTTTTTTTACGAGTCAACCAAACCTTGCTTTCAATGGAACGATTTTTTATTTACTTCGTTGAAATCCACTATTTTTTTCTCAATTCAACAATGTAATGTTCAATTAAGTATCTTTTTTGTTTAAAATTTGTGAAAACTTGAATCGATCATGAAAAACAAAGAAATGGGTTTGTGTGTAGTGAAAATAAAACTCAAATATCAACTTGTGAACATCGTTAAATTTAGAAAAAAATGGTACCCTCGTACCAGTGTTCCACACCATTATACTTCGAAATGGATTGAAAATGGCGAATTTGAATCTTGCTACGTTTTTTATAATAGGTACCTCATGTATTCATTAAATGCTGTTGAGGGTCCTAGTAATACAGGAATCTGTGTACTTGATTTTACAGTGTTCTTTTTCATTTTACCCTAATTTTGAAGTCTGTTTAGCAACAAGAACCGTTTTAATTACTGTCTGTAAGTTAATCGAGGAGGTACTTGATTTTTTGAGATTTTCTCCTCGTTTCTATAAAATAAAAATATGCGTATTATTTCAATATAAGGAGGTCAATCCATTAACCATATATTCCTTGAACGAAAACAATATGAGTTTCTAAATACCATTTTTCATGTTTGCCCTTCATACTCGATATACCTACAGGGTGGAAATTACAAACTGTTTTTTTATAATTACTCGCGTATTTAATAAGATCAAAATTGGTACATTACTTCAGCACAAAGGGTTACATCGTGTGAGGAAAACAAAACAGAAAATAACTGTCAAATATTCATAATACAGGGGGTCAAGTACACACTTACCCCCATATTTTTTTTGTACGTGTGCTAATGATTTCAAATCTATTTTTGTTCAAGTGTTCAATCATTTTTGAGTATTTTTTGTCTCTTGTTAAATTTCTATAAAATTATTTGTTTCTGAGATAATTTGAAAAGTATTGGTTATTGTTTGATGCCTATGCGGCTTACACTAATCTCATAATGTTCACATACACTATTTTTTTTCGTCGAAATTGGAAGAGGGCGTAACTTTTTACGTACGGAAAGGAAATATGGAAATACCGGGTGCTCAGAGCGAATGTATTGAAATAATTTTTACAAAAAAAAAAAAATTGATAGAAATTCAACGTCTAAATGAATTGATATGACCTACAATTTTTTGAATGCACATGCGAGCCCTTTTGATTAAAGAAAATCTTAGCCTTTTTTAGTCTACAAATGAGTAAAGACTGAAGACCACAGTACAATATCAAGAAAAGACATATCGATAAATCGAAGCTAGCTGAACATATCCTTACTGAAGATGGACAACATATGGCAGAGTGGAATGATATCAAAATCATAGGAAAGGAAGATGATAACCAAAAAGAAAAATCAAGGAATCCACTTGCATTCTTCTGAACGGAGACAATATCATTGCTTCCTGTTCAGTTGATATACAGGGTGTCTGTAAAAGGTCTTTACAAAAACATACCACATATTCCCTACACCAAATTCAGTCGATTTAAGTAAAATTACCTCGGTACAAAGTTACATCGTTTGGGCTCCAGAGGGCCTTGAAGTTACAATTTTTAAATCGTTTCTCCCATATAAATTTGAAACGGCATATGCGATTTTGCTTGGTATATTGATAGAGTTTTATGTGGCAAAAAAAATGGTGTTAAAATTTTGTCCGATAATAATACATAGGCGTAGAACTTGATTTTTTGAATAATTGCACCTTTAAAAATTCTACGTCAATGGAAGAAAAGGAGTTTGAGTATAAAATTCAGATTGCGCAACTCATTTATACTTTAAAATGGTACTCTTGATAAGACTCGATTGTTTTCATGGTTTTGACGAAATTTACATTTTAGTAATTTTAGAACATAAACAATATTATGTCTAGGGAATATGTGGTATGTTTTTGTAAAGACCTTCAACAGACACCCTGTAGATAGAACATGGTAGATTCAAGATCAGTTAATGAAAAACTCATTTGTAGACTAAACTCACTCATTCATATGCCAACATCAGTATAACATTGAAAAGTGTCAATCTATAAGCAGAGCACAACTTCCAATGAAACATATTTTCATTTTCATGTTGAGAACGGGGGCAGATTCGTTTCTGAAACGTCCAAAGATAAGTGAAAATTCGATATTTTTTCAATATATTTATATTTCTTTCCTTCAAACAGTTTTTCAAACAAAGTGTCACTGACAAGATTCTGGATATTTCTTTTAGGCTCCCTGACAGAAAAATTTGTTTAACGTAGTGACATTTTGGGGCAAATCATCTGATTTGTCCCACCACAAATATATCAAAATAATACGCATATTTTTTTTTATGGAAACGAGTAGAAAAAATCCCAAAAAATCTGGAATAATGGATGTACCACCTCCTCGATTAACCTCCCATCCCAAAGAAAGAACTGTTTTAATCACACCTAATTTTTTTTTTTTTCAATAGTCTTGCATAGATTGACTCAATATCGAGAAAGTGCATATTTTGAATCAATCGTTCCATATGATTGACCTTCCATGAAATAAATGTCCAATTGAACCGATATGGAAAATCTAATAACCATATTAGGTCAAAGCCTGGTCGTAAATTGTTTCTAAAGGCCCTTGAATAGATCCGATAAACTAAACAGACTTCGCATGCTATGTGAGACACTTACATTATTCTCCTCCAGCTTTTTTTCTATTGGTTTTTAATTGCTTGCCGCATGTTTGCAATGTTGCCAGGTCGCCAGAAAGTTGGTGTTGATGGAGCAAGACTTGGAGAGATCCGAGGAAAGGGCAGATCAAAGCGAAAGGTTCGAAGCTACGCCATTTTCAGAGTTTATATTACAACATATTGCTCACTCTGATGACGATGAAAACCCCACCCGAATTCTACAAAATTATTTTGTTGTGTTCTTGCACTCGTGTTTTGAATGTACAGCCTGTTTGGCCTACATAAATTTTTGGATGATATCGTATTATTGAGTAATCTATCAATCTCTTGTGAGTAGCGCAATATTTTGTAATATAATATCTGAATTGAGAGTTTTACATTAGAGTAGTTATGCGGGAGCCGAATTTGATCACCTAGTTGTTCAAGTATCTTTTGTGTGGGTTCATGCATTCCATTTAATTCAATTGAACCTTTTCATCTAGTATACTGTGAATTATTAGTAATAATTAGTATATTTTATGGCTCTGTGTGTCATAACGTCATCAGAATTTTTATCCAAATGCTTCAGTTTTCTTTTTGTCAATCACTAAACATTTGATTCAAGTATTATTAACCTTTTATTTTGATTACTACAACATTGTTATTGAAGATAATTTTACTCTATCAATTATAGCTAATTATTCAATTGGTGATCTCATTTTGATTTTTGTGATTCTTATGATTATGATAAATGAACTTCTTTGTTAATACTAATCAATATTATATTTTATTCAGCAAAATCGTGGAACTTGAAGAAGAACTTCGTGTTGTAGGCAACAACTTGAAATCCCTTGAGGTTTCAGAAGAAAAGGTGAGTTCTATTATACTTTAGTTTCTCACAACTGTCTAAAAATTATTTCAGCATACCATTTTGGTTGAGATTACTATGTTTCTCGGTTGTTATCAAAGATAGAACCTTGCGGTTTTCACGTTCCAGTCATACTTTTTTCTGTGTATCTCCAGACTCATCAGTTTTTGCATAACTTTTTCTGTTTATAATGTACAGGGCGAATTTTGAAAAATTTATAATTTTTGTCTACTTCTATATCTACGGAGTAGATCTAGATCTACATCTAATGAAGAAATCTGCTCTGCGCAGAATCAAAAACAAACGAGAAACCTTCAGTCTCAACCAAACCAGGCTGTTCCCTATTCGATGTCCTCACGATATATCTCACTTATCTTTGAAGAACATTTCCATAGCTCGCTTCGTTTTTGAGATACATGGCAAAATTGAAAATGTTGCATTTTGGGACTCCTTCTGTATCTCAACTATCTCTCAACTTATAGGAAAAGTAAAAACTACCACCTAAACAGTTTTTCCCTTGGAATCCAGTGGCGTAGTTAGATTGTCAAAATAAGCTGTTATTATTCAGATATAATCCATAGTTATGTTTTTTTTAATGGAACACCCTGTACATTTTTTTCATTTTTCAATTATTCATGCTTTGCCCTTTCCAAAAATATACAATACTTATAAGATATTTTAAGTATTCGCCTTGAATTTGGATAATTTAAATTTTTTGAATATATTTCTTATTGATCTGCCTTGTAAATGTGTAGCAATATTTTCAATATCATGAATTTTCATATTAACCCTGTTGCTGATAGAGTGTTTCGTCACCCACTACGTCCCACTTTGGGGAAATAAAATACCGACTTGATTTTTGTTTGGCTAGGCTACGCTTAGTCGGCGGTCTTAGGACTACTGCGTGGAGACAGCCCTGACCTGATGAGGGTCAAAGAGCTCGAAACCCGTCTGTAGGTGTCTAGCGTCGCCTGGCTAAATCGAAATCAATAGGCATTCAGGAAAGAATCACTTGTATCAGTATTCGTCTATATACGAGTCGATGCATAGATTTCGGGAGGATGTAAATCAATGTTCAGGAAAGTAGTTGTTTTTCTCCCGACATTTACCATTGTTGTTCATTTCATGTGGATATGACTGAGCTTTTTGTATTTATTCAAATTGTAAATGGTTTGAATTCGAGGCGAAAGCGCAAAGCATCAATGTTTCAAATAATATGAAAAAACATACAGGGTTTTCCATTTAAATAAAACATAACTTCGGGTGATATCCAGTTATAATAGCAGCTTATTTTAAACATCTGACTAGGCCACTGGATTCCACGTGGAAAACTGTATGAGTGATAGTTTTTACTTTTCCTATTAGTTGAAATTTAGCTGAGATACAGGGGAGGTCCCAAAATGCAACATTTTAGACTTCGCCCTGTATCACAAAAACGAAGTGAGCTATGAGAATTTTGTTTGTGTATCCATATTAATCCCATATTGAGATCTAGCTCTTTGAATTATTGTATGGTTCTAAAAACCTAATTCCTTCAATAATAATTGACACTTTTGGGCAAAGAAAAACCATACTGAATGGTCCTATTCATTATACATGCCGTCACTGAATTCATATTGAATGTAAAAATTCCACAAATGATAAGATTTTCACCAAATTCTCAATAGTACGACATGTTTCGCTAACACAGTAGCTTCCTCAGATGAAATACTGTTACAATATTTATTTTCACCTGAAGAAGCTACTGTGTGAGCGAAACATGTCATGTGATTAAGAATTTTGTAGAAATATTCTCGTTTGCATGTGAGGTTTTCACAGTTATAACACATATTATATTCGCACATATATTTTTTATTCATGAGTAGTGTTGTTGGTAATGGAACCGACAAAAAATCGTCTTCATGCATAAAAATAGAGTTTATAACGTTATAAACGAATGAAAGAGAGAATTATTAGAAGATATTCAGAACAGAGTGGTATTTTGCTAGACTATTTCACGTTCATGAAGCATAAAAAGCATTATAACTCCACTGTGTCGTAAGGGACCTAAATTAATTTTTGCACCACTCCTCACGCTATTTTTTGTAAATAATGAGTCTTTGCGTTGTTCAAAATCGTTGAATTTCAGAGCTCATTTCAAACGCAACGTCATGGCCGCCATTTGGTGACGTCAGTTTTTATGCTGTTTCGTGATTGGTCAGATAATCTTCCATTTCAACTCATGAAGCAAGGTTGCCGAGTCACCAATGATAATCCTGTCGTTGAATAAAACATAATAGGAGGAACCAATGATATTACAGGTGACTCTTGACTTTATCGAGCAACCATCTTGTCCAAATATTTCTTATACTTCATAACAAAATATTATGAATATGTTGGAGATTCGGCAACATTGTGCTGAATGCTGAGAACTGACAAGACCACGCCCACAAGTCGTGCGCCGTGTTGTCACGTTTACCCGAGCGTTTACCAGTGCAAATGTCCTCTAGTTTGAATTAATATTATTATTATTTACACAAATGTATTATAACCAATCCTAGCCGTTTGAAAATTACCGTGGCATTATTGATGATTTTGGCACATTGAAATCGACCGAAAAATTCTGAAAAAATATGAAACTGAAAGGTATCTGAGTGATGATTCTATTTAATATATAAAAAAAAATTAGTCCACTTGCTTATTGAAAGACACCTCATGTTTTCGCGATAAGCAGACATTGTCTCTGGCTTGTGATTGGTCAGATTACATGATGAGTGAAATAGTTAAAATAAATTATTTGACTCCAAAAGCACACAACATGTTTTGTTGAACATTTTCAGATCACAACTCGATGAACGTGGATATACCGTCTCGAGTTGAAACTTTAGAATCAAAGGAAGGAAACTGTAAAGATTGTTAGCAATATTTCTCCTAAATTTTCATGAGCTCCAAACTCTCAGCTGATCACAAATTTGATGAATTACCATTCAACAACACTATTCATAGGTTTTTTTTGCCAGTGTTTAGTACTTTGACCCTACATAGTTATTTGGTACTTGTATTACCATATATAAAATAATATTTGATTTATTATCAACATAACGACGTTGTTGAAACATAAGAATCAATCAATAAAGTTCAGGAGAAATTGCAATCGACTGCAGTTCCTCTCCTATTAATCATTTCACCAGTTTCCATCAAACAATCGTAAATATAGAGATCCGGCTCGAAGGACCACTATGTTCGATGATTTGGTGATGAGTGGACTGTATATTTATGATTGTGATAAAAACTGATGATGATGATAATACGACAGAAATTGGAATCGATTGCAATGTCTCCTGAACTTCATTGATTAATTCTTATGTTTCTACAACACGTCATCATGTTGTAACTATACGTACTAAACAGCCAGGAAAGATTATTTTAATGCCGATGAAACTTCAGAGACTATTATAGCCGTTTTTTGTTGTTGATAATTTTTGAAAATTTATTTAGGCCAACCAACGTGAGGATGAATACAAAAACCAAATTAAGAACCTTACCACCCGTCTAAAGGAGGTATACAGATGCAGTGTTTCTTCTAACATTGCTCCTCTAACCTCGTGTTGTTTTCCTTTTGTTTTTTTTTTTAGCATGAAGCAAATACTCGGTACTTAATACTCAGTATCCATGCGTTGTTTTAATGTTTTTTTTTTTATTTGTACTAACACAGGCCACACGTAAAGAAGACGAATATTCGATAACGTTAAAACAGGTGGAGCAACAACTACAAGAGGTAATTTTTTGGTAAAAAAAAAGAGAAGATGAATGCGTATGTTCTTAGTTGACTTCACTTGTATATTGTAGCAGATTCTTTCGCCATGTGGATAGTCATCGTTCATCGGGCATATTCCTTGTATTTCTGTGTATACAGGTTGAATCGACGGTGTATTCTCGAAAGATAGCGGTATTCCAGTTTATTGAAGTACATGAATTTATTTTGAGATAGTTCATTATTCATTTGAAAATTGCAAACTCATTCTCCAAATACGCAAATCTCAATGTTGTTGAATTGTAGTCAGGGCAATATTTTCCCTGTTGAATTGTCCTACGCTTTAATTATATCGAATCTGCAATGTTTTAGAATGAGGACTGCGTTCCAGTAAAATTTTCAATAACTTGGTTCATCATGATAATGAAAGTTTTCCAATTCTTCAATAATTTCAAATGCCTCCCGTTTAGAATGAGAAAAATTCGATTTATCAAACCGATTATATCTGGAGTCAGCGATATGTTCTTTAAATCGTGAGACTTTGCTTCCACGTGTTTGCCCAATGTATTTCACGTTACAAATAATTCCAAAATGTGCCTTCAATGAGCTCAAATATTCTGATGTATTTTCGGTACTTTTCTTTCGAATATCATGGCCGCCATCTTTCGAATACACACTGTTGACTCCTGTATCCGTACGCAATTTGGGGATTCATTGATTCTCTACCCTTTATGCTCCTGTTATACCCTTTCTAGTATGTTTTTCAGCATGTCATTAGTAAACTCTATGTATGTTTAGGCTGCTGTCACGAGAGAATATAGCGAAGACAAAATCCGTAGCATCTCAGATAAATTGCGTGAAGTAAGTTTCTTGGGCGTATTTTCTTCTTTAGTTTCCGGCCTGGTCAGTTTACTCTGTGGAAAGACATTCTGTTATTTCACAGAAATCGTACCGTATTGCAGTTTCGATCAGTTATTCAGGAAAATTAATATTGGGGAAAAATAAAAAAATGTTTAGTTGATCGAACAGTACGTTGATTGATGAAGAGATGAAAATAAATTCCGAAAAGTATACTGTTTTTGGTTGCCGGAAATGTGATCGAAATCATTAGATCGAACTTCATTTGATCGAAAATCGATTGATCGAAAAATCAAATGATCGAAGATGATGATCAATAATTGATCGAACTACATTTTGATCGAATATAATCATTTGCATATAATATTCAAATTACCGATTCGTCTCAAACCCTTTGTATAGATTCTAGGAATTAATTGATATGGAGGATTTTACTGTGAGAAGCTGTGACGAGTATAACTTCAAATATACTTTCTAGGAAGAAGGTCCATTCAGGCCGAGTTAGGTTAGATTGTTTAGGAAAAGTAGTATCCTTTAGCACAAAATGAAAGAAAACAAAAACTGAGTAATATTGTGATAAGTCAAATCCATGTTTATAGCAAAAAAAAAGGAATATTGATTTAAACATGATGATGATGATGCTATACTAGATTGCTTGAAGCACCATATTAATGAATGTATATACAGTGTGTCCCACTTACCATGCTCACCATGGGTATCTTTTTAACGGTGAGAGATACGAGGTCGGTTAAATGACACCAAATGTGGAGTTTGTCAAGGCCAACTATAATGTGAAAAAATATTTTGATAAAATCTATTCGTTTTTGTTTTATACGCAAAAAACATATTTTGATCATTTTCATTTCTCCTCCGTAACTTCTTTATTCATGAAAATATTCAAATAGGAATTTCACATTCTCATAGCTGTTTTTCAAAGTGATTTCGAAAAAAATATGAAATTTATACCAACTCTTCTAGAATTTTAGATATCAGCACCAACTTTAGTTTTTCGAATGTAGGTCTAGGCTCACTATGACTTAGTTACAAATAACTTTTTTTTCTCTCACAGATGATATGTCGCAGTAATAGTTTTGTGTTGATGACAACGGAGTTATCGTCATTTATACAAAAACAAAAAATTGGAAGCCGCCATCATGAATTCATGCATTTTAACAAAAAAATCATGATCTCCGACCTCAAGAACCCCCACTCACCAATTTTGAAAGGAATCGGACCAAATCTTGTCCGCCATCTTGGAGCAGCCATTTTTTTAAATTTCAACAAAAATTGCAGAATGTATTGTCACCGAAATTATGAACACCTGCCAAATTTCAAGTTAATCGGAGTTATGGAATTTTTGTTGGAATTTAAAAAAATGGCTGATCCAAGATGGCGGACAAGATTTGGACCGATTCCATTCAGTATTGGTGAGTGGGGGTTTTTGAGGTCGAAGATCATGATTTTTTCGTCAAAATTTATAAATTCAAAATGGCGGCTTCCAAATAATTTTTTGTTTTTGTATAAATGACGATAACTCCGTTGTTATCAACACAAAACTATTACTGCGACATATCATCTGTAAGAGAAAAAAAAGTTATTTGTAACTAAGTCATAGTGAGCTATGACCTACATTCGAAAAACTAAAGTTGGTGCTGATATCTCAAATTCTAGAAGAGTTGGTATAAATTTCATATTTTTTTCGAAATCACTTTGAAAAACTGCCATGAGAATGTGAAATTCCTATTTGAATATTTTCATAAATAAGGGAGTTACGGAGGAGATATGGAAATGATCAAAATCTGTTTTTTGCGTATAAAACAAAAACGAATGGATTTTATCAAAATATTTTTTCACATTATAGTTGGCCTTGACAAACTCCACATTTGGTGTCATTTAACCGACCTCGTATCTCTCACCGTTAAAAAGATACCCATGGTGAGCATGGTATGTGGGACACACTGTATTGAATAAACAATGCTTAATCATTCTAGGTAGCTTATTTTTTATCAATATCTGCAATATTTTCGTAGGGGTAAACTGACCAATCTAAACGCGAATACGAATTATCATTTGAAATAATTTATCGGAATGAAACTATTCAAAGCTTAGAATTAGCAAAGTATTATCTAGTTGTTTCATTTTCTTATTGAATGAATGCTGTACAGGTATGAATTAGTTGAAAATTCCATCTTACTCCCAACCTTTTATCATCAATCAATCAATCAATCACAGCTTCCTTCAGTCACTGCTTTCATTGAACTGGTGTAGGCGATATCATTTCGCACAAATTTTCACAGTCGAGTAAATTTGTAAGTATCTGTATTTTGTGAGAAAAATGCTTTTTTGCATGTTAAGCTTTATGATGTATGAGTTGAGCTTTGTTTAGAGTAACAGAGAGGTGATTAGAAGTATAGTGGGATCAAATTCCAGCTATTGGCAAACATTTTTCTTTGTTATTTCTGTTGGAAAATGTTGACTAAGCTTGTTTTCATCAAATTATGTTTTGTAATACCGTATATAAACACATTCGTTTGTACTTGTTAATTGTTGTCAGTGTGATTAATGTGTTAAATTAACTGTGAATGATAAAAACTATTTCATAATACAATCAATGACTAATATTGGAGTTCATTTAGTAGGTACCTACTCATCTTCTTTATAATTAATATCACAGGATATTTCAGGTTGAAGTGGCATGCTAGACAAGATTAGATTTTTTCTGCAACCGACACAAAAGTCGTCCATTTTGATACCAAAATTAGCTCTTAAATTGACGTTTCTATTACTGACACAAACATAGGTATGTTGCTAGGCAACATATTTAGTTCCTAGGAGCTAAAGATCTTCTAAAATGCTCCTAGGTTTTGTCACTTAATCACAACACAATTCTTTTATGATGGTACATGGTACCCTCATTTAAAAAAAAATGTCTTGTTCTAAAGTTGTATTCACCATACTTTTAACCCACCTCTCAACTGTAATGCATTCTTTTTTTATAATTCAGTCGTGTTTCATGCTTCATTTGTCGCATATTTTTGTACGTAATTTTTGTGCCGCTTTTCCAAATTCCTGTGGAATAATAATAATCTGTAATACTTGAATAGTGATTGAAAAATCAGTTACAATTCATTCAATTCTATGAATATGTATTGAATACATTCTATTTTATTTATGCACATGAGGAAAAATTCAGAATCCTGATTATCAACTCATTCATACAGGGTGGCCCACGGTCGATGGTACCTTAGACGTATACGGAAAACTGTACATTGGATTATCCTGAAAATTTGGTTACTCTAATAAGCCTTTGTGATCTAACGATTCAAAACATTTTCAGCGAAGCAGCGTTGCCACTTTTACCAAAAAGTAGCATCATCTTTGTTATTTCAAACGTAACACCTTGTATTTTATTGCGTTTTTAGATTCTTCTCGAAAAGCTGATTTCATCAATGCATCACACTTGGGGTCTAGCAGGAATTATTACAGAGATATAGGGTGTTCAAAATCGAGATTTTTCAACTTTAGGATTTTTTTGTGTCGAAACCATTCATCATTGGTCAAAACGGCTTACATGTCCCTATATTAACTTTTGATTAACTATCTACCGACATTTTATTGGAAAAAATACAGGATGGTCCAAGATTCAGAATTTTGATCACCCTGTATCTGTTCCAATTAAATGTCAGTAGATAGTGAATCAAAAGTTGAGATAGGGACATGTAAGCCGTTTTGATCGATAATGAATAGTTTCGACACAAAAAATTCCTGAAATTGAAAATCTCGATTTGAACACCCTATATATCTGTAATAATTCCTGCTAGACCCCAAGTGTGATACATTGATGAAATCAGCTCTTCGAGAAGAATCTAAAAACGCAATGAAATACAGGGTGTTCCATTTGAAATAACAAAGATGATGCTACTTTTTGATGAAAGTGGCAACGCTGCATCGCTGAAAATATTTTGAATCGTTAGATCACTAATGCTTATTAGAGTAATCAAATTTTCAGGATAATCGAATGTACCGTTTTCCGTATACGTCTAAGGTACCATCGACCATGGGCCACCCTGTATATTATATTCCTTCCATGTGTGTTTCTCGAATGATAGTTTATCATTGTCAATAATAAGGATCTTTGCTGAAATTATATATCAACTGATACAATAATTTGGTTCGTTATCTGATTCTAATCATTTCAGTGCGAATTATTTTATTCCGCAGCAATGTTTTTTTATCAAACGTAATAATTATATTTTGATTAAATAAATTTTACTTTTCGTGTAGGCCGAAGCCAGGGCTGAATTCGCAGAACGCTCTGTACAAAAACTCCAGAAGGAAGTCGACAGATTAGAAGGTAAGTTTTGTTTGGAAGTTTTTTTTTGTTCGTCACAATTTTTTTTTTGGTTTAACAAAATGTTGATGCACTTCATTGCCGATCATATTTCTTGATATACAGGGTGAATTTCTTGATTACCTACCGCAGACTTTAACTCTGAAGTAAAACAAAAAATGTTTTACCATTTCGAAATCCACAGTGACCTACCCTGGTAGTTTCTCCGAGTATGAAGTCTAAGTTAGCTATTAAAAACGGTCAACGTATGTATCGGCCAAAATTGTGTTTAAAAGAATTACCTTGACTTTTGAACCACCCTGTATACAGCGTGTCTCACTTCAAACGCCCCCCCCTCTATATCTCAGTTATTAGTCATGCGATTCCAACCAAATTTGGTGTGGTATGTTTAACAAAGATGCACATTATTTTGGACAGTGCCGTGCGTTTTTATAGAACTGAAAAGGGGTCGATTTTTCATAAAATCATATTAGTCATTTTTTTACAGGAAATCTAACCTCATATTATTGTTCCTCATGCTTTCGAACCTCCATATGCAAAAAATACTCGAATTCCGAATTAACAGGATTGGCTTCATTTTTTTCATTTTCAGTCTCGAATAATCAAATCAACTTCGAATTTTGGAACATTCAACGGTTCCGGTAGGTGGAAAATCATGATTTGGAAGGAAAAACGAGTTATACTTTTTCATGTTGAACTCACCTTTTTTCGAGTAAATAATTATTACGTTCGCAAAAATGCTGTTTAGATGTGCCTGTTTTTCTGAAACCCTTCAGGCATCTTATGAAAATCCACATGTGTGGGTTTGAAACTAGAAGAACATCATTATGAGGTCAGTTTTCCTGTGAAAAAATGCCTAATATGATTTGATGAAAAACTGACCCCTATTTATTTCAATAAAAATGCACGGCACTGTCTAAAATGGTATTTGTCTTTGAAGAACTGGTCATATTGATGATTATTCATACCGATACAAATTTGGTAAAGATCGCACGATTGATAGGTGAGATATAGAGGGGGGCCGTTTGAAATGAGACATGCTGTATATACGGTCTTCATTTGACGACAAATAAAAGCAAGAAAAAGGACTACCATGCGGTGTCAACAAAATGAAGATACAGAATCCGATCAACCATAAAAAACTACTTGATCTCAAATATGATTATAACATAATGTATTCTTTATTAATTCTGGTGCGAATTTGCTGGAATTCCGACCAAATTGTAGATTTATTCTTCGGAATGTTGGCCTGAATTTTAGATACCAATGAAAGCTGATGGCTGGATTATTATACAGGCAAAAATAAAAGTTACCCTTTCACCTCTTACTTCTGACTACTGAGTTGGTAAACTATAGACTTCCTCATGTTCGTTGAAGTGTGACCCCTTCTCAACACAATAGTTTATGATTCACGTCAATATCTTCCTTTTAAGAGAACATACAAGTGTTCTAGAAAAGTACCTATTGATAATACTTTTTGAAAAATCCATACTTCCTGAAAGCACTTGTATCTTCTCCTGAACGTGACGTGATTCAAAAATACATTTTGTTGAGAAGGGATATCGCACTTCAATCCAATACCTGATGGAGCATTATTTAGCCACTCATTTATGCCACAAGGCGTTATCAACCCATTAGGGACTGAATTAATACATTTGCGAAAATTTCAACATATTTTTTTTATTCCTGCTTCAAAGTATATTATGAACATCAGTTAATCGAGATACATTTCCTTTTGTCAGCCATTTCCAAAATGGCGGCAGTGCCATATATGCAACACTAGTCCTTCAACTTGTGGAAGATGGAATGAAATATTGAGACTTGTCTCCAGCTTGAAATGTCTTATATTTCCATAATTCGAAAATTAATGAGGTTATTTCGTAAGAAAATGAATTAAATAGTCAATAAATAGACATACGTCGCATTTTCGACACTATGTGCGAATCTCTGGAGTTATTTTGGAATTTGTTGAATTTGTTGGTGATCTTGCTGATGACTTCGTCATATCGTGGAACTTCTTCAGGTGAGCTTTCTCTTCCGAAACTCAACTGATGAATTTCCTGGAGAAATGTATCCAGGTGAAAATTGGCTAGCAAAATTCTCAACTTTACATAGCAATAATGTAGGCATTTATATTCGCGTCCATCTAGTCTATTCCTCCTATGGACTCATTGTACTTTGATATGCAGCGAGTCCATTCCATTTTTTGCGCGTTAAAAAAGAATAAACTGAGTGTAAGGTCGATCAATCAATTTCACCAAGTTTTTTCCCTTCATTTATCATCCTCAGTTATTGGACAAAAACGAGAAATCCTATTTTCTTGCTCTGTGCCAGAACCATCATAGCGCCTTTGCATCAGAAGTTGAAGAAATTCCACAGAAGTGGATGAATTATCGAAATGAAATTTATATGACACACATGTTTTGTCTTCTGGTTGGTCCTCAATACGTTGAATGAATGTCTTGGACTGACAAACTATGAACACATTCAGAATCCTACAAGCCTAGTGTTCCATATAAGGAACACGATGAAAAACATAAAATCTAATCAGATATAAAATATAATTTCCATTGTTTATTACAGACAACACAATGAGTATGTTATAAACTGTTTGAAACATCAGTTATTCATAATCACATTTGAAATATTCGAGAAATATATGTACTTACACTTTCCAGTAAAAACGATGGTCATCTAATAATCTGAATCGAGCTGGTGATATCAAGAAGCTGAGTAAGACTCAGTGGTGGATGTAGATGTTATAGGAGATACGAGATAAAAATATTTGCCTGGGGAAAATTCTGCTATCGGAAATATATTTGGACGCGCTCAGAGCTTGTAGGTTTATGAGCTCCTTATATGGAACGCTAGTATCTAATGGGTTAAGAAGCTGAGAGTGAAAGAGTAACTCTTGTTTTTCTTTGTATAATGATCAAGCCATAGGTCGCGTGCACGAAGACCGACCCTGGAGGCAAAATATTGAAACACAACCTCATTCTTCTGTGAATTATTGAAACACAACCTCACTTTTTTATTTGGTTACAGAGGAATCAAAAGGTTGAAATAGTTTTTCACAATATTTTGGCATAAGAATCGTGTTTCTTGCGTTATTATTCATTAATTCAAGCATGCCTTCGCATTGTGCTGTTGTACGATGCACAAAAAATGCAGCAAGAGACTAAGGAATATGATTTTTCAGGTAAATAGTAATCTCACATAGTTAGCATTATGAAATGTTGTCATCCCTTATTAAAATTCCTTCTGCCTTCTGCCACTTCTGCAATACAAGCTAATGCTGCTAATAGATTGAAAATGTCTACAACACACACGATCGTCAGCATGTCAGACCAGTCCTACCGATTGATTGCATGAATCCAATCTTCTTGCATTATTCTAGAAATTTCAGGTATATTTCTATTAGCTGATCCTATTGCAGAAGGAATTCCGATGAGAAATCAGAGAAATAACCAAATTTCAAAAATGAAAACTATGTGAGTGACTATAGTAGGTACTTACTTTTGAATCATAATGTACCATCCGGATTTCTTCATCTTCCGCTGCAGTTTTTGTGCATTTTACAACAGCACAATGTGATGACAATAGCGAATTGGTGAATAGCGGAAAATATGATTCATATGCCAAAATAATTGTGGAAAACTATTTCGATCACTTGTAAACAAATATGTTTTGCCTCCAGGGTCGGTCATCTGACAGTTCTTGCACGCGACCTATTAAGTCTCCCTGTCCAAGAACATTTTCCGTTTTGAATTGAGGTTATGATTTGAAATTTGACACTGACAATCTACTTTACAACTTGAAAAATAAAAAGTATCACTGATGGAAATGATGTATTGGCCAATGAAGTGTCATCAACAAATTTTTTATCTGTGTTGCATATAATAACAATGTCAATTGCAGACGACCTTTTGCTGGAAAAAGAAAAGAACAAAATGCTCGCTGACGAGATGGAGGCCACATTGCATGACATACAGAATATGTAAAAAAAAAAACGCCCATTAGAAGGCCGGCCTCTCGACTAACACATTCCTGCCTTTTTGCGTTTCCACATACACACACACATTGGAATATAAACCACTTGAACAAGGGCCAGAACGCGTTCTGGGTCCGAGATATTATGTTTCTTGCATAAATTAAGAGAAAAAAAAATATCCAAAATTAATTGGTGCTTAATCGTTAGGGTGAACAGTGTGTTGCTTTTTCTTCGCTGCTCGAAAACAGTTTAGTGGACCGAAAATATTCCAAATCATTCATTTCACTCTAGGGATGCAACGAATATCGCTGTTAATTCGGCAGAATATGATTAGATTCCTGTTTTAAAACTGGTTTGTAAAGTATTCAGCCGTTTTTATCAATTATAGACCCATCTATAATAGTAATAGGCAATATTCGGTCATTCCTGTCAATATTTGGCTAGATCTAATAGTCAATCATGTTCACAAATATTAGACCAAACCAAGAAGTCCTGTCGAAACGGTCAAATTCTAACTATCAATTTCTACTGACACTGCTAGATAGAATATTCGGCCAATTTTGTCAATATTAGATCAGACTGAATATTCGGCAACGTAAGTATTCGGCCATTCCTGCTAATATTCGACAAATCCTGCCAAGTTGTCAAACATTATTCTTTTCACTATCAATTTCTATTGGCACTGCTTGATAGAATATTCGGCCAATTTTTTAATGTTAGACCAGACTGAATATTCGACCCTTTATAAAATCCCGGAATCTTTACCGACTCAAGGCCAGATTGAATATTCGGCAACGTAAGTATTCGGCAATTCCTGCTAATATTCGACAAATCCTGCCAAGTTGTCAAACGTTATACTTTTCACCATTAATTTCTATTGGCACTGCTTGATAGAATATTCGGCCAATTGTGTCAATATTAGATCAGACTGCATAGTCGACTCTATAATATCCCGTAAGTTTTACCGACTCAAGGCCAGATTGAATATTTGGCAACGTAGGTATTCGGTCATTCCTGCTAATATTCGACAAATCCTACCAAGTTGTCGAACGTCATTCTTTTCACTATCAATTTCTATTGGCACTGCTCGATAGAATATTCGGCCAATTTTGTCAATATTAGATTAGACTGAATATTCGACCCTTTATAAAATCCCGGAATTTTTACCGACTCAAGGCCAGATTGGATATTCGGCAACGTAGGTATTCGGCCATTCCTGCTAATATTCGACAAATCCTGCCAAGTTGTCAAACGCTATTCTTTTCACTATCAATTTCTATTGGCACAGCGTGATAGAATATTCGGCCCATTTTGTCAATATTAGGTCAGACTGAATATTCGACCCTTTATAAAATCCCGGAATTTTTACCGACTCAAGGCCAGATTGGATATTCGGCAACGTAAGTATTCGACCATTCCTGCTATTCTTTTTCACTATCAATTTCTATTGGCACTGAATATTATGAATTTTTCATCAATCTTCAGTAATTTCTAACCAGACCGAATATTTTTTGTCGAAACTGGCAAGTATTCTTCCTTTAATATTCATTCCTATTGACATTAACCTAGACGAAATCTTCAATCATATCTACCAATATTCAGCCATACCTGCAAATGTTAGGGGACAGGTATTTCTGATAGGTATTCGACATTTTCTAACTATATTAGAAGAGACCAAATATTCGTTGCATCATCATGCTAGTAATAGGTTATAATATATTGATGGTGGTAGTTTATTCACAGTGAATAATACAGTGAATCCACCGACTACATTTTGCATTTAATTTAATTTTCGTCGGATTTCCTTCCATTTCTAGATGTAATGTAGGACACTACTGATTTTGATAAGACTTAAAGAAAACTAACTGTACATTAGAGAGGTTTCCATCACATGCCCTTAACTTTTTCGAGCAGTATCAAGTATTTATAATTGAATCGGCGAAAGTATAGTATATGATATTCGGGCGTGTTTTTTGGATTTTTGTGCAAAGTTTAAGCGTTGATCTCTTTCAAACAGCTGCAATATAACTGATTTTTTTGATCAACACTGCCATATGAACGGCCGAAAAATACTTTAAGATTATCGGATTTTTGTATATTGTACATTTTCTACAATTAGTCAATTTTTGTATGCAGCTTGTTCATAAAGGATCCATAGGGGGTTTTATATTAATTAATTTATGTATATTTATCATTTATTTCACAAATCAGTTGCGAGTATAAGGGTCTGGGTATCAGTTATTCGATTTTGGTTCCTTTATCCACAAGTATTTTATGAACTATTTCATTGATTATAATTATTAATTAAATTATAAATTATAGCCTAAAGCCTGTTTATATTCTAATAATATTATGTATTTTATTTAGTTGTATAAAAGTTTTTAATTCAACAGTTTTATTTTTTTTTTTCCTGTTTTTTTTTTGCATGGTTTTCATTTGAGTGATGACTAACAGTCGACAGCTTTACGAGAAAATCTGGGCTTTCATTTTTTAAATCAATGGGTAGACAATCATTGGGTTAATATGAATATTCTTTAATTGAATAGGTCTGTTCCGATAGTTCTAAAAAGGTGAGAAAGATTCCCACACATTGAACAGTGTTGTGAATTTTTTTCTAGTATCCCCTAACACAATAAAATACAGTTATATTTATATCCAATCGTGATTTTCAAAATGAAAAATGGGGCGTGCTTTTCAACTGATTATGCATTATAGACCTGTTATGACGAGAATCATAATTTCATATATTTTATAGGAAATTATATGCCTTGTTTTTAGAACAAGGTATAGAGTGGCTGACAAAAAAAATGATAATCAATGTCCCTATCTTCAATCAACGAAAATAACTGGAAATAGTATGGGAAAGCAGTTTTGATCTTTGAGTTCTGTGATCAGCGCCTGTCAGTTATTTGTTTCAAATCATTTTTTCAAACTTTCTGATAGAGAAAATGTTCCACTGATGTTTGAGTTGACATTCGCGGAAAATTAAGAAAAATTAGGAATTAGGAAATTTTCAATGAGAGTTAGTTAGTTGATTGAGAGGAAAATTTCGAGATGCTGACATTGAAGGCGAAAAGATATGGATTATTATAGTTTTCATAATAATTCAAGTCATCCTTTGTAGGTCATCAAAATCTGATCATAAATAGCGTTAGGACGTTTTATGTCGGTCAGCTCTCATATGCAATTTTTCAAAAGTAGGAAGTCATGCCAATTGTAGATATTTAGAATTTTCTAGGGACTGATAGTAATTTTGTAGTAGAATATTTTCTCGAATAAAATTTTTCTTGCGTTATTTTACAACCATTCAATACAGTGTAGATATTTCTAAGTTACTCCAAATTGTGAATATGCAAAGAGCAAGAGAATAATAAAGCAGTTCGGCTAGCGTTGAAAAAGAAAGAAACTACTCATCTGTCCTTGTCTTCAGTGTTCCAACGTTAAACAATGAAAATATTATGTTGGTAACATTGGAAATGGGAAAAGATGGAGAAGAAGATCATATTAACCTCAATATAAAAAAGTTTTATTTATTTTTACTTTATTCATTGAAAATGTTACTTCCAGTCAGAATCAAGTGCTGGTATAAGGAAGTATAGTTAACAATAATACCTTAAACATAAAATTATAATGAACTCATAAATAATATGATATTTGAATACAAGTATTCAACTTTGACAAATCATTCAATATATTGGTGAGCAACAATCAATAGAGCAGTTCAGCTACCGTTGAGAGAGAAAAAAAATGTCATCCCCATCTGTCCTTGTCTTCAGTGTTCCAACATAAAATAATGAAACTATTATGTTGGCATCATTGGAAATGGGAAAAAAATGGAGAAGAATATCATATTAACCTCAATATAAAAGAAGGTTAGAACGGTCTTCTTCTCCATTTCTTCTCATTTCCAGTGTTGACAACATAAGATTTTCATTATTTCATGTTGGAACACTGAAGGCAAGGACAGATGGGAAGACATTTTTTTTCTCTCTCAACGGTAGCTGAACTGCTCTATTGAACTTCTTTCTATCTTGAACAAGAAAGAGGAAAGTTCTCTTCCATCTTTCTCTTCAGTCATATTATCTGGTAATTATTTGTTATATTCGAAAAGAGCAGCGTGGGTGAATCTTTTTTGGCCTATAGAAGAATTAGCGATATCAAGATGAAATAAACCTTTGATTCCTGTATGATCTGAGAAATAAACCATGTAATTTGGTAATCATTCCTGTTCTTCTTCTTCTCCATTTCATCTCATATTCCCAGTGTTGCCAACATAAAATTTCCATTATTTTATGTTGAATCACTGAAGACAAGGACAGATGGGGAAGGAATTGTTTTCTCTCAATGCTAGCAGAACTATGATCCGATTTTGAATCACTTTCCATCCGAACACTCAAAAAGGTTCTTTTAATTGGGGTAGGCTATGTTTTCAATGAAATTGGTAATTTTCATCTTAGAAAATGCTTGACGGTAGGTGCTATTTTCAAATATAATAAAATATACAGTCATAGTCAATGAAAAATTTGACCCAGATTTTCGATATTTTTGAATATTTGTTCCTTCTTTTAAGACACTTCTTCATTATTTTACAGACGAACTTGTGGCCGAGAAGGAACGCTACAAGGAAATTGGAGACGATTTGGATACCGCTTTCGTGGAGCTCATCCTTTAAATTTCACTTTTCCGTATTTGTTTCTATACTTCGAGTCGACACCACCCTGTATTCGAGCGCACGGCTTTCGCAGCGACTCAGTCACACGGACAGAAAGAAAAAAATTGACAGTTTTTTTGCAGGTGGTTTTCTATTCTTGTTCTATCTTTTCTTGTAGACTTTGTTGTAAAAACATTTTTATTTATGTATCATATCGGTTAATATATTTATGTCAATTAAACATTTATTATTTTTCATCTTATGCATTACTTGTATCATTTCATATTTTGAAACAGTATTTGATCCATCAATAGGAACATTCCAAAATTCTCAATTTACTCACTCAAGAGACCCACTAAAATACACTAATATTACTTTTATTAAGACCACAATTTTTACAAATCAGACAAAATTTTCTCAGAATATTCCAAGGAACAACTTGAATTTTTGCCGCATATTTAATAACCACCCTGTATCACGCTTTCAACACTGTATATGGCGAAAAATGCTGAAGATATTGAAAACTTCAAAACAAAATCTTGATTCAGGTAATATAAATACATGAGTAATTTGAGTGAAGCTGAGGAGAACTTGAAAATGAGAGAAATTGTGATTGTAAAATCATCTAAGTAATTGATTTCAAGTTTGTAAAAGTTGAAAAAATTCAATATTTTTACCCATATACCTTATATGGAATGGGAATATGTTTGAAGGACACCTTTTTGAAAGAGAAAAATATTGTTTGAGACGTCCTTGAATTGAAATCTTGATACTCTGCGAAAAATATTCCTGAAAACGGTCTGAACATTTCAGGGAATATTTTGTTATTCCCAAAATATTTAATTTAATGTTTCATGATGATTCCTAGATAACAATCACGATTCATAGAATGTGTCCCATTTCAAATTTGTAGCAGTATATGAAACACTTAATATTCAACAAGTGAAACAAGTATTATCTTAAGAAAAATATGTTTATTATAACAATTTTTAGATTAAAAAAACTTATCAAGTAAATATTTCTTAAAGACTCCTAGGACACAAATGGAGGAAAAACAGTCAAAATGAACAATTTGTGAGACATGATACAAAATATAAACCTAATGCAAAAAGATAACAAAAGTTCTATTCATCAGTAATATTTCAACGAACTTTTTTGAGTTCCACCTCAAACACAAGAGTAGAATTTGCTGGAATAGTGGGGGGAGAACCCTTTTGACCATATCTGAAAAAAGTGTATTTATAGTGAAAACCTTACCGATCTTTTTCTTAGTGAAATTCAAACTTGGTATTTCCGTCATTTCTACCAGAAAAATCCAGGAACACATTATTGTTAAGCACATAAGATACAAAAAATAGAGATGAATTGAAAGACACAAGTTCAGTAAAATAATAAGTTAACAGAGTTCCAGTAAGTCAAATGTCAAATGAACCACATCCAAGGTGGATAGAATATGGTGTAATAACAGACAGTGTTTTGTTTCTCCCCAAGCCACAGATTCTGCAATAATGGCATATTAGTTCTCAGTAGTCTGCAAGATGACGACACTTTACAGATTTCTTTCATGACAGAAAACGGCGATTACACACAGCTTGCACCAGAAATAATAGTATAGGTCGCGTGCACGATAACCGACCCTGGAGGCAAAATATTGAAACACAACCTCATTCTTCTGTGAATTATTGAAACACAACCTCACTTTTTTATTTGGTTACAGAGGAATCAAGGGATTGAAATAGTTTTTCACAATATTTTGGCATACGAATCGTGTTTTTTGTGCTATTCATTAATTCAAGCATGCCTTCGCATTGTGCTGTTGGTTGTACAATGCACAAAAAATGCAGCAAGAGACTAAAGAATGTGATTTTTCAGGTAAATAGTAATTTCACATAGTTATCATCATGAAATGTTGTCATTCCTTATTAAAATTCCTTCTGCCTTCTGCCACTTCTGCAATACAAGCTAATACTGCTAATAGATTGAAAATGTCTACAACACACACGATCGTCAGCATGTCAGACCAGTCCTCCCGATTGATTGCATATGAATCCAATCTTCTTGCATTATTTTAGAAATTCCAGGTGTATAATATCTATTAGCTCTTATTGCAGAAGGAATTCTCTTGCTGCAGTTTTTGTGCATTTTACAACAGCACAATGTGATGGCATGAGCGAATTGATGAAAAGCGGAAAAATACGATTCCCAAAATAATTGTGGAAAACTATTTCAATCACTTGTAAACAAATAAGAAAAGTGACGTTGTGTTTCAATGTTTTGCCTCCAGTGTCGGTCATCTGACAGTTTTTGCACGCAACCCATATCATTCATAACATAACCCCAAATCAAGTGAGATTAAATTTGAAAGTATGAAACTGTAATTTTGGGGAACTTCAAAGATCATCAGTTCTACCAACCTTGAATTATGGTTGAGTTGTCGGCATCCGGGTAAAATGTGACCTATATGGGATTTGATAGTAGTTCCTACACCATCTTTTATTCATCCTGACCACAACCTAACTAACATGAAGGAAAATTGTGTTCTTATGGAAGTTAGGGTGCCCTTCAAGTGAAATGAAACCTAACCTCTTCCTTATTTTTAAGTACAAGTAATGATAGAGATAACTAACTGTCAGTTCAGTTGAATGTAAAATTCTTCCCGCAAAACAATAATGGGCATGAAATTTTGAAGATTTCACAAAGTTTATTGAAGTGCAGACTGTCTTCCTTCAATGCAAGCAAGAATCAAAGATAGGGCTATGGCCATGTTCGTTTGTGTTTGCTCTACCTGCTGAACTTGATTTTTTTCTATGACTCTCTGTTTACATTATGTCAATGATGAAAGATTGATGGAAGTAAGATTTGGTGTAATCACTGACACGCTATTGTTTCAGAAAGTTTACTCGACCTCTGGAGAACAGTGAGAGCAATGGTTCCGTCGATCTTCTAATAGATGGCGACATTTCACAATTATGATATCTGTCAGTTTTGAAATTGTCGCAGATTTTTCGAATTCAGAGTTGAATAATCCCACTGTTACATATGTTACGCATACCTAAAATGCCATTTGCCATTTTATTTTCACTCGTCACAGCAGCAATATCAGCATCACCATCTAGCGGGAAAATGTATTATCAACGTCTTGCTCTTTGTGACGTAGAGAAATCATAGTAGGCGGTCGAGTGATTTTTCTGAAATATTCAATATGTCATAATGGCCGAATGCGCGCACCATATCTTACTTCCATCATTATTATGTCATGAAAAGAGACAACTATAGGAACAAAATCAACTTTGGCAAGTTCAGCAACACCACGGAACAGACGTATTTATACGTTGTATAGCAACTGTTAGTTCATTCAAAGGAGATGGTATTGTTCTTTTTTGTATTAAAGAAACAAAAATCACCTGCAATCATGAAAACATTGTTACTTCAGTGGCTAGAAAGCTTGATCCATCCACAAAATTCTTTCAAATGTAGGATAAAAATGATAAAAAACTATAGCCAGTTCAATCAAATCAACATAAACTGGGCAGTTCATTCAAATGACACCCTGCCCAATCTTCCTCTTTTTTTATGTAGAAAACAAATATAGAGATAAACTTGCTGTCAGTTCAATTATTGAAACCCATCTTTCTGAAGGACATAAGAAATAAATATTGAGATGGAGAAATAATTCAGAAAACTGCCTATGAATCTAGGTAGATCTTAGTGAAGGAAACTGTTCTTTCATTGCAAGCAGAATAATAATTGTAGATAATAGTGTATACAATATACACTGAGTACCAACAGCCAGTTCCAGGTGAATATGGGTGAATACTGCCTTTCCTTTTACATATGAGAAACAGAGAGACAAAGATAAACTGAGTCTATAAAGACTGCCAGCAGGCTCCAAGATTTCCAAGAAGTTGTGACATCACATCCATGTCCGAATAAACAAATTTTAGAACATTTTTGATAAGAATGGCATTTGTAACTCATCGACGTCATGTTTTCTGTCAGGTTACTCAAGGGCAGGATGAACAGAAGATGGTGTAGAAACTCCTATCAAATGCCGTCTACTTCTTTTTCGGTCAAAGCTCTTAACCTACAGCCTACTTGACAGAAGGATTCTTTTCAATATCGCGGAATATAGATCGCATTTTACCCGTTAGATGGCGAAATCTCAACCGAAATTCAAGGTTGGTAGAACTGATAATCGAAATTCCCCAAAATAACATTTTCTTTCTTTCAAATTAAATCTCATTTGATTTGAGGTTATGTTATGAATGTTAAGCGCCGTTCTCTATTTTCTGTCATGAAAGAAATCTGTGGAGTGTCGCCATCTTGCCGACAACTGAGAACTGATATGCCATTATTGCAGAATCTGTGGTCAAGAGTTTTGGGAGAAACTAAACACTGTCTGTGATTACACCATATTCTATCCACCTTGCTCAAGGGGAATATAATCTGTCTGCCTTTACATAACAATGAACACTGTTATACCTCATATCAGTCAAAAGTAATGCCATCATTATTTTCTACACATTTTCCTATCCAGGTAATCTCAGGGGAAAGAAAAATTCAATATAAGTACTGTATGAGGAATGAAAACTCATAATAAATCAATCAGTTGAGTACCTAAACCTAATCTAATTGATTCATGATAATTTTTCCTTCCTTGAAGAGTTTTTGTATTGCATTTTGCTCCCCCTATTCGTGCTTATCAACTTAGGATGAGGCTTTTCAAATTCTTGCATGGAGAACTGGAAAAACTTAGAATTGGAAAAAAAATCGGAACTTACGCCATAGCAGGAGGACATGTTATCCTCCTTTTCCCGCCGACTTTCATGCCGACTACCCCCACGTCCCATCCTTTGATGACTTCTCCACTGCCTAATCTGAAGCTGAAGCCGGCTCCTTTGTTTGTAGAATCGAATACTTTGTTGTTGTGTTTCAGTCTACCTTCATAATACACCTGCATGACGAAAATTCAAGTGGAATTGGGTATATGAATATTCATTATTTGGTGTGACATGTAAATAATGTGAGTGGAAATAAAAATCAATCAACCAATAAAAAAAATCACTTGAAAATAGAAAGCTATCCTGAGAATTTTCTCAGATATATTTCAAAGAATAGGCATGAAGTTTTCATAGGTGACTCTCATGAACAATCTGGATACTCCCCTGGATTAAACACTACCTCAAATGGGACCTAAAGGGATTTCCAGAAAAACTGTGGCTATTGATATGTTCTTGGCTTAATCAGTAGCATTTTGATTTTCCTTAAGTATGGCCCATTTTTTTTTTATCAACTAAATCAAGGAATAGTAAAAATGGAATAAGCTGATGTGTGGAAATCTATATAAAATATTCAAAAAGATTTGATGTTTGTTTGTGAGTGCCTACAAATTCAAGAGTAAAAAGATGTTGGACAATGATAACTTTTATGGGGTTCCAGGGGTGCATTCAGATTGAAAAAATGAGGTATTTGATATTTCTTCCAAATTGCCCAAACAAAAATAAATATAAAAACGATTTCATGGCATACTTAAGTTATATAAACTTATCTTGAGATTGAAAATATGTATTTGCAGAATAGTTTTCTACGTTGATAAAATCAACACACCAAGGGAATACCTATTTTTTTCTGAGTGGACAACAAATGAAATTTTAGAAATTTGGATTATCAGAAAACAAGATGATCATTTTCAGTTATTTTGAACTTTATTCCCTAATGGAAAATACAAATCCTGACTTCAGTGGCAGAGACTTCCTTATGAGGGAGTTGTAGTTCAACACAGGTGAATTATTAGTTATATTTTCTGTTTTAGATTAAAAAAAAAGTAGTTTTTCTTTTCAAAATGAGCTTTGTCTTCAAGTCAAAAAGTTATAGTTTTGAAATAACTCTCCATTTCATTAGTCCGTGTTTTTTCACAAAGGAAGGCAAAATATGAAAAAATCCTCACAAGATTGATTTGTGAAAGAAAATAGAATGATTTTATGTTTAGTCAAAAAGTTATTGTTTTGAAATATCTCTCCATTTCATTGTGTTTTTTCACAAAGGAAAGCAAAAAATGAAAAAATCCTTAAAAGATTGATTTGTGAAAGAAAATAGAATGATTTTATGTTTAGTCAAAAAGTTATAGTTTTGAAATATCTCTTCATTTCATTAGTCAGTGTTTTTTCACAAAGGAAGGCAAAAAATGAAAAAATCCTCACAAGATTGATTTGTAAAAAAAAAATAGAATGATTTTATGTTTTGAATAATCAAATTAGCTTCTTCTGGATCATACCAATTAATCAACAAAAGGAATATGCATTTTAAGATCCTGAACCCAGGTCAAGAGTGAAACAAGTAAATTAGTTGGTTGTTTTTGAAGTAGAATATCAGATAAAGTCTCACATTGACAAATTTTCCAGGTTTTGCTGGAGGTCCACTTCCTTCCCTCAATTCATCAATTACAACTCCACCTTGTAGACTTTTCTTCTTGGGTGATTGGCTTTCCTTATTGGGAGTCTTCACCTCATTCTGCTGCTGTTGCTGTTCTTGCTGTTGTTTGTTCTTCTTTTTCTCCTTCTTACTGAGCTTCTGAACTGGCTCCACTTTGGGAGAAGCTTGCTCTTGAATTGTGGCTGTGCCATTCATTTTGCTGGACTTTCTTTTGCCCACTATAACTTCCTCACCACTATCTTCCTCACTCAGGGAACTTTCATCCTCTTCCTCTTCTGAATCCTGGAAATTCTCAAATTATACATTTCCATCAAGAAAATATGAGTCTTAGTTGTTTCTTACATCACTATCTTCTTCTTCTTCACCCTCCTGATCATCATCTTCTTCATCTGATGCATAACTGTCATCATCTTCATCATCATCAAGTGATTTCCCTAAAAGTGCTTTGACATCAATATCACTGTCATCATCATCCTCTGACTCATCTTCCTCATTCTCTTCAACAGATGTGACTTTAGTTTTCTTTGATGGAGCTGAAAATATTTAAAGAATTCTTGTCAGTGAATGGAATAGCTGGAAACTTGTCATAGTTATTTCCCATCAACTCACGTCCATTTTCTTTGACTTGTTTATTTCTTTTCTTGCTTTTTTTGCCTTCTTTTTGTACAGATTCCTCTTCTTCTTCATCCTGTTCCTCCTCTTCATCCTCCAACAACTCATTCAAGTCATCTGTTAAGTAACCAGTGAGGTGCACATGGCATTTACCATTGGCAGCAAGAGATATTTCATCACCAACCTTAGCAAAATTATTTGAATGAAGCTCCAGAAAATTAAAAATATAATATACAGAATTGTTATCTCAATTGAAGAGTTGTTGTAGGTACACATAAATAAAAGAGTAAATACAGAGGACTTACCTCAAAATTTAGATCTAATGAACACTGCAACATATCAGGTTTTCTAAGTGTGCAAAGAAGATAATTTCTTCCTTCAAAACCACACATAACTTGAGCAGGTTCTTCTGATGAAGTGGATAAATCCAAAGCTGCCATTGAAATGTGAAAGCTTTTTTTAACTTTTTGAGTATACCGCCTTTGCGGTTCCATGATGAGTCCTATTTGATCAGAAATAAGAATATTATTTTTGTATTCAATGAATAAAGTTTGATTATCACATTCAAATTCAACTCAGGAGTGAAATAGGTTCATACAATTTTATTATTCAAATGAGCATGAGCTGATCATTTTAATTTAAGCAATATTAAACATGTTGAATAGAAATTTCCCAGTGTCTTGAACAGATGTGTTGGTAAATGAAATTGATACAACGTGGTTCGAGATATATAATGGTATAAAATTAATATGAAACCATTTGTAATTTAATATATTCTCAGCACAATGAAAGAAACACGTGTTAGCCGGATTTATCAACTTTTGAAGCAAGCTGAATATACTCACCCCAAAACATTTTGACTAATGTGAAGAAACGTTTTAAACTGGCAAAAAGTCTTTCTTTCCGCTGGCACGTTTGAGACACCACCTGAATAGAAGTAAAACGATCTTTGAAGGAAATATTTCAATTTCCTTTGGACCTCAACGGAAAGAAAAATGGAGGTAAAAACTGAAAGCTTAAACGACAAACGACGTATTGAATTGACGTAATCACTGACGTGACATCTGAAATGAGTGACAGTTGACACTTTGTCAAAGGCTATAGTTGCGTTTTATTTGTTTCATTCTGGTAGCGGTGGTGGGAACAGAATGACGTTTATAAATAAAACGAGAAACTTCATAACCTTGCATGAACCTTGCTTGAGAGAGATTACATTGATCCAAATAATTTCATAATCATAATACTAGTGTAGAGAATCTAGTAAATGAATGAACTAATATTTGGAGAAGTGATTTTGTTGATTGAAGAAACTTCTCTGAGATCGACAGAGTTTATTTTATCTGGTAATGAACATATGAAACCTGTCTTAGTTGAAAGAATCATGAACTAGTGAAACTCACGCTGAAAATGTCTTCTAAATGTCTTTTACTTTCAAGAAGGTTCGTTTTTCGTCAATGTACCTTGATTTTTTGACACCTGTCAACAGTCATTCAACATCATTCCTTGTAGTGAGACGGAATGGTAAGTAGCAACCGGAATCGGAAAAGTCGCAAGTGGCCGAATCGGAAAAATAAAACGCAACTAATCTCTTGCTCTTGTCTGCTTTTGCTGGTTACAATTTCTGCCAAAGAACCAAAGCGGAAAACATTTTCGAATCTCAAAATCTCGGGTTTTCAGATTCCACCTCATTCCAGCTTTCCAGTCATTCCTGTGGGCAACCAAAAGTAGTTCTTTCAGTTTTCCCACCGTTCCACACTCCTCTCCACTTTCTCTTCGTGCAATATTGTGGATTGTGGTGTTCAATGATAATGGTGCTGAGTTTAGGTGTTTTCGTTTGAGAAGAAATAATTTTTGTATGTTGGTAACAAATTATTTGAAACTTTTCTCCAACGCATGCGCTCTCTAGCGCTCTTTTTGAAGTTGACAACTTTACCAAAGTGTGGTTGTCCGTACTTTCAATTTAATATTTTTAATTTTCAGGCTCATCGCCAATTTATATCAAATAAAAAATGGTTCAAAAGAAAGTGAGTAGAATTATAATTATATTCAGTTTCATATTTTCTCTATTTCAATAACTAAATATCTGAAAAATTATGGTAGGAAGTTAGGAAGAAATGGTGACAATTTTGTTTACCTGTTCACTAGTGGACTACATATGGATAATTCTTCCTTTCTATATTTGATCTCTTCATTACATTATAAAATACAATAGCAGCAGCGTTGTTTCTATTGTTATTAAAAAAGTACAAATGAAACCTTTCATATTTTAGGTTATGTACATTACACATGATGATCATTGTATTTGCTATCTGAAAGAAGTTGAAGACACCTGTTCTACCACCATAGATAACCTGAAGTTTTCACGTTCATTAACCACATTGCTCATGTCATCTGTGAAATACTCTAAATGTTTGTTTCTTCCAGCCCAAGAAGAAGGTTGGTAAGAAAGTTGCAGCAGCACCCCTAGTTGTTAAAAAAGTTGAAGCCAGGAAAGAAGTAAACCCACTTTTTGAGAAGAGGCCAAGGAACTTTGGAATTGGTAATACAAACACCCAGCATCAAAATTGTGTGATGTATTTGGCATTTTCTAGGTCAGGACATTCAGCCCCCTAGAGATCTGTCAAGATTTGTAAAATGGCCCAAATACATCCGTATCCAAAGGCAAAAGGCTGTTCTCCAAAAGAGGTTGAAAGTGCCACCACCAATCAACCAGTTCACACAGACTATTGATAAACAAACTGGTAACTGAAAGTTTTCTAATCAGCTTTTCATGAGATAAACGATAATTTTTCTAGCCACCCAGTTGTTTAAAATCCTTGAGAAGTATAGGCCTGAGACTGCCTTACAGAAGAAGAACAGGCTGAAGGCTAGGGCTGAAGCTAAAGTAGCCAAAAAGGAAGAGGCCCCTGCAAAGAGGCCCAATGTTTTGCGTGCTGGTACCAATACAGTGACCAAACTTATTGAGCAAAAGAAAGCACAATTGGTTGTTATTGCTCATGATGTGGACCCCATTGAGGTGAGTCAGTAAATTGGTGTGGAATTTCTTGTATTTCCTTGGAATAATTAGTTATTTTTTTAAATTATTTTGTCCTTTGATTTTTTTGTGATTCATGATGTCTTGAAATTTTTTGTAGTTCCTGTAATTAGTATTGAAAAGGATTATTCGGTGATATCATACTATGAACATGAAAAAAAATTGATACCTAATAATATAAAGAAATACATTGAAATTTTTTTAAAATTCTTTGTAGTTCTTTGAAGTGATTATTGACCTTTGCAATTCATTGGAATTATTTGAAATTTGAATTTTTTTAGACATTTCCTTGAATTTATCAACTTCTTACAATTGTTTGTGGTTTCTTCAATTTATTAGGAACTTAGTGTGGGTTTATTTGTGATATCTTCAAATTCTTTGTATTTTTCTAAAATAATTTCCAATAACTATTTTTATTTCTTTTAATTCACTGAAATTTTGTAATTGATTGAAATTCTCTTGAGATCTTAGGAATTTCTTGTGATTCATTGAAATTCTCTGAATGTCATTGTTCAATGTTTGGAATCTCCATAATATTTGTGATTCTTTGTACTTCCTTGTTGATCAGTTTGTAATATTCTTGTTCTTGGCTTCTTGTTGTAATTTCTTGATATTTTCAGGAATTCCCAGTAATTCCTTGAAACTCTATAGATCATTGCATTAGTAATTTTTATTTTTGATTTTTTTGACTACTTGTGATTTTATAGTTTCTTGAAATTCTGTGGAATTCAATTTAATTCACTGAAATTGATGAAGTTTTTAGAAATATCTCTTGGAATATAGTAATTGTTTTGTGATATTCTTTATGGTTTCTTGTAACCATTTGTAAGTCAGTGCAGTTTTTTGGAATTCTTTTATTTATTTGATATTTTTAGAATTCCCTGTAGGCCCTTTACACTAACCATAAGTCATTGTTGAATATTTGGAATTCTTTTGTGATTCTTTGTGTTTCCTTGTTGATCAAATATCTTGGAATTTCTAAAATTTTCATAATTCCTTAGAATTCTTCTGTAATATTCTTTATGGATTCCTGTGACTTGATGTAGTTTCCTCTAATTCTCTTATGATTCTTTGATATTTTGTGAAATTTTGTGATTCTTATGATTTCTTGAATTTTCTTGACATTTTGTAGAATTCAATCCAATTCACAGACATTGAATTCAAATCCTCAGAGTTTTTTCTGCTGCTGTGATCAATATTCTTTGAATTTCTGGATTTCTTCAGTTCTTATTACAAAAATTCACTGTTTATATTATTCACGGCCTCTTATAACTTTGTAGTTTCTTGGGAATCTCAAATTTTTTTTGGGATCCTAAGGAAATTAATTTTTAGGGAGACTCCCAGCAAAAATTTTATTGAATACATTGAGAATTAATGCCTAACTGTTTTGCAATGATGCTGCTTGAATTTCTTCACCTGAAATTCTCTTGAGAGGTATTTGAAATGAAGACACTTGACTCTGAGCTTATTTGAATAATTTTGCATCATCCTTGCCTTGTGAGGCCATTTGTTGACTGATTTGGTTTTTTCAGCTGGTTCTGTTTTTGCCTGCCCTCTGCAGGAAAATGGGGGTACCTTACTGTATTGTGAAAGGAAAAGCTAGACTGGGACTTCTTGTCAGACGTAAGACATGCACTGCTGTTGCTCTGACACAAGTGGATTCTGGTGACAGGTGAGAGAAAAAGATCCATTTTTTTGTCCAAATCTGGTAAATTTTGTTGATTTTCTGATATTGTTTATTTTATTTTATTATTTCATCTGTGATATGCTAGGTATTCAGACTGAGATGGATTTATTTCAAACTTCTGATAATTTTCATGCATGACCCTCTTTGTCAGAAAAAATGATTTTGATTTCTAGGAAACGCTAATTTTCAGTCTTCAAGACCCCAATTAATTTCTCAATTTTCAAATATTTTTGAAGTTCTGAATTAATTTACAATTCTATACTAATTCACATAAGAATTATTTGATGCATTTGTAAAAAAATGTAAGCCAATCATCTACAGTAACTAGAAAACATTTGTAAAACTAATGTAGGTAATTCTCTGCATTTCGTGCATAAGATTTTTCTTCCTTTTATTTTTGTATTAATTCTCATTCCCTTAGCATTTCTTCATTTAAGTACATGTAGATTGCAGTGGCGGCTCCTCTGAGGAGGCAACGGAGGCTGAGCCTCCTCAGAGATTCTCCTTTAACTGATATTATCTATACTTTCTCATTAAAAGGACACCAAAATACATGGATTTTGATTTTATTTCCTGTCTTTAGGTACATATTTTTAAATTGGCAACAGTGCTTGCCCACGCATCACACGTTGAAGTCTGCAAATCACGCGTAATATATTCAACTTGGCAACATCTATAGGAGGCTAGACTCCTTCACAAATCGAAACCCACGCGCGCAATGCAAATGCCCGAATACACCCGAACCGAATAGCACGTGTTTGTCCTGTCGCGTCGCGAATTGCGGATAATCCAGCGCGAGTGCATTGTTTATGTTCGGTTAATGGTTAGGGGCTCTATAAATTTCTGAAAAATTGAGTGTTTTAAACGATTGCGATTTATTGCAATACTTTTTGGTGAATCCATTCAGTGCTCTTATGAAGATAAATTGATTGTGAGAAACAAACGTCCGACACCGGAATTAAAACATCTGATTGTAACAAGTAACAAACAAAATCGTTCGTTCAATTCTGATAATTATAAAAAATATATCTGGTTGATGGGATCTGAGGTAAGGAATAAGCTATTTTGTTGGTACTGCGTATTATTTTCAACCGATTAGTGATCATGTTGGGGGTGATTAGGATATAATGATTTGAAAAATTTGCCTCGCGGATTGGATAGACACTGCAAATCACTGGAACACATCTCTTCAAGTATTAAGTTCAGGTTAAATGGTAAACAGAATGTCCTTAAAGCTATTGATTTGGGTGAGTCGTAGAGAGTTGTTTTTCACAATAAATCTCATATCATTCAGCCTCCTCTGTCATGAAAGTCACGAGCCGCCACTGCGTATCGCCAAATGGCGGCCATGAAGGTTCGTTTGAAATAAGCTCTGAAATTCAACAAATTCGAAAAATTCATAGACTCATTATTCACATAAAGAAGCATGAGAAGTGTTGGAAACATTGATTTAGGTCCCTAAAGACACAGTGGAGTAATTGAATGCCAATATTGCCAATAATTCATTATCAGCACACTCGCCCATTTTATTCCTTTTTCTCTCTTCTTTGCAATGATGTCATTGAATTTCTTCACCTGAAATCCCTAACTCAGGGATTTTGTTTTTGAAAATGAAGACACCTGACTCTGAGCTTTCAACTTGGAACCAGAAAATTTCGCATCAACTGGAAATCCTTAGAGCTCACTTATTATTTCCTATCTAGGTCCAACTTCAACAAGGTGACCGAAGTGATCAGGACGAACTTCAACGATCGCGCAGACGAGATCAGACGACACTGGGGAGGTGGTCTTCTGGGGTCGAAATCGGCCGCCAGGATCGCCAAGATCGAGAGGGCGAGGGCCAAGGAACTGGCTCAGAAACAGGGCTGAGCACATGATTGTTGTTTCCAATGAGGTGACATTAATAAATGATAAGTTGGAAGTTTTCCTTTTTTTGTGTTTTGATTTTTTTGCGCGGGTTGATATTTTGCTGTGGAAATCAAGAAGAATATTGTCAATTATAAATATTCAATGAATCCTCCATGATTGAATTTTTTGAAATTATTCATTATTTATTATTTGAACGTTGAGATTGGCTAAATTGACAAAACTAGTGACTTGGGAAAATGGCACCACTGGTTACTGATGAATTTCTGATAGCTAAATAAACTAGAAAATTGTGAAGTTTGTGATATGGAATCGGAGGACACTGGGAGGTGGTCTTCTAGGATCGAAATCGGCCGCCAAGATCGAGAGGGCGAGAGCCAAGTAACTGGCTCAGAAATACGGCCGAGCGCCCGATTGTTGTTTCTAACAAGGTGACATTATTGAATGATGAGTTGGAAGTTTTCGTATTTTGTGTTCTAATTTTTTTGCGCGGGAGGGTGTTTGTGCATGTTCGTTGGTGTTTTGCTGTGGAAATCAAGAAGAAAATATTCAATGAATCCTCATAATTGTATTTTCTGAAATTAATCATTATTTATTATTTGAAACTCGAAAACGGCTAAATTGACAAAACTACCGAATTGAAAAAAAATGTCTAGACCACTGGTGATTGAAGAATTTCTGATAGCTAAATGAATATCTTGGATATAACACTGGGAAGGTGGTCTAGGGTCGAAATCAGCCGCCAGGATCGCCAAGATCAAGAGCCAAGGAACTGGCTAAGGAACGGATGAGCGCCCGCTTTGTTTCTATGGAGTGACACGTTACCAAAGAATAGTAGGTTAGACGTTACCCCCGATACTAACAAGGCCTGAAGGCTCGTAGTACACAGCTCGTGACGTCAGCTAACTGAGGCCACGCGTTTCGCCGTTACCCACGTGAACACAAGGCCAGAGGTCTGTGACGTAAACAGCTCGTGACGTCAACTAAGAGAGGCCACACAATTCTATGGCGTGTCGATTCGTAGTCAGCGTTGCCAGACCTAGTATTTTAACAGTAGATCTACTGTTCGAGGCAATAGTCTGAATGGTCATGTTTTGATATGACATACAGTATGATGCAAATGTATGGAATAAATTCATTTCAAAACAAGACGACTTTCGAAAAAAAATCAAAAACTAGAGTTTAGAACTTTTTTTTCGACGTATTTTTTTAACTAGACGACCCTTCGATGTTCAATTCTCAGTAGCAGACCTCTGCAAGATTCAATTAATCACATGATACTCCATTTCAATCTTCTTATGCAACATTTTGACTGTTGAATAGACGATCGGTAGACCTTTCAATCAAGGTGTCACATGACCCCTATTTGTATTTGAAAAAATCATCCATTACGTCTTTACTCCAACACCGCTGACGTAACATCTCTCATATGAATATCATGAGATGAGGCTTCAGAAATTAAAACTCACGTGTTTATGGAATTTTTTCAAATGTCGCCCATTTCTGAAATAATGAATTTATTCCATACATTTGCATCATACTATATGTACCTAATATGTAACCTAACAATGAATAATTAATGGGGCATCACAGTGAGAAGATATACGATGAAAATATACTGTATTTATTATATTCAGTCTGATTAGTAAAAATCAGCTTTCATTTTCAATTTGGTTGTGGTTTTTACAATTTCTTTTTTTTTTTTAGATTTTATTATTTTCATTTTTTGTTCGATTATAATAGGTTTAGAGAACAAACATGAGTTTTTTTTTTTTCGGTTATTATGTCTATCTATGTTTTGTCATTTATAATAGCAAATTGTGATGATTATCTACTGTTTTTTCCTCACCCATCTACTGCTCCGACAAATTTTCATCTGGCAACACTGCTCGTAAATAAAATAATTGTCGGAAAAAATAAAATTACTGTTTTGTGAAATATTTCTTGTTGTGATAGAGGCGAAATAACAATGCATTTCAAGTGTTGTGTTCCCTTTTGTCGGGGGAATTATGTGGGTGGTCTAAAAGTTCATGCTTTCAGTTTCCCGTTGGACAAGGAACTATCGAAAAAGTGGGTATATGCAATTCACCACGAGGATTTTACTCCATCTAAGTACAGTAGAGTATGTGAATCACATTTTACTAAAGATGCTATCATTACTTCATCTACTGCAACCGATTCGAAAACTGGCAAAACTGTAACAATAGATTTGAAAATTCCTAGGCTCAAACGAGATGTTATTCCTACTCGATATCCGAACTGTCTATCTTATTTATCGAAAAATTTGGCAAAAGCACTTACCAAAAGTAAAACTGAATTCTAAAATTTCCAAAAATCATTTTGCTACACAGAATTTCAAGAAGTTCTAGTTGTATTAGTCTTTTCAGTTGCCCGAAAAGTGGTTCAAAATTATCGATTTCACATTATTCAAATTGTCTTATTCTCGAGAGCCTGTAATTACATATTCGGTTGTGATTGATTCTGTTTTGAATGTGGAATTATTTTTGTCCATACAAACATCACTAAAAGACAATCTGAAAACACCTTTTATCTCTAATAATATCACTCAAATCAAGGAATTACTAATTGAAATAGATAAAAACGAGATAAATTATCCTGGAAAATGTCTCGTTAATCAGAAAAAAAAGGGCTTCGAATGTATTGGACTCTTTGGTTTTTGATTCGGTTTCAGATCTTGATGAAGATTCCGAAATCACTTCAGCTTTATTGTTCCTCTCTGAGCAAATTAAATTACATACATCCTGCTAAGATATTGGTAGCGACGGTGTCGATGACGAATCACTTGTCGATGTTGTATTTTTATAAACGTTCATCTTTGTACAAGCCGTCCTGAGTGAAAAAAATGTATTTGAGGGTTGAAATTGTCTCTTTCTCCGATGCCTCCATTTAAAATCTTCTAATATCGTTATTCGAATAATACATAATATAAAAGTTCTCGGCTAGGTATGTCCAGGAAAATTCCATGATGAGAAATATCTTGTTATGAATTCTCGCAATAAAATCGCCCATAGGAATGTGTGTTGTTGTTGTTGGAGATATTCCTTCTGAACTCTGTGCCTGAATTTATCAGAGTGATCAAAGTGAAACTGAACGTGATGAAAGCGAATTTGTGTATCACTGATCCAGCTATCATGTTTCAGATGGAAGAAGAGAATCAGATCAGTCCATCCATTTATAATAATAATATGACTGACTATGGCCAAATATGACCCAATAAATTGTTGACTTATCAACACTTCACCACTCTACTAAAGTATTATTTGAGCCAAATCGACATTTAATGCTCTATTTACAGGGTGATTGTTTATATCTCACTATCAATATAGCTATCTCAGTAATATTGGTCTCACAGATACTTTCAAATGGCAAATATGAAATATTTTAAACGGAACACTTCGTATTTTATTTTGCTAAACAGTAATTCTGATTTTTTATAGTTTGATCCTCTCAAAACAATTTCATGAATTTGAGAAAAGGTAAGTATAAGGGACGGTGAACAGATCAACAGAATTTCAAAAATACAATAAAATATATTTGCTAAAAAAAATTTCAAATATAAGTACCTAAAAATCGTTTCGATGTCATTTTAAAAATTATATTAACAATTATTACTCTATTCTTATATAACTGTACACGCATAAATATCTACAATTCTGTCGTTGTTTCCACGGGAGAATGGTCATAGGAATAACCCATATTTAAATAGTCTTTCTTTTCCCTAAACATCACATTGTCATTCGTTGGACTGGTATTCATGTCATCTTCATCAGAAGACCTAAAAAAAAGATATGTTAGAAATCAATATTGTCTAGTTACAATTTTATAACTACATGCAGGTGGTGAAATTTCTAGATAGTTTCTGAAATCATATCATTTTCAAGAACTATTTATGGTTAGGTCAAAAAAATAAAGAGCAATACCTTGACACCTACCTATAAACATGATCTCGTCTCAAAGAGTGATCATTATTTTTTGATAATACGTGGTCACCCACACTAGAAGCTCTAGCAGTTGTAGCAGACTCGCTGCTAACTGGGCTCGACTGCCCTAGAAAAAAGAAAAACAAAAGTAAATATGTCCGAAATCTTGCTTTATATCAATCTTGTTATTTCCCTAGTGATGAATTCTCTTTTCATTAAATTTTTGCTTCTTATTTGTTTTTTCTTTATGTGAAATTTGTGACTATGTGTTCACAATGTTCTCAAGTTTTGGGCAAAATAGGTGAAAACTCCTGCCCTTCCCATGTTATAATAATAATAATAATAATAATAATAATAAACCTTAATAATTTACACTATCTCCAAATGAATCGGAAAATTCTAGAGGTAGCGGTACTATCGATACTTATAGTCAATTAAGCATCAGCGGCTGACGTCACAGTCTGCAAGGTCATTTGCTTGGAGGGCAAACAATTCATGGCCGTATATGCTATTAGTATGTGTTCTGATTTGTCTTTCAACTTTTATTCCAGATTTAATGATCTACCTATTTTAGGTATGATATTCCTCATGTCTAGATTGATATTTCCAAATATCTACGTTCATGGAATTTTTGTAAGGACTGATAATGGTCAATCTTCATAGTTTATTCTGAAAACGACGAAAAACAGCACTACCCAACTTGGGAAACGATTTTGAAACACATTATTCCCATATAAACCCATGCAATCATCGGGCTTATATCACAAAAAAAAATGTATTTCATAATTCTATAGAACTCACCCAAACTAGCTCAGCACCGCAAACCGTTTCTTGCTGTGAGCTCCCTACGTTTTATAAAAAATTATTGAAATCCCCGATTTTTCGGACCTCTGAAAACGAGGCGATGATGTGACGTCAAAACCCTTATACTGAAACAAGACTATTCCAGACAGAGATGAATGATACATGATTTCTGACAGAGTGAATTAGCGCGAGATCACAGTTGATAGAATTGATATATCAGTTGCCTCAGAGTGTCCGTCGGGCGTTTGGTATTTTCTTTTAACTATGGCGAGATGAGGTTTCTACGTCATAAGAGGGTCCGTTTTCAGAAGGTACTATTATTTATGTCCAAAAATAAAACATTCCAGTTAATGTTTCGATCGAATTATGTAGTCAATCATTATTAATGTATGAAAGGATCATTATGAACATGGTTTGAGTTAAAAGTTCTACTAAGGTGTACACGCCCATTCTAATGTTTACCCTCCAAGCAGCTAATTTGGTCACGTGCCGCAGATGCCTAAATATTATTGACCACTATCCCTACCCTACCTCTAGAAACTATTTTTGATGAAAGTAAAGGTTCTGTTGACAGATTTTCATCATTTTTGACACTCACCATACTTCTTCATGTTGTTTTCTTTGCTGATATAGCTAACATTATCCAAACTGAACGTGTGGTTCTTGTTGCTGAAATCTATCTGTAGATCGTTGTAGTCTTCTTGCTCGTCTACAGGTACGCACATCTGCAATACCTGAGTCTCGTACTCTTTGAGGTTCGGTTCTACGTAAACGGTATCGTATCTGACAGGACTAGACGGTACGGTGTACTGTTGTTGGATCTGCTCCTTGTAGTTTTTGTACCTGAAGAAGCAGAATAGAAAAAATCTTTCCTTTTGACAATTTTCTAAATTTTTTAGTCGATGTCCCCAATAGCAGAACCACTTCAATATTACTCATCATTCGATGAAAAAAAAACGACGTTTTGTCCATCTCGATCCTAACCTAACAGAACCAAAATTCAAATCACATGTTTTTGAAATTCTATCAGGTTCTCAATAAATTGCTAATTTGTCACTAATTTATCACCACATTCGCGAATTTAAAAGAAAAAAACAATGCCTCTGCTAGCTTTATGCACTTTATGTCAGTTGAAAATTATTATTTTTTTGGAAAACTTTACAGAGATACCATAATTTATTTTTCCGTCGACCTCGTATTAACGACTAAGTTCAATGTATATGAAATCGTTAATTAATGACCCCTATTAATGAACGATTTGTCTATTAATGTACGATTGTTTTATAGGCAACCAAACATACACCGCGTGCATTCATTGTTTATGCTATAACTTACGGAATCTGCATTTAAATCGAAAATATGGATTTCATTGAAGATTTTCTGTTAACGGGTTCACCTTTCCAAGTTTCTGACACGATTTCAATCCCTGTTTTCTAACACAAGGAATTTATTTTCTATGTTGATCATTTCGACAAATGTCAAATGACACTAATGTCAGTGACAAGGCTACTGGGTGATTCTTAGCAGTTTCCAGATGAATGATGAATTCGCGAACAAAGTTTTCTTCATTGCAGGAGAAATGAGAAATATAGTCGACGGAAAAATTTTGTAACCAACTTGTATATTAAAAAGCGATTAATGAACTAGTTGGTTAAATAACTATTTCCGTCGACCTCGTATTAACGACTAAGTTTAATGTATATGAAATCGTTCATTAATGACCCCTATTAATGGACGATTTGTCTATTAATGCACGATTGATTTATAGGCAACCAAACACACACCGCGTGCATTCATTGTTTATGCTATAACTAGCGGAATCTGCATTTAAATCGAAAATATGGATTTCATCGACGATTTTCCGTTAACGGGTTCGCCTTTCCAAGTTTCTGACACGATTTTATTCCCTGTTTTCTAACACAAGGAATGTATTTCCTATGTTGATCTTTTCGACAAATGTCAAATGACACTAATGTCAGTAACAAGGCTACTGGGCGATTCTTAGCAGTTTCGGGATGGATGATGAATTCGCGAACCAAGTTTTATTCATTGCAGGAGAAATGAGAAATATAGTCGACGGAAAAATTTTGTAACCAACTTGTATATTAAAAGGCGATTAATGATCTCGAACATTAACGCACTCGCTTCGCTCGCACGTTAAAATATCTCGATCATTAATCGCCCTCATTAATATACTAGTTGGTTAAATATCTATTTCCGTCGACCTCGTATTAACGACTAAGTTTAATGTATATGAAATCGTTCATTAATGACCCCTATTAATGAACGATTTGTCTATTAATGTACGATTGTTTTATAGGCAACCAAACATACACCGCGTGCATTCATTGTTTATGCTATAACTTACGTAATCTGCATTTAAATCGAAAATATGGATTTCATTGAAGATTTTCTGTTAACGGGTTCACCTTTCCAAGTTTCTGACACGATTTTAATCCCTGTTTTCTAACACAAGGAATTTATTTTCTATGTTGATCATTTCGACAAATGTCAAATGTCACTAATGTCAGTAACAAGCTACTGGGTGATTTTTAGCAGTTTCCGGATGAATGATGAATTCGCGAACCAAGTTTTCTTCATTGCAGGAGAAATGAGAAATATAGTCGACGGAAAAATTTTGTAACCAACTTGTATATTAAAAGGCGATTAATGATCTCGAACATTAACGCGCTCGCTTCGCTCGCACGTTAAAATATCTCGATCATTAATCGCCCTCATTAATAAACTAGTTGGTTAAATAACTATTAATAGACGAATTTCAATCAAACTTTCATCAGATATCTCAATTGACAACAACTTGACATAACATCACTATCAAAATACAGAAAATACAGGGTGCCACAGCATAACATTTTGTGGGGGTTAAACCCTTACGAGGGGTTGAATTCTCTGCCACTGACATGTCCAAGGAAATTGATTAACATAGTCGTCATTATTAATGATGAAGTGTGTACCTGATTTAAGAGCAAAGATCTAAAAATTTTCATCTGCCTGACGCCCGTATCTTGAAAACGGAAGCCCGGAGAGAAATTTCGAATTATTTGTTAACACTCTGTATATGATGCCATAGATTCATATCTGTCGGCAAAACTTGATCGCCTTGTATAAATGACTTATTTGCGGATGGTGCACCTTACCTGGACCACGAAACACAGATGTAGATGATGCCGACTATACCGAGCACGAAGATCAAGGAGGCTATGATGATAAGGGCGTAGGGAAAGACCTCCCCGTTGAAGGAGGCTATGGAGGCACTTTTCACTTTGGGCACGCTCAGGGGCTCGTGTATGTTGAAGGCAGTGTGCATTATTTGGCTGGTCAAGTCTAGGGTGATGTTGGCCATGGCGGATTTTTCGAAAATGGTCCTGGAAGAAATGTTATTGACTGATAGTATAGGCAGGGGCGGACTGGACCTTCGAATCGGCCCGGGCGAATTAAACCTTACCGGCCCACCTCCGGAGAAAATTTCAAAGCTACTATAGCTATTCATATAATTTCATCAAATATTTTGGTAACATATACGAACAAAAGCGAAAAAAAATTATTAAAAATAGTTTCCATTATAACAAAACTCAAACAAAAAAACTGTCGATGAAATATCAAATATACTAAAGAAAAACTAAATAAATAACATGATTTACATTCTATGAATGAAAAATAAAAATAAATAATATGAGCGATATTTCTATGGTAAATGAACATGAAGCACCTTGGTGAATAATATTAAAACTACAGAAAGACTAGGTTTATTAATCCAAATCAAAAAATAGTTATTTATTATACAAGGGAAAAAAGTAGTAGATTTTAGCTCCAGGTTGTGTTGTCTCCCGACGCGTAGCGGAGGGAGACAAAAAACCGTGAGCTAAAATCTAATATTTTTCCCGTGTATAATACACTATTTTTTGCTGTGACAGAAGGAAGGACGAATCAATATTGAGAAGATATTACATTATTTCGAAATCTGAAAATTATCGACGTGAAATTTCAAGTTTTTAACAGTAGGGACACACCTGCGTTTTATAGGCATCTTTATCATTCTTTTGAAGTAATCAAATATCTGATGTCACTTCTGTCAGTTCAATTCTGTGATTTGATTTTAAAAAATTGCGAATTCAGTAGTTGTTTAGTAATATACCTAACCGCGAAGTCGAATGGAAGATAAAAGGACTTGCAGTTCTTTCTCGGAGACGGTATTATTGACTCATTTTTCGGAACTATAGCACAACAAGAGCCATTAACAGAGTATATATATGTGATATATATCCGGGAAAGAAGTACTCACTTTTTTCCCACGGGAAAAAAGTAATTTATGAAAAGTGACATTTTATAACCTGCCAACAGAGATGAAATGCCAAACTTTTTTCCCGTCACAGAAAAATAAAACATTAGCCGCATTAGAAACTGAAAGAAATAACCGAAAAGGTGAATCTCTCATGGATCCATCACATTTTTCAACGAGTTGAAAATGATATTGTCGCTTCCTATTGATATAGAAACAATTTTTGACACCTTATGATCATGAAAGCCTCTGAATTTTCTTGGCATAGAGAATTTATTATAGCGTATTCATAATGAATTTCAATTTTGAGAAAGCTATTTCACACGATACCTGCGACACTGAAGGAGTAAGAATATATTTATGAATTTTCTTTAAATTTTGATAGGCCTCGACGTATATTTTGTATTTGTGCGAAACATGGTAGCAACAAAATGAACATTTTTTGCAGAACTTGTGTTGTGATGAAATCAATTCCTCTTCTACATCGAAGACATAATAAGTTCCACCATCCATCATATCTTCTGATAAAGTACTCGACAGTCTTTCCCACTTCGAGGCAAAATCTATCAGTTCCATTTGCAAACTGTCAAGGCTTATTTCATCAGCAGGATAATAAATTTTGACCATTTCATAATCCTTCCTGATTGAGTTTTCAGTTAATATTATTTGATCATCAGTAAATCCTGACTGAATCGTGATTTTCTAGTATTCACATTTAGAAATAATGCTTCTCTTTGCTTCGTACAGAACGTTCGATGTAGCTTTCTTTGCAGTATCTATGTATATATTTTATATTCTTTCATCATTTCTACCGGCCCCAAAGGACACCGGCCCATCGGGCGATCGCCCAACCGCCCGGCCTCCAGTCCGCCTCTGAGTATAGGTTTTGTTTAGGTTATGTACCAAACTGATTATACTTTTGGCAACAATGTTTTTGTGTAGGTAATGATACTAATGATCTCTCTGTATGAATATATGCATAGCTATATAGTGGAATGAATGAATATTCAACACTTAGAGGTGATTATGATATTAAATTGAACAGATAAGTATGAATTATTAAAAATTTTCGCTTTTTCAATAACAAGAACGCAGAAATTTGATGGTTTCTATGATAGTAATCACACAGACATTCAATGTGATTCATTTGATGATCAATTGTACCTATTTTAAATTTTATCAAAGAATTGTATAATTATGTTGTAGAGGGGTATATACACCTTATTTGTGTTCGTTGAAGTATATTATACAGGTGAAACAACGACACCTCTAGCTCTCATCAATGAGGACGATAATAGACATACTGACAAATCAGAATAATATGGTAGAGAATTAAGATTTTTCACCACCCTGTATCTATTTCAATTGAATATCAATTGATAGTACATGGAAAGTTGAGATAGGGACATGAAAACCGTTTTGATCAATTATGAATAATTTCGACACAAAAAATTTTTGAAGTTTGAAAAATTTCGATTTCTCACACCCTATATCTTTTTTATCATTCCCGCTGGACCCCAAGTGTGATAGATCGATGGAATCAGCTCTTCAGGGAGAACTTGAAAATGGAATGATATACAGGGTGTTCCATTGAAAAATCAAAGTTATTGCTACTTCTCAATTTAAGCGGCAACGTCGCAACGCTGAGAATATTTTAGATAGATAGAATACAACTAATTATCCCAGGCACCTACTTTTCAGAATAATCCTGAGTTCTCCAGAAAGGTCTAATGTAGTGCCATCCACCGTGAGTCACCCTGTATATTCATGTTCCTCAAACATTTTTCGAAACAAGATGAGGTGTCTAATGACTGGACTGAATTATTTCTTCAGGTTTTCTTATGGTGACACTTTTGAACGCAGTGATATATTTTTATTCTTAGAAACTAGCTGGAGAGAATATCGAAAAATCTGAAGAATAGTTATTTATTATACAAGGGAAAAAAGTAGTAGATTTTAGCTCCAGGTTGTGTTGTCTCCCGACGCGTAGCGGAGGGAGACAAAAAACCGTGAGCTAAAATCTAATATTTTTCCCGTGTATAATACACTATTTTTTTCTGTGACAGAAGGAAGGGCGAATCAATATTGAGAAGATATTACATTATTTCGAAATCTGAAAATTATCGACGTGAAATTTCAAGTTTTTAACAGTAGGGACACCTGCGTTTTATAGGCATCTTTATCATTCTTTTGAAGTAATCAAATATCTGATGTCACTTCTGTCAGTTCAATTCTGTGATTTGATTTTAAAAAATAGCGAATTCAGTAGTTGTTTAGTAATATAGGAAACCGCGAAGTCGAATGGAAGCTAAAAGGACTTGCAGTTCTTTCTCGGAGACGGTATTATTGACTCATTTTTCGGAACTATAGCACAACAAAAGCCATCAACAGTGTATATATATGTGATATATATCCGGGAAAAAAGTACTCACTTTTTGCCCACGGGAAAAAAGTAATTTATGAAAAGTGACATTTTATAACCTGCCAACAGAGATGAAAAGCCAAACTTTTTTCCCGTCACAGAAAAAATAAGTTTTTTAAGCTTCGAATGACGTTAGAAAGAATGTGTTCCCCCTTTACTCTGGAACAATCAAGTGGCGCACCCTGTAGCAACTCGTACAAGTCTATTATTTTTATCGACCATATGCAGTGAAGTTAATACAATTTCTAATTCTTTTCTAATTTTAATCTTGTAGACATTATATTTTCGTTCACGTATTTGGAAAACAATTAATAGAAGAACAAATCATGAATATCTTTTTCAGTTCGGCTCACAACAAACTTGAGTCAACATGACCGAAGAGTGAAAATGAGTGATTTTTTTGTGAAAATTTCACATCCAACATTTTCGACCAATTAAAAGTCTGTATTTTGTGTCTTTACCATAAAGCAATAACTGAACAAATTTCTGGGGGAAGGAGCATGAAATTACATGCACTGGAAATTTTTTGACGATATGAGTAAAATGACATTTACATTCAACTTCAGATTACGCCGAAATCATTCTATAAGTTGATGAGTTCTTTGTAACAAAATATAGTTATTTCTACCAACTTTAGCTACAGTTTTACTATCTACTTAATTTTTATAATCTCATTTGACTGAAGTCGTTTAATCATATTTTCTTCAACCTAATGATATTACATGAGCAAATTTTATTGATACCATAATATGTTGATACTGAATAGTACTTCGAGTTTCTTATGAGAAAATATACAAGGTGAATCTGAATGTGAGGTTTTTTCAACAGGATATGCCTATATCTCACCAAAATATGTTGTTTTGCAAAAAATTACTCACCTAAAATATCTAGGATAACGGAGGTACAGTTATTCAATGGTTCAAAGAAGACTCCAACTAATGAAACATTTTTTTTACATTTTCTCAAAAAAAAAAACAAACGCTAAAAAGCCGTTATCACCCCAGCATTAGATACACATATGAGAATGGTTGATATTTCCTTTGGAAAATTGAATAAATGAAATCCATTCTCTTCAGAATTCCCTCAATTCATCACAGCAGGTCCTTTCCATTTATGCTTTCTCTCCAATATCAATAATTTAAGGAATTATATACTTCAATTCTGACATTCATGAAATTTCAAATTCAGACAACAAATTTGGCACATTATACACCGTTGCCAAGTGTGAGGGCTCCTTTCAGAAGGAATACTCAGGGGAGGTCTATAAAACAAGTGTAACGTCAAGTAGTGCTCAAGCAGGAATCTCCAGATAAGGAAGACTTGAGGAGCTCTTGAGGAAGCGACTATAAATATGGGCCCTACTGATACCATCCAGTGTCTACAGGGTGTTTCAAAAAAACCTAACCCCTTTGCTAGGGTGGGTAGAACATTGCAAAATAAGTTGGGTTTGCTCAGTAAAAAAATGTCGTAACGCCATCCGTTTTCAAGATACAAGGTGTTGAAACAATATTTTTTTTACACATTTTTTACGATTATATTGAAACTACTGGCAACATTGTAATGAAATTTCGTATGGATGTTTCTTGAAATCTGACACATCGCATGCATTTGTTTTGATACCTGACTCTCATAGAGGGCGCTAGTTACACGGTTCGTACCGAGTAGTATTGAACATAACTTTTTTGAGGTTAGATTTTTCAATCCAAATTTGATGCGTGAACTTGAACATCATTCAATTTCACACCAAAAAGGTACTCTTGGTAAAACTCGATACTGTGTTCCGTTTTCGGAATATTTCGATTTGAAAATGATGAAGTGGTAACTGTTGCTGGTATAAAACTATGTATTAGAGTGAGTATTATGAAAAATTATCAACTATTTATTGAAAATAGAAAACAACAATACATTTATGATGCAAAACTCATTGATTTAACAATGAATCACAAGAATAACATCGAAACAGATTTGACTAAGAACATGGATTACACAGTTTTGTTGTATCTTGAGATGAAAGTCTATTCACGTCAAGAGTTGTGAGACATAATAATTGAACATCACTTAAATAACCTAACAGCTGATCCTCAACTGTTCAGAAGAATAATACATTCTTAAGAAAAGAATATAGAATCGTGTATTCCTCGAAACGTAATACATTTTGAACACTTACTCTAACTGATTCAATATTTCATGTTTCTAGTCAAATATCTCTTAATTTTCCACTTATGATTCTCTGTTCCATCAATAACTTCAGCACAAGAATAATTTTATTGTTTCTGAACCTGAATAAATAGGTAATTGAACTCAATAAAATTCATTTTATACCATCATTACTACGCCATTATTTTCAAATCGAAATATTCCGAAAACGCAACATAGTATCGAGTTTCACCAGGAGTACCTTTTTGGTGTTAAATTTAATGATGTTCAAGTTCATATCATATTTGGATTGGAAAATCTAACCTCAAAACAGTTATGTTCAAAACTACTCGGTACGAACCGTGTAACTAGCGCCCTCTATGAGAGTCAGATATAAAAACAAATTAATGTGATGTGTCAGATTTCAAGAAACATCCATACAAAATTGCATTACAATGTTGCAAGTATATAGTTTTGGAATAATCGTGAAAAATGTGTAAACAAATAATTTTTTCAACACTTTGTATCATGAAAACGGATGCCGTTACGACATTTTTTCACTTAGCACACCCAACTTATTTTGCAATGTTCTACCTACCCTAGCAAGGGGGTCAGGTTTTTTTGAAACACCCTGTATAATCAAAATAATGTACCCATATGTTGCCATATATATGCATGTAAATACCTATATGCACTTATCACGTTTCGTATAAGCAGGGAGATAGACTCTGAACTGCAAGTAAAATGATGCACAGAATCAATCTAACATAATTTTTCTATACTTCACTGTAGAGTTCCTGGAAATGATTTCTTGAAGTTCATTTAAGTGGAGGTACCTATATATATCCTAGTTAATTATTGGGATTCGTCCAACGAACACAACTAGTTTTCGTAGAAAATGTCTGTTTCAACATTGATTTCACCGCCACATATAAAAAAAAACTATATATTTGATTATCGCACTTATGTAGGTACTTTTATATACCACTTTGACGCTGATACTAAGAATGTGGTCGAAGTAAACGAATCGTAATACCCACCTGGACTGAGTAATTTCCTGCTTAAAATTCAGAGATTGATTGATTCACGGTTACTCATTGCATAATTGAATGCGACAAATTTATAGGCATGAGGTGTGCTGCATACTATGTGTTGTACGATAATAATTAATCAACAATTCATTTCATTGTCACGTAGAGCAAATATAGGTTATATGTATACCCATCTACATACAGAGGAGTGCACCAAAAACGACCAGGATTGTAACTTTTGAATTATTCTAGATAGGATTCTGAAAATTGGTGGGTAGCAAGTATTCCAAATTGCTCATTAATTGATGAAACAATTTTTCTTCTATTCACTTCCAGTTTCATCGGAAACGACCCCAACTTTTGATTTTTCAATGTGACACCCTGTATTGTATTCCATAATCGGTTAGGTATTATACCGGGTTTGATAGGGTTATTTCAAACAATTACGAAGATATTTGCGTTCGAAGTTTCCATATATGCTCAATGGGTGTGACTTCGCGATATCAAAACTTCTTTCTCCGTCACACCCATTGAGCATATGGAAACTTAAAACGTGGACAACATGGCCAGCTTTGCTCTTGTGGTGTTACCACTGATAATCCTCTCACCTCTTGACCAGGGAATGGTTCCTCGGCAAGATTGTGTCCGTTTCCGGATCGATCACATAAAACCAGACGTCAGTGGCCCCCAAATCCGTTTCTAGCGTCCCATTTCCCCCTATGTACTCTCTCGACGTCAATTTCTCCACGCCTACTATCAGTCCGGTCTGTTCTTCGACGATCCTGGTGATGTTGTCGATTTTGCTTTGGACGACATCCGGTTTGGCATCTCCTGTCGAATAGAAACGAATACAGGGTGATGTATTTTATGTTATGTTCATTATCTATACTAATATTATGAACAGGAAATACGAAATTGGTGGGGAGATAGCTTAGAACCAGGAGAAGATTTTTATCCCGGTAGGTACCATTAGAAAATTCAAGATGGCGGATCTAATATATCGGACGAGTTTTGTAATTATGGGAATATTATGAACAGGAAATACGAAATTGGTGGGGAGATAGCTTAGAACAAGGAGAAGATTTTTATCCCGGTAGGTACCATTAGAAAATTCAAGATGGCGGATCTAATATATCGGACGAGTTTTGTAATTATGGTCCTATTCTATTCAAACTTGGTATCTGGTGGTTTTCGGGGTCGGAGATTATGATTCTTTCATCATAATTTGAAAATTCGTGCGGAATTTGGAAATTCAAGATGGCGGAACCAATATGGCGGACGAGTTTTGTAATTATAATCTGATTCTTTTCAAAATTGGTACCTATAGAGGTTTTCGCGAGGGTTTTCGTGTTTGGGGATTATGATTCCTACGTTCGATTTTATTCATATTTAGTATCTGGTGGTTCTCGGGGTCGGAGATTATGATTCTTTCGTCAAAATTAGAAAATTCAAGATGACGGAAACAAATATGGCGAACTCGTATTGTAATTATGACCCGCTACTTTCTTCAGAATTGTTTTCTGGGTGTTTTCAGGGTCGGGGATTATGATTCTTTTGTCAAAATTTGGAAAGGGTGGGATTTGGAAATTCAAGACGGTGGAACCAATATACCGGACGAGTTTTGTTATTATATACCGATTCTATTCAAAATTTATAAGTGGGCGTTTTCGGGATCAAATATTATGATTCCTTCGTCAAAATTGGGAAATTCAAGATGGTAGATCCAATATTGCGGACGAGTTTTGTGATAATGTTTCAATTCTATTGAAAATTTTTATCTGGGATTCTAGGAGTCGGATATTATGATTCTTTCGTCAAAATTGGGAAATCAAAGTGAACTAAAAAGAAGCTGAAATAAATGGTAGTTTGAAAAACTGAAGAAACACGCTTTTATAGATAGCGAAACTGAAAAGAAGTAGAAAATGAAATATTAATAGTGTCTTGATAAATATCGATCTGAAAAAATATATTATAGAAATAATTTATATAGTAAAACAACGTTTGCGAGGTCTCCTAGTTATTAATGAACACGCTTATATTATTGAAAAGGAATATTCTCAGATATATTATAAACATGAAAAAATGGATACATTTGAATAAATACATTGAGAATTCGCATTCTCTATGTGATGAAATTATTAATTCTTTCTCGGCATATTCAACAGAAAACAACTACTTTCCTGGCTATATGCCACGACGAACATTGAATTATATCAATTGAACATACACGATAGGAATTTGAGCATAAAATGAATATCGTCTGAAATTGAGAATTGACATTCTCTTCCAGAATCGGATGAATACTATGATGAATATAACGATATAAAAAATATATTACTTACCAAATTGGTATGAAAATTGGAATGTATGGGAGAAATATACTAGTATACATACTCTGTTCTTGTTGAGTCGTGAATTTATCAAAAATCATCCGTATCCATGATGTTTGGGATATATGCACATCTCTTTCACATAGGTTAGATGATTTTGATTCGAATAAAATTCATTTCGAGTTTCAAACTCTCCTCAGTAACCTGAAGTCCAGTCATTCCTTCAGCCATTCTTCATTTAATACACAATTTTCACATTTCTATAATAATATAACTAAAACTATAGTGGAACTGACATCTATCTGAGAATGAAAATTTGTTGACTTATCTCCAGTCATGTGGGTGGCAATTGTTTTAGATGTATGACAAACTGACATTTATCATACAGGGCGTGGAAAGAAATTCTGAATTGAGAAAAACCCAATCACGAATCTGCGATTGAAGGTCTATAAAAATAACAAGTTTCCATGAAGAATGGCTGAAGGAATGACTGGACTTCAGGTTACTGAGGAGAGTTTGAAACTCGAAATGAATTTTATTCGAATCAAAATCATCTAACCTATGTGAAAGAGATGTGCATATATCCCAAACATCATGGATACGGATGATTTTTGATAAATTCACGACTCAACAAGAACAGAGTATGTATACTAGTATATTTCTCCCATACATTCCAATTTTCATACCAATTTGGTAAGTAATATATTTTTTATATCGTTATATTCATCATAGTATTCATCCGATTCTGGAAGAGAATGTCAATTCTCAATTTCAGACGATATTCATTTTATGCTCAAATTCCTATCGTGTATGTTCAATTGATATAATTCAATGTTCGTCGTGGCATATAGCCAGGAAAGTAGTTGTTTTCTGTTGAATATGCCGAGAAAGAATTAATAATTTCATCACATAGAGAATGCGAATTCTCAATGTATTTATTCAAATGTATCCATTTTTTCATGTTTATAATATATCTGAGAATATTCCTTTTCAATACTTTCATACCCAATCAAGGGGTTCAAACTTGAACGATGGAAACTTGTTATTTTTATAGACCTTCAATCGCAGATTCGTGATTGGGTTTTTCTCAATTCAGAATTTCTTTCCACGCCCTGTATGATAAATGTCAGTTTGTCATACATCTAAAACGCTTATATTAGATTGGTATATATGTTTGTATGTAACGCGGAATCTGCGAAAGTGATTTGATCCACTTGAAAACGTCGAATCAAATTGAAACTGCACACACTTTTATCAAGATTCGATGACAATAGTTTTGTTCCATTATTATCCTGGTCGAGATTATTTTCGCGAATAAAATGGTGAATGATGTTTGGCCACCAAAATTCCAAATGTTCCTCCACCAAAATTGCAAATGTTCCGTCACCAAAGGACCCCGCACCATTCACATTGATATCTTGTCTACGGTGAAATTTTGTGAAAATCTATAATAATAATAAAATTTATTGATCCCAAGAAACATACAATGTTTATAGAGGGCATCAAAAAAATCAAATATGCAATACAATGAAATATAAACAGTTCAATCAGAATTAATTGATAGAAGGAGAGAGTTAAATTGATAAAATATATTTCTTCAGTTCACACTTGAATTTTGTGACGAATCTAATAGATTTTATTCTGTTGGGTAGACTATTATAAATATTTATTCCACAAAAATACAATGATTTTTTCTCGAATTGGGTTTTCATTATGACAGATTTTAAATGTTCACTTTGTCTGGTGTGATGCTCATGGGTATCAGAATTGATATTCAAAGTAAGATTCGAGTGCTTTTTCAGAAATGGTAGTTTATGAATACATTTTATGGCGTTATTTTGAAGAGATTTCAGAGGTTTCAAAACAGATTTTGCTGCAGTACCCCAGATCGATATCAGATACTGCAATTCAGAGTAAATCAAACTGAAATAAATTAATTTCAAGTATTTAAGAGATATGAAAGACCTCAATTTGTATCAAATACCAACATTGAATATGCGACGACCAAGATAAAGTCTGGTCTATAGTTAAACCTAAGAGTTTGGAGTTTTTTGTAGGATTTATACAAAAATTCCCGAATTTTAACGGATCTACTTGGTTATCAGGTATAACTCTTTTCGAGATGAACATAAAAGAAGATTCATCGAAATTGAGTGTCAATTTATGATCTTGTAACCATAATGTTATTGAAGCGAGATCGTGTTACATGCATTTGGTTTTTTATTTCTTGTATATTTTTTCCGTAATAAATGAGAGTTGTGTCATCGGCAAATAATTTCAAATTCCCTTGTAATCGAAAACTTGAGATAGAATTTATATAAATTAGAAATAAAATAGGTCCGAGGATTGATCCCTGGGGTACACTACAAGATATGTTTCTTATTGACGGAAATGAATCTCCCATGTACAAAAACTGCTTTCAATCAACTAGATAATCTTCAAACCAACAGTAAACTTCACCTCTTATTCCTATTCGAGTTAATTATTATTATTATTCACGCCACAGGCCATAAACGCCTACTTTACGCCCTTGATACATAATAGTATATTATGTAACAAGTGTTATAAACGGCCTTTTAGTAACTAGTTAATAGACGAGTGTCTAGAAGAGTTTATAAACGCGTTACATACTATGCTTTTTCTACGAACTCCGAAAATTACACTAACATACCTGCTATTCCTACTAACCTACGAAATAATCCTAAAGGAATGGGAATTGAGAACATAATACATGCAAATGCATGCAACCAGCGAGACACGTATAAGTGATATTGGTTGTAGATGTGTCCAGTCCATTGCTTACTAACCTTTGTTTCACGTTTATTGTCATGCTTAGCGCAGAATAAATAAATTGTTCTCAAAGATGGATGCTTCATTTTTATACTTCTTGGAGATATGCAAGTACCAGAACATTCTCTTCGATTTCACTTTCGTCTACATTCCGCATATATCTTTAATAGAGAACTCTGATACAAAAAAATGAATATTGTTTGAATAATTCTGATAAAAAATTTGAAAATAACAGTCGACAGGCCAGACATTTCTCATATTACTGAAGCTGTATTCAATGAACTGTGTTGACATGGTGTGATGTGTTTAAGAAATCGTGTTGCCATGGTAACGTGTTTAAATATTTTGAATGAATCACAGATCGTCAATCCGTGATTAATCGATCATTTAGCGTGGTACATATCCGTACGCTAAATGCCATTTTAGTTATGAGAGAAGAAAAATCACTATTACCTATGACCAGGATCAGTCTGTCACTCGGCGATATCAAATTGACCACGACCGGCGTCGAAACGACGTTGAAGTCCACCGTCGCGTTCGGATTGTCTCTGGCTTGAGCCAGCAACAGGAATGGCAGCTGGGAGTCCTGGATGTCCTGGAAAGACTTCTTGGTGCGGATTATGCCCGTGGTGGGATCGATGGAGAAGAACTCGTCGCTGTCGTTTCCTGCTAAGCCGTACTGGACCTTGCCGAATTTGCCGCTGTCTTTGTCGTCGGCTTTGATTTGGGCCACTGGTGTGCCTAAAAATGGAGGTCCAGATTTTTGATTTTTTGTACATGATAATAAATAATGATAAAATTTATTGAATCCTTCACGATCATAAAAAATGACAACAAGAAATTCACACACAATTTATATACAGATACATGAAAATTTAACAGAACCACAAAGTACACAGAATATTCAGTATGTAACCTTTCCTAGTACCACAAAGTATATGAAGATATGTGAAATGCATTTCATCGATTGAAATATTCTTCGATACTATAAAAACAACCGTTAATCAGAAATTCATTGAGTTTAATTTTGAAATGATTTTCTCGTCTGTGTACATTTTTTATTTCGTCAGATATGTGATTATAGATTTTTCTCCCTTATAAGATGGAAAATTTTCATACAGACGAGTTGAATGTTTCTGGAGTCTTATCAATTCACCGTGCCTGGTAGGATACCTATGAAAGTCACAGTTTCGATCATAATTCTGCATTTGTTTCCTGATTAATAAAATACATTTGAAAATATAAATGCAACGTACACACAAGATTTTATTCTCAATAAAGTGTTGCCTAAAAGATTCTCTGTAGTCTATTCCATATATTAGCCGTATGACCCTTTTCTGTGAGACGAATATTTTGCTGAGTTTTGACGAACATCCCCAAATGGCAATATTATAAGAAATATGGGAATATACAACAGCAAAGTAAACATTTAGAAGTTGAGCCTTATCGAAATTGGACCTCAGTTGTCTGATAGCATAGTTAGGTACTGTTCACTTTCTTACTGACATGATTTATACCTGATTCCTATGTCATGTTCATGTTACCATCGATAAAAGTACCTAGAAATTTGGTGTGGTGAAGATTATCAATTTTTCTATTGGTTCTGGAATAAAACTGCATCAGAACAGTTTTCCCTACATTCACAAATAAATAGTTTTCATCACACCAATTCGTGAACTCAAAGCTCAAGGTGTTTTTCTTGGAGCTTCACTGGGATATCTGCAATCGTTGTATCATCTGCATACAAAACTTCATAATCTGAGCTTATATGATTGGACATGTCATTGATGAATAGAAGAAAAATGAGTGGACCTAATAGAGAACCTTGAGGAACCCCAAGATCAGTGTCATACTGCTTCGACTGACAATTGTCGACTTTAACGTGTATCTTTCTGTGAGTCAGGTAAGATCTAAGCCATGAAAGGAAGATAGCCCTGAAGCCGAGTGAATACAGTTTTCTGCATATAATATAAGGGTCAATAATGTCACATACTCTCGATAGGTCGAAGATAAGTTCACCGACATATTTCCTTCTGTCAAGTGAATTATAGACACATTTGAAAAAACTTTTAAATGCACTTTTCGTTGACCTACCTGGGCAGAATCCATGCTGGAATTTGGTTGTCATATGGAATTCTTCTAGAAATGCAAGCATTTTTATATAAACGGATCTTTCGATTATTTTACATAATAATATTGGAACTGTACAGGGTACAGGCCGATAATTTTCAATAGTGACGTTGATTCACCTTTTTTTTAATATCGGTATCACTGACCCAATTTTCAGTTTGTCTGTAAATTCCCCAGTTTCAACTGAAAGATTTTCAAAAATGCTAATAGTTCGCAAATTGAATTTCTGATGTTCTTTATTATTTTTGTTGAAATGCAATCGACTCCAACACAGTTTATGTTCTTCAGGTCAAAAATTATTTCGAAAATATCACTTGGATTTACTTGAGTGAAATAAAAACTATGATCTACATGCATAGTGGTGTAGCATGGTGTAGTCATTGAATGATGTTGATTCAGAGTGTGCATTGATCGTGATCTTCGCTATGGTAGGAAAATATGAATCAAAAGCATCGACAATTTAATTTTGATCATTTATATATAAGTTTGTTGTCCTTCTTTGAAGTAAACACTTAGAAGGATGTATTCAACAATGCTACAAAAAGTTTGATGATTTGAGGAAAATCTGAGGATGTATGTACCCCTAGGATCTCTAATCGATGTACAGGGTGGCCAACTAAGACTCCAGAGTTCGATTTCTCTGTTTTCTTGAGAGATACAAAAAAATTCATGAATCAAAATCGAAGTAATAACCGAGCTTCACATTTCAAAATTTCTTTGAAATACACAGGGTGTTCCGTAAGGTCACAGCACATCAAAGCTATGTTTTTTTAAAGACCACATAGCCCATTTAAAATATGGCAGGTTAGATAAATCTTGTGTAGCCGAACATATGTTCTATCACAATCATAACACACATATTACTAACCTCAAATTAGTTAAGCAAGTTAATAACATTAGAAAACTAGACGCATATGAAAGCTTAGAGATATTTAAGAATAGTAATAGAGTAATGAATAAGGATAATGGACCTATTCCATATAGCCCTCTATATAGTTTAGTAAAATAAAAATTAAGATTAACATGTGAACTCAACCTTGACAAACATTAACTTGATGGTTAGTATTTTTCACAGTTGGGTGAACAGATATCTAGTATATAAGCAGCACACTAGAATAGGATATTTAGTTTTAATCTTCTCCTGAAGATGCTAACATAGTTAGCGAAACACGTGTCGAGGCGTTAAAAAATCGGTTTGGTAAGTGGTAAAACAGTGTAGTGTATTATCGTGCCAAAAGGTTCCAGTCTTCGATACATAGAAGGAGTGATCAAAGATTGCGTACTCAACCAGCAAATCCAGGATTTGCCACGGGATTATAGGAAAAGTCCAGTTGTGTGAATTAATTCACCTCAGGGCTTTGCTGCAAGGGAGAATGAAACAATGAATCTAAGGGTATTGAGCTCAATGAAGTCGCCATACTGTAGTACATAGAGATGGTTCAAAAATTGAAGAAAGAAGTAGAACAGGAGGCTACGGGCCTCGTACCAAGTGCTTCGAAAGCCTTAGCAAATTCCCGAAGATATTCCAAGCGAAAGTTCACAATATTGAAAAATGTGAGTACCGTAAAACTAGGAGTTTCTCGAATTTAATTCTAGAAACTTCAAATACTATGTGTATATAAGCTTGCTGTTTCAATTGACTCTTTTTCATGGTATATTTCTTTTTTTCTCAGACTCTGAGCTGACCACTAACTCGATTATAAAAAAAAACCTGGTTTCAATGCACCTCCCAGATGGTTAACAAGCGAAAAACATGCTTAAACAATTAGGTACTGTTTCCATTCACCCCGCCTGGATAGGTGATAGAAAATCACAACATTTCATTTTTTTCATCTAAAATTGATATTTTTCGAAACTTATTTGCTACATGTCCTCTCTTATAGTAACCATGACTTACATTTTCCATTTTTTCCTCATCAATAATGTGAATATTAACTCTGCAACACAGTCTGAAAAGTCGAAAACTGTTCCTATTGACCTTATTTTACGGTACTGTCCAATCTAGAAGACAACTAAGGAAAACGAGATATCATCAGCTCTAAATAAGTGACTTGGGAATTTCGGGAAAAAGCGAACGAACTGCTAACAAAAATACCTTCTATGGGTCTAACAGTTATTGATACGTTCAGCTGTTGTACCTTTGGATGTGTTTAACCTTGAGAATGGAGTAATTTTGAAACATGTTGTTTGATTGGTCATAATTATCATTGAAACCATAGAAATAAATTATGAACTCGTCAAATTTGACAGATGACACAATAATCCTATTAACCGTACCCAAGGATGATCCGTCCGAGATGGCAGCGTAGTACTTGTGGTACTGCTTGTTAGGGTACAAGAAGAACGGTTCGTTGTCATTAACGTCCAAGACGTTTATCGTTATTTGGGCGATGGCAAAGTCTCGGTTGATGAAGCCCTTCAACGACATGATTTCCACTTCGAATTTGTACGATTCTTCGGTCTCGTAGTCCAGCGTGGCGTTCAAATAGAGAGCGCAGTTTCTGTCTTCGGTGACGTTGATCATGAATTTCTCTGAAAAAAGGGGGATCATATCATTATTTCATTTTTAGCAAGTAGATACACTTAGCGACCGAGAAAAAAAAAACGGCCAGAGAAAATATTTGCGAAATTGATCGCCCTTGTAAACTTTTTTAGTTCGTGTCTGATTCTGGTGAAATATCAAACATTTCACTATCTTTGAACCCCCAATGGATCGAACATAAATTTCCCTTGAGAGAGTATTGCTAATGATAATACCGAGCATAGATATAGTGGTCTTGGCGGGAGTAGTATGGTATAGTTTATGCAAAGTCAGTTGAATTGAAACACTCTTTGAACTTCCAAAGGGACCGACGGCTTACGGTGATGTGTTGTTTCATCTGACTTTGCATAAATTATACCAGACATTGTTATATCAGGCATACCTACGCGTGTACACCTTAGTAGAACTTTTAACTCAAACCATGTTTATAATGATCCTTTTATACATAAATAATGATTGACGACATAATTCGATCGAAAAATTAACTGGAATGTTTCATTTTTGGACATAAATAATAGTACCATCTGAAAACGGACCCTCTTATGACATGGAAACCTCATCTAGCCATAGTTAAAAAAAAATACCAAACGCCCGACGGAGACTGAGGCAACTGATATATTAACCCAGGCAACCAGATGACGTTCCAGTGACGTCTTTTTTACGTCACTTGAATGACTAATGTGACATCAGTAGTTGACGTCGCATTGACGTGATAATGACGTGAATAAGTCACAGCCCAATGAAGTCATATTACTCACGTCGTTTTGACGTCATTCACTTATCAAACTGTGACGTCCGACTGACATCATAATACCGTCAAAATGACGATTGAATTTGCGATGATACGTAAAAAAGATTCCTATAACATGGTGTGATAAACTCCACACTAGCCTCTATGATGACATTATATAATATTGATTATGCATTGTTGAGTCTGCTTGGTGGGTCTCCCTCCTGTGTCATGTTCATTCAATCGCCTATTCAGCAGCGCCATCCTTCAGTACGCATCTCCATCAGAATGCGATCAGTTACTCGTATTTGTATAAAAAATTATATAGTTTGTGTCGGCGAGATGTAAGCAAACAAAGATTAGTTTGATAGCAATGGAAATAATGTCGGCGAATTAGACTTCACTTTGTTGAATAATGTGTATTGATGCATTCTTTGTCACCCAACAAAAATCTAAATAGCAAAAAAAATTCCAAAATGACGAAGCTCACCAAATTGGTAAGTCACACCGACGTGATTTTTAGACGTCATAGATACGTCACTGCAACGTCATAAAAGTAACGGTTTCAATATAGGTATACCTAAACAATCATTTTTATATATATACATAGCTTGTTGGTTTCTGAGATATACAACAGTGTGTCGAAGTTTTTGAGAAAAAAGTTCTTCTACTACTTTTCGGATATATTAATGATTAGAATAAAACTTGCATGTTGATTTGCTTTCATAAGTTACTTCTGTTTCACATAATAATATATAAGTATCCATGGTTTATAGAGGGTCTGGGAAAAATGGAAGTCGACAGGACGTCCCTGCAACGTCATGAAACTGACGTCTTCTTTTACCCTTCTAAGTGACGTTCACTCGACGTCGAAACGATGACGTGATTATCACGTCATAGAAAGTATGTCATAGTGACGCCATAAATTGGTGTGTGACGTCTCTGACGAAAAATCACCAATTAGGGACGTCACAGAGACGTGATCATTCGTCATCTGGTTGCCTGGGAATTCCTTTAACTGTGATCTCGCGCTAATTCACTCTGTCAGAAATCATGTATGATTCATCTCTGTCTGGAATAGTCTTGTTTCAGTATTAGGGTTTTGACGTCACATCATCGCCTCGTTTTCAGAGGTCCGAAAAATCGGGGATTTCAATAATTTTTTATAAAACGTAGGGAGCTCACAGCAAGAAACGGTTTGCGGTGGTGAGCTATTTTGGGTGAGTTCTATCAAATTATGAAATAATTTTTTTTTGTGATATGAGCCCATTTCCGCAACATCTTTACTGACAGCGTTAGCCTGCTTTCGTCGTGAGTATTATGAGTACGTATGCAAATATTCAGCTAGTTATAAAAGATTTTATGTTCAAAACCTAATTGTCCTGAGCTAAATACCTTTATTCCCAGATATGATCTGGCACTTGAGCGGAATATTCCCGCCATGCGTTTTGCTGTTGACGATTGTGAGAGTCTTGATCAGATGGCCGATAGATGCGTTTTCAGGCACTTGGAAGTTGTATGAAGTGTCTGCGAATCGAAGACCGACTTCTGGTGCCACAGTGGCGACATGCTGTATGTAGACGTCGACTGTGATCACTGATGACAGTTGAGGTTCTCCCAAATCGAAAGCCTTCACGTCGACCTAAAACAAAATCAGTGCCAAAATGCTCAATTTCTAATAGGTCGCGTGCACGAAGACCGACCCTGGAGGCAAAATATTGAAACAGAACCTCATTCTTCTGTGAATTATTGAAACACAACCTCCCTTTTTTATTTGTTTACAGAGGAATTAAGAGGTTGAAATAGTTTTTCACAATATTTTGGCATACGAATCGTGTTTCTTGCGTTATTCATTAATTCAAGCATGCCTTCGCATTGTGCTGTTGTACAATGCACAAAAGATGCAGCAAGAGACTAGGGAATATGATTTTTCAGGTAAATAGTAATCTCACATAGTTAGCATTATGAAATGTTGTCATTCCTTATTAAAATTCCTTCTGCCTTCTGCCACTTCTGCAATACAAGCTAATGCTGCTGATAGATTTAAAATGTCTACAACACACACGATCGTCAGCATGTCAGACCAGTCCTACCGATTGATTGCATGAATCCAATCTTCTTGCATTATTCTAGAAATTTCAGGTATATTTCTATTAGCTGATCCCATTGCAGAAGGAATTCCGATGAGAAATCAGGGAAATAACCAAATTTCAAAAATGAAAACTATGTGAGTGTCTATAGTAGGTACTTACTTTTGAATCATAATGTACCATGCGGATTTCTTCATCTTCCGCTGCAGTTTTTGTGCATTTTACAACAGCACAATGTGATGGCATTAGCGAATTGATGAATAGCGGAAAAATACGATTCATATGCCAAAATAATTGTGGAAAACTATTTCGATCACTTGTAAACAAATATGTTTTGCCTCCAGGGTCGGTCATCTGACAGTTCTTGCACGCGACCTTTTGGTTGTATCGTAATAGTAATAATAATAATGAATACTTTCATTCAAAGAACATTTTCCATAATAAATTATTATGGGCTAAAAACATATAGACCATTAGAGAAATAAAATAAATCCGATCATATAGGCATTATATTCAAAATCCGAAATATCATTCTCTTGAAATACTTGAAATGTATTCACTTTTGCCTCATTGATTCAAATTTACAATATTTACCTTCTATTTGGAGGAGTACAAATATTTCACGCCTAAAACCACTAATGAAATTACAAAACATATCAATTAAATGCATTTTTCATCTACATTTTCTAGAACCAACGGAAAATTGATACAAACCTAGACATTTTCTAAACCTGAAGAGGTATAGGTTCTCAGCAAACTCAGATGTGGATTTTATTTCACAATAGTCTGACAGGTTTGACAAGCCACAGAACTAAAATTAAATAATTGTGCTAATATCATAAAGATATTCGCATATAGAGATCTAATGTGATATTCAAGATTTTATACAATAATAGTACATACCTAAAACCAGGCGACTATTGTGGAATGAAATCCATATCTGAGTTTGCTGAGAACCTATTCCTCTTCATCTGGTGCCCCACGTTGGGCGCCAGATGAAGAGGAATAAGTTCTTAGCAAACTCAGATGTGGATTTTATTTCACAATAGTCTGACAGGTTCGACAAGCAACAGAACTAAAACCAGGGGACTGTTGGTACCGAATATAATTCAATCTCACAGTTGAAAACCCAAATAGCTTTCAGTACAACTTGTCTTGCTAACCAACTTTATAGTTTCAATAAATTCAATAGATAATACTGAATGGTTATTTTGTCACAAACCTGATTTCGTTGTATATAATTAAAATATGTGTTCTATTCATTTCGCCAAAAATAAATTGAAAATATTAAATTTAGCTTTCAATGAAGTTAATACAGTCCATAGCTATCAGACTAGACAATTGATTTACTTGATAGCAAATTCATTCAAGTCGAGCATTGGCAAACAATCATCTGTATTTCACAATGGAATAATTCAAAACAATTCATTACCGAATGCGTTAAAAAATATACATGATACAAGAAGGTTCGAAATCAATCTCAAAAATTACTTGCTCAGGATAATTTGAATGAAAAATATGATTTGATTACTCAGAAATGAAATGTTACAACTTTCATCTCAAGAAACGATATTAATTTTTTTCCACTGAGTGGAATTCATTAATTAAACCTTTATTATATGTTTTTCATGTATTCATGTATCCCTATATTATGAACAGAAATGTTTCTTGGGGTAATAAACACAATCAAATCAAATCAAAATATAAGTACGCTCAGAGACGTTTTCTAATGGCATCATGGGAGTAGCGACATCTAGAGCAGACGGAAAGAAACACTCCAAATTTTGATGGTGAAGGATTAGGAATTATTGCTTGCACTTACTTGATACTCGGTATCAACTTCTTTCTTCAAATCGTTCGTCACACGTAGTACTCCTGTATCTGGATCGATCTGGAAATATTTTTCTGCCTTTCCTCTCCCTACCAACTCGTATCGGACCTTTGATAAAAGGACATTTTAGTGATTTTGGACATACAAATAATGGGGGGTTTTGCAATTATTCACCTTATTACCAGGAGCAGTACCATCTGAGTCTGTAGCGACGAGTGTTGTCACGGTAGTACCAATGGGAACGTCATCTTCTAGCGTTATTGGATGGGGGATGATTGTGAAAACTGGTGGTATATCATTCCGATCCTGAATAAAATAGTAGATTGTTTTATTAGGATCTAAATTGACACTCTGAAAAGCAAATTTTGCATTCGCGAGGCGAGACTTTTTTTAATGTCCTGGTTCCCACGAAAAGGGATATCCTGTAATGTTCAGAGAACATCGTGGGAACCTGGGAACCAAGGGAAATAATGTGGGAATTGGTGTTCTTCTTAAATTTCTGGAGGTTATATGCCTCGGGGAACACCTCCCTTGGCAATGTGTACCAGAGCCTCGCTGTTCGTTGGATGAACGAGTCTTTGGGAATAGATGTTCTGCAGGTCTCCAAAGTGACCACGAAGTGGTGCGAAGCCTCAACTCAACGGGTTAATCTCGCGGGGACTGCCAAGGGAGGTACAATAATTGTTGATATTTCAGAAGAGCATCGTCCGTGAAAATATCTATAAAATAGAGCCAGATCGCCAACTTTTCTATGGTTTTCCAGAGAAGTGAGTAAGTTTGTGAGCAATGCATTACCCACGAGACGAATTGCCCTTATTTTGGACAGAATCCTACTACAGAAGACTACTTTACTTTGTTACAATGTGTCTGATACTATAGGCACGAATTCAATACTATACCCGAAACGTGGATGCCGTGCCATATGTATGCAATGCAACAAAATAATCCATGTGGTGAGAATATTCTACCTGCATTTTACCAGAATTTACAAATCAGGTTCATTAGATTTTCAAGGATGTTCGAATGGTAGTTTAAATATAAATACAGCCACAGAGTGACACATTTGGGTATTATATTGAATCGATGAATTCATTTGAACCAGTGCGGTAGTGCCAGGTATAGGAAAAAGAATTGGAAAATGTTAGGTTAGTGAGCATATCAACAATAATGAAAGCGATAATCTATTTCTCTCCATATTCCACTATTTCCACTGTGTTTGGGTCGGTCATCAAAAGAAGGTAAGAAACAATATCGTTGTGTGAGACAAAATCATATTGCTGACCAAGAGATGATTTTGGTATTTAAGTGGACGACTTTTCTGTCGGTTGCAGAAAAATGTATTTTATATGTCTCACCTCAACGTTCACTATGATTTTCGTGGTACTACCATTATCGCTAGACATATTCTCTAAAGTACCGATGACGAGGATATGTTGGGATTCTTTCTCATAGTCCAGACCTCTGGTGGTGTAGACAGAACCCGTATTTTCGTCTATCCTGAATAAATCTGTGGGTCCTTGGTGGATGACGTAATGGACTTTTTTCACCGTGTCTGGATCAACTGCCTAAAAACATAATATGTTATGAAATTGGAAAACCCTACTTTCAGGCAGTGGAGGTGGCAGTACTTACTTTCACTTGAGTGATGAAAACATCGGGCATATTTTCTGGAACTGTGGCTTCGTATTTTGGAACAGGGAATATGGGAACTTCATCTTCGACATCTATGACTTCTATGGAGACGGATGCTGTGGCTATTCTGGGATCTGGAGCTCCATCTTTTGCAGTAACGGTGAAGTGGTAATCCTGTTGAGAATATCAAATGAAAATGGGTGCCTCCTCCTAATGAGAAACGCAGTCATTGATATTTATAACGCATTTAAATAAGAAAATGGTAACACATTATTCCAATGGCAAAGTTGAGAGATGCCATTTTCTTCTTCCATGGAGAAAATAGAGGCATATCCTAATGTTTTACTGTTCATGTTCATGTTTAATTTGAGGTTTCTAATGTCTGTGTTATGATTTTTGCAAATATTTTCTTTTATGTTCTGGTTCGCACGAAAAGGGATATCCTGTAATGTTCAGAGAACATCGTGAGAACCAAGGGAAATAAGGTAGGAATTGGTGTTCTTCTTGAATTTCTGGAGGTTATATGCCTCGGGGAACACCTCCCTTGGCAATGTGTTCCAGAGCTTCGCTGTTCGTTGGATGAACGAGTCTTTGGAAAGAGATGTTCTGCAGGTCTCCGAAGTGACCACGAAGGGGTGAGAAGCCTCAATTCGATGGGTTAATCTCGCGGGGACTGCCAAGAGAGGAACAATTAATAGTTCAGTTGATATTTCAGAAGAGCATCGACCATGAAAATATCTATGAAATAGAGCCAGATCGCCAACTTTTCTACGGTGTTCCAGAGAAGTGAGTGAGTTAGTGAGCGAGGCATCACTCACGAGACGAATTGCCCTTTTTTGGACAGAATCCAACAGTTTCAGGGTATGTTTGGGTGCTGCACTCCAAATATGGAAACACTATTCCAGGACAGGTCGGATCTGTGCCTTATAGATCATGAGCAGCTGACTGAGAGTGAGATAGCTCCTGACCCCGAAACAGAAAACCATGTTTCTACGGTTGATTCACCTAATTTTCCAAACTTCAAATGTGCAAGATGTTCTTCAAACCTAGTCGTGGTGGGTCTCCTAGTTTGACCTGTATATCATGTTTTCCTGCAATCCTCTCAACTAATTCAGCCAATTCCTGATTTTTCGTATGTTTCTACTTCCACAACCTGAGAGTTATTGCGAAAATATACGAGTTCAAAGTGGTTTTTATGGTTTACGGACTTTTTTAATATTCGTGTACGAAACCCGTCCCCATTAGATATTGTTCGAATTATTTATTTATTTATTTATTTCAGTTATTGCATTACATTCTCTTCTTCATTGATACATTTCATACAAATAATATATAAAGTATAATTAATTTTCTAGTAGGAATGACATGAATGATCAGACAGTAATTCCTGGTATAAGATCATTCATGAAGTATTATCGACTGTTGTATAATTAAAATTACAAATAGTGAACAAAACTTACATATCATTAAGATGCAGTCATATTATAGTGAACAAGAAGGGGAAAAATAAAAACAGTGAAAAAGAAAAGAGGAAATTCATAGTCTTTCAGCTTTGATCATTCCTTTGCATATAAATATATTTCTTGACTTTATTTTTGAATTGCATAATATTTGGGCTGTTTTTGATATCATCTGGTAATTTATTGAATTTCGAAATCGCCTCATGTGTAAACTTTTTTTGCCCAAGTTTAGAATTTGCAGCTTCAATATGAAACAAGTTATATTGTCTAGTGTGATGATCATGAATTTCGGAATTCCTGATTGATATAAAATTTGATTTAAGCTTTTTGTTGATGATATAATAGGAAATTTTTAGAGTATTGATTAAAAAGTGCTCTTTCAAAAAAAATGTGTTTGTTTCCTTATACAGTTGATTCGTTGGAGTATCATATGGAAGACGATACAATACTTTCAATGCCTTTTTATATAGAACAGAAATTTTGTTGAAACTATTTTTGGAACAAGATCCCCAAATATTAATGAGATAGTTAATTCGACTGAGTATATGTGAATAGAGAATGATATTTGATGTATATGTACTAAGTTTAGGACATCTTCTCAAAGCACCAATAATGGGAGATACTTTTCCTATGAGGATGTCAATATGCTTTCCCCATGTTAATTTCTCATCAATCCAAATACCAAGGTATTTGGTATGGGAATAAAAAATGAACGTTTGAAACAAACTACCCATACGGTATGGGTAGTTTGTTTCAAACGTTCATTTTTTATTCTAATATTCAGATCAATATTTTGTTTATTTCTTTGACGAAAAATCATATATTGAGTTTTATTAGAATTGAGAGAAAGAAGATTGGAATAAAGCCATTTCTCAATTTTTTTCGAGTCCTCATTATTTATGATATGTTCTAGAACTACTGGGTTTTTATTCTCTTATAGAAGCACTGTATCGTCTGCATATATGGTATAGTTTCCTATCAAATTCATTCTTTCAAAATATTTTGAATGTATAATAGATAAAGAATTGGACCCAACACTGATCCTTGAGGAACCCCTTTATTTAAATATAGTATCTTAGACTCACAGTTATTAATTTTAGTTATAATAGTTCTATTTTCAAGATATGATTTCAAGAGATCGTGTCCAATTCCTCTGATTCCCATTGAAGCAAGGTTTTTCAGAAGTATATTGTAAAATGGAGTTCAATATCCAGACCACTATGATTCAGTTTTAGTGGGGTTTTTGGTTTTTTGACCTTTTCATGGCTCGATTCACACTTCCCACAAAACGGTTGTGGGTAGTTCCTCAACAAATTTACAGGTGTGTGACTAATCGGATAGCAGTTGATTAGCATATGGAAAGCAAGGCCTATTTGCAGTTGGGATTGTTAATTTTTTTTTGTTCCGATCAATGTATCGACATTTCTTCGAACTGGAACTGCAATAAGAAATAGTGCAGTATAATTAGGACATTACGACATTTGCATTGAGAAGCTGTAGCGCCCAGAAAACGTAGGAATGCTAATGATGAAAAAAATGAGATGATTATGTGGATGTTTATACGACGAAACATATCGTTAAAATCGAAAATTATTGAGGCCGCTTTGTTATTAGTGTTTTTCTTGGGATACATGAATTTCAACAATTATGAAGATATCTCGATTTTGTATTGGGAACTGGCATCAGTTCCATATAATTATATCAATTACAAGATGAAATAAACGTACAAGAGTAAATACTTATATTTGTATAATTTTTTTTTATCGCTTGGAGCGCACGAAAGGGAATCCCTATAATGTTCAAAGAACATCGTGCGTTCCTAGGGAGGATAGGGACAGGAGGTAGGTATTGGAATTTTTTTTGAACTTTTGGAGATTATATGTTGTTGGGAATACTTCCACAGGCAATGAATTCTAGATCCGACAGTCAACTATTTTGGAGAAATAATTTTCGAACTATACAAGGTGATTTTGGTTCAAGTAGCGAGACTTTGTTCATATAAGAAGGAACCTCATCATTGTTGTTAGAAGGAGAGGATTATAACTTAATTAAGTGTCAAGGAGTTGGTCGAAGGTTTCAGTCGTCGATATAATATTTTTTTCTACAACGTCAAAAAATATGCGAAGTGACAATTTCATTTTCCTACGTTACCATGACATCGTAGCAGAAAAGTGTGCAAAGTAAAATATTGCGCAAAATACATACTTTGCGCACTGCATATAGTTTACACTGAAACGACGTCCCTGTATTTATACTGAAGGTATTTTGATTATAGTAGTTATATGCGAGTCAGTTATATGAGGCAAGAGTGAAATCATTGAAGACAATGGTAGGAAAATAGATTTTTCCAGTCCAGTAGGTTGTAGCACATTGTATCTGTCTAATCAGCAGCGACAAAATTCGGTCTAATCCTCAATTCTAAATGTATACTGAGGTTTATACAATCTAACTAAACGATTTCGGTTTACTCGTTATTTCAATGACAACAAATTCTGATAGCATCTCTCTAATTTTTATGTCTAATATGTCATAATCCATTTATAGAAAAACCAGAACAAGTTATAGATTCGATCTGTTTTGCCCAGTTCATCCATAACATGATAAATGTTGAAATATCCAACCAAGCTAAAGAATCAGTTGAGTTGAGATATGGCAACGCTGTTCATCTTTTTGATTAGTACATGTGACGTCAGTACCGCTGACGATTTCCCGTTGTGATCTAATAGAATTGGGAATTTATTTTGAGATGATACAGTACATTCATTTGAAAGCAAGAATCTTTCAATTTCAAAACATGTGATGAATGAAGACTTGAAAATATTTGAAAAATGCCTCCACTCTGACCTTCAATCGATAAATACTGATAAAACAGAATATATGATTGTTAGGTAGAAATGGAACAAGACAAAGAAAATATCTCCAATTATTGGTGCATTGAGAAGATGTCCCATACAAAAAAGATTCACTCATTCTGCCTTAACTGAATTCTGTAAACTATCTGCCAATATCAAAAACTGCATAAATATAGGAACATTCAAAAATAAACAAAAAAAAACTGATTATTTCTAAGCGAACGGGTTGAAATTATAAAATCGCTAACTCATATAGTTGTTGATGTATTTCGAATGATGAAATGTATACCTATAGGGTACTTCCTAATACCAGAGCCTAGTGTGTATGTAAGTTATTTGTTTAATAAATAAATGAATAAATAAATTAATCAAAAAAAATCTCTGTGCCTTTTCCCATATGTCGTAATAAACGTCACTATTTTTTCTAGAAATTAGTGTTCATGAATATTTGAATTTTTTCGTCTCGAAGCTACCATACCTTTTGCTTTTCGTAATCCAAGGGCCTCTTGGTGGTGATCTCTCCGGTAGCATTGTCGATCTCAAAGGGAGAATCCTTCGGTATGGAGTAGCTGACCAATGCGTTGATCCCTTCGTCCGCATCCACTGCATGTACGAAACCGACAGTCGACTTGTTCAAGCCCTCCTTGACCTTGAACAGGTACGGCTCGCCGGTGAATTCCGGATTTTTGTCGTTGATGTCGGTTACCTTGATGTCGACCGTCACCGTGCTGGACAGTTTGCCCGAGTCCTCTGCTCGAATCACCTGGAAAACGAGGACAACTCATATTTTGTCAACATTGTTTTTTTCCTTTGACTGATTGATTGTTTGATTCTATTGGGGCACACGATAGGAAATCCTTAGAAAGTTCGGAAACAGCTTACCTAGGGAGGAAAAGGAGAGGAGGTAGGTATTGGATTTTCTTAGCTTTTGGAGTTTATGAGTTCTTAGGAATACTTCCATTGGCAATGGATTTCAAAACTTTGATGCCGTCCCATAGGCGAATGAGTCTTGGAAAAGTATTGTCCTACATACTTCGAGGTTGACAACGGAAATATGTGCTGACTGGAGCTGCCAAGTTTGTCTGGCTGATATTGCTAGTGATGGTAAGTAGATTTTGCTTCGAACATCTCATTTCACGCCAAATGCCAAAGGCCAATTGACACAATAAGAAGAAGTATATTTATCAGTTCTATACCAACTCTTACCTCACGTTTTATTGGCGCGATCAGATGGACAATAAATAATGTTGGGCCTCATTGCAAAGAATCTACGAATGATGGTAACATTTATTTGAGTTGGAGTTGCCTAATGACGAGACGACATTTCAAGTGTTCGTTGGGGCTTCGAATTTCAATATTCATTTCATGGAATTACATTTATTGACATAATATTGATATAACTACACAAAGAGCATTATGTGCCTTTGGTGTTACGCCAATGTTAGGGTTTCAAATCATAATATATCTGCACTTGTTCAATGAAGGGGTTCAGGAAAATGACATTCCATCTCTTATAAAACATATTTTTATCCCATGTATTTTGTTCAGCTTTTTAACAATATGACAAGTGTGTCCACACAGATAGCAGAGATTTCTGAAGAACATATCCCGTGGAAGATGTAAAGTTAATTTTCGCACGCAATAAGAATCCGAGATTTTGTGAAGAAACGTTTGCGATAGTTCGGACGTTATTTTTCTGTGATTGATTGATTGATTGATTGATTGATTGATTGATTGATTGATTGATTGATTGATTGATTGATTGATTGATTGATTGATTGATTGATTGATTGATTGATTGATTGATTGATTGATTGATTGATTGATTGATTGATTGATTGATTGATTGATTGATTGATTGATTGATTGATTGATTGATTGATTGATTGATTGATTGATTGATTGATTGATTGATTGATTGATTGATTGATTGATTGATTGATTGATTGATTGATTGATTGATTGATTGATTGATTGATTGATTGATTGATTGATTGATTGATTGATTGATTGATTGATTGATTGATTGATTGATTGATTGATTGATTGATTGATTGATTGATTGATTGATTGATTGATTGATTGATTGATTGATTGATTGATTGATTGATTGATTGATTGATTGATTGATTGATTGATTGATTGATTGATTGATTGATTGATTGATTGATTGATTGATTGATTGATTGATTGATTGATTGATTGATTGATTGATTGATTGATTGATTGATTGATTGATTGATTGATTGATTGATTGATTGATTGATTGATTGATTGATTGATTGATTGATTGATTGATTGATTGATTGATTGATTGATTGATTGATTGAGCGTTAGGAAACATTTCGCACGAAATGATAATTTGAGTTTATTTAAAGCAGCCTTTACGGTGACATATTTGTACCATATTTAGACTCGGTTCGTGCTTTTCATCAGGTGAGTATTTATCTACTAAAAATTCTTATTCCTTCAGTGTTACCAACAGGGTATTGCATCTTATTCTCGACATTTTCACGACCTCTTTGATAAGTCCAGGTCTAGCACATAAATATGCAATTTAACGCTAATGCGAAATATAAATAGACTGTGGAATTATCATTATATTGTGAAGTGATACTTGAATGAAGCAATAAAATATACGCTATACAAGAATTGTTTCAAGACATGTGTAATGAAGATAGTACCTATATTGGCCTTCCTTTGCATAATCTGCAATAACTCACAGAGTTTAATATCGTCGTATATTCTAGTGAATACGTTAAAATGACCCACGTTAAATAGGTATATAAACAAACAGGAGGTTCTATGAAGAAACATTATGCGACCATAAAAATAATTGAGTCATTCGAATGGTAGACAGAGAAGGATCCAGGTAGGTACTCACCAATTGGTATCTATTCAAATCTTCTCGATCCAATTGCCTTATTATGGTCATCAGTCCGGTTTTGGCACCAATGGCAAACTGTCTAAGATCGTTTCCCGATACTATGGAGTAAGTCACTGGATCGCCTTCTGGATCCGTAGCCTGGAAATAAAGAAAATATGTTCGAAATTCAGAATTGACCCAGAACAAAGTTTGTACGATTTCACCAATGCAAGATCATCAGTACGTGAATGAAAACGCAATTGGAGCTAGAACATAACCATGATGAGGTCTTTCCCCTCGGGGGCTCAGGACTGGTAAGAATGGGAATGGCAAACACGAGGTAGGTACCCTAGCCGAATACTCATCAATCTTCAACTTGTCTTGGATTGTTTCCTCTTTACTCTACAGTTTCCCATCTTCCCTATATATCGGCCTTGCTTATAGTCGGGGCTGCTCTGCAGATGGACCATTTTGTGGACTTATTTGTTCTTATCACTCAGATGGGTCACTCTTGTATGCATCTATGTGCAATGATGGGTCAATTTGTGAACATATGCATATGTGGCCGCGGATTGATGAACGAGGCCCTGTTAACCTAATCCAAGTTTAGTTCTGTGGTAACGAGGGATGAATGACACCGAGGTTATATTATGTTGTTAATAACAGGACCTCTGGGAAACAGGATGGCAGCCTCAGCCTCGTACAGGGGTCACCACTGGGCTGGACGAAACCGTTCCCTCATTATTACTTGTTGAAGAATGAAACATTTTGGCCTTCTTCATGGATCTGAGCAGGAAGAGTAGTCTTCCGGAACCTGAACGAAAATAGTTTTTCAAACGTATCTCTGGTACTGCAAGCGGCAGTGTTGATATGTGTTGAATGTGAGGGTGTTTGAAGTTTCCTTCATTTAAGAACCAAAGGTCGAATATGGTGAATATAATATCGACATATTCAAATTGACATACAATGGGCCAACAGGCATAAGCATAATCGGAGACTACTTACGGCAGACGAGCACTGAAAGGAGAGGTAGAGTGTTTAGTGTCGACCACCTCGAAAAAAAAAAGAGAGGGTACACGACCTCTTTTTATATCTCGATTTGTGGTTCTACGAATTCACCACTGCAAGATCATGTATGATAAAAACAAAATCGGACCCGAAACTGAACCTTGAGGTATACCCCTATTCCTTTTCTGGATTCCCGACAAAATCGATCTCACCACGATGGTAGCGACGCTGGAATTGATGAAGGCCCCCTCGCTGATCTCCAATCGTCTGGACTATTGTGCACTGGCGTTTTGGCATTCTGAACCTTTTTAGCAAGGTGCCCATCGATCTGTTCCTGAGTTTCGATGACAAATTCGGCAAATTGTCCATTCGGCGAAGTGTCATGGACTCATCCACCACATCAACATCATTTATACATGAAAGAGTATAGAATCGGACCGAGAACCGAACCCTGAGGTACCCTTCAATACATTTCTTGGAGTCCTGATAAAAGTTGTGTTTTGAACTCACCACGATGGCAGCGACGCTGGAATTGATGGAGGCCTCCTCACGTACCTCTAAATCGTACGCGGGCTGCCCACACACGCGGGGCAGTTTGTTAGGCCTCGAAATGACTGGTACCTTGTTAATCGCCTGGCTGTGTGGCGTTAAATTCGTTGAAATGATCATTCCATGGGGTTAAATGTGGTTTGGGTGGAAAAATGACTGAAACCTCTCGTTTAAAGCCAAGCGAGGAACTGAGTTGCGACAATATCATTGATATGTCAAAGTGAATAGAATTGGACCCGATACAGAGCCCTGAGGTACACCTCCATGTATTTATGGGATTCCCGAATAAATCAAACTCACCACGATGGCAGCCACGCTGGAATTGATGGAGGCCCCCTCGCTGACCTCCAAATCGTACGCGGGCTGCTCGAACACGGGGTGCTGCTTGTTAGGCTCCGAGCTGACCGTCACCTATACCATAGAATGCCTATACTATAACCTGGCTGTACAGCTCTCTCTTGTCCGTTGCCTGCACGGTGTGGTAACTGCTTACCGGCGTTCAATTCCATTGAAATGTTGATTTTATGGAGATAAATGTGGTTTGGGTGAAGAAACTTCAATTTCGTTGATTAAATGTCGATTCGATTCGGAAATGTGTCAAAACGATTGCTCTGATAGTGAACTACAACAAGCTCTTTGTTTCAATACTGCAATCCCAATCTATGCAGCGTCATTTTATATATTTCGACAACATGGTCACTCTCAGGACTATTGTGCACTGGCGTTTTGGCATTATGAACCTTTTAGGCAAGGTGCCAATCTATCTGTTCCTGAGTTTCGATGACAAATTCCACCACATCAACATCATTTATACATGAAAGAGTATAGAATCGGACCCAAAACGGAACCCTGAGGTATCCTTCAATACACCTCCTGGATTCCTGATGACATTTGTGTTTTTGACTCACCACGATGGCAGCGACGCTGGAATTGATGGAATCCCCCTCGCTGATCTCCAAATCGTATACGCCGGCGTTGAATTGACGTTCAATTTCGTTGAAATGTTGATTTTATGGGAATAAATGTGGTTTGGGTAAATAAACAACTGAATCCTCTTCTCAAAAAGCCAAGCGAGGAAGTGAGTTGCGACAATCTCATTGATATGTCAAAGAGAACAGAATTGTATCCAGAACAGTACTATAAGGTACCCAATGTATATCATGTATTCTCGATGTATCGAACTCAAAGCATTCTTTGTATATTTTAAATTGAGCTTTAAGTTCAGACACTGCATTCCATATACTATATGTAGCGTCGTTTTATACATTTCAGCTACACTTTCAGTAACTAGTCCACTGGCGTTTTTCACCATAATATGAATATGACCATTATCGGCGAAGTATCCAACGATCCCATTCATTACAGCAACATCATTTATGCAGGAGAGAAAACAGAATCGGACCCAAAACCGAACCTTGAGGTACAACCCAATTTATTTCCTGCATTACAGAACTCACCACGATGGCAGCGACGCTGGAATTGATGGAGGCCCCCTCGCTGACCTCCAAATCGTATGCGGGCTGCTCGAACACGGGTGGCTGCTTGTTAGGCCCCGGGCTGACGGTCACCTCGACTATTGCCTGGCTGTACAGCCCACCCTTGTCGGTGGCCTGTACGGTGAGGCTGTATTGTTCGCCGGCGTTCAATTGGCCGACTGTTTCGATGAGGCCGGTGAGGGGATGAATGGTGAACTTGTTGTTGCCGTTGTTGGACACGTGGTAGATGGAATAGGTGATGATGGCGTTGTCGCCTGGAAATCGAAGAGAAAATTAGTATAATATAGCAATATCGGAAATTTAAATGGACACATTGTTTCCTATGCTGATGACACTGATATAATCTTTAAAGATGATTCTTGGGAAATCATTTACAAAAATGCTGAAATAGGTATGGGTAAAATACAAACTTGGTTGAACGTGAATGAACTCAGTTTAAACGTGGATAAGAGTAAACACATGACTTTTTCACTTATAAGTGCAGATCAAATAGATAAATAATTTTTAATCTTTGGTAGAAGTCCATATTGCTCAAAGTGAAGTGAAATATTTTTCAGCCTAATTGAAAGGTTTGGAGTTGTTTGATGCTACTATTCCTTGAATGGGTTGCGTGCAAGAACTGTCAGATGACCGACACTGGAGGCAAAATATTGAAACACAAAGTCACTTTTCTTATTTGTTTACAAATGATTGAAATAGTTTTTCACAATTATTTTGGCATACGAATCGTATTTTTCCGCTATTCATCAATTCGCTCATGCCATCACATTATACTGTTGTGAAATGCACAAAACCTGCAACGGAAGACGAAGTAATCCGGTTGGTACAATATGATTTGAAAGTAAGTACCTACTATAGTCACTCACATATAGTTTTCATTTTTGAAATTTGGTAATTTCTCTGAATTCTCATCGGAATTCTTTCTGCGATAGAAGCTAATAGAAATACAACTGAAATTTCTAAAATAATGCCAGAAAATTGGATTCATGCAATCAATCGGGAGGACTGGTCTGACATGCTGACGATCGTGTGTGTTGTAGACATTTTCAATCTATTAGCAGTATTAGTTTGTATTGCAGAAGTGACAGAATGCAGAAGGAATTTTAATAAGGAATGATAACTATGTGAGATTACTATTTACCTGAAAAATCATATTCTTCAGTCTCTATTGCTGCATTTTTTGTGCATTGTACAACAGCACAATGCGAAGGCATGCTCGAATTAATGAATAGCGCAAAAAACACGATTCGTATGCCAAAATATTGTGAAAAACTATTACAATCCTTTGATTCCTCTGTAACCAAGTGAAAAAGTGAGGTTGTGTTTCAATAATTCACAGAAGAATAAGGTTGTGTTTCAATATTTTGCGTCCAGGGTCGGTCATCGTGCACGCGACCTATTGTCAATGCCCATAGCCAAGAATTCCAAAGGTTTAGAAAAAACGGTTTCTCAATAAATGCAGGGCCCCGTGCCCTGAGAGCGCATACTATTGGTTTCTTATGAACATTTCATATACCAGAATGGTATATGAATGGTTTAGTAGCTGTATAAAAATCACCTTCATCGTTGTCCGTGGCCTGCACTTTGGCTACTATCCTCTTCCCCTCTCCTGCTGGAACTGTCACCGGGGCTATAATAGGCAGCACAGGCGCATTGTCGTTGACGTCTCGCAAGTCCACCGTGATGGAGACTGGGGCACTGGCGGGGGCGGCACCACCCCCATTTTTTTCCCGAGCCACCACCTGGAACTTGAATCTGCCGAGGTTTGGCGGGTCGCGGTCCAGGTTGTGGTCGTTCACCGCCAGGTGGTTCTGCTTGTCAATGAAGAAGTAGGGGGTGGTGAGCTCGAAGGTGTAGGCTGGTTTGGGGTCGTCCGGTCCCTGGAAAAGAGGGGGGCTATGAGATTGGGGATCAGCTTTTTTTCAGGGCCTACTCTATCTCACCGGGCCGTAGTCTATCCCCTCTAAAATTTGTCAAGTATTATACCTACCTAGTTTCCCCGTATTAACGATTTTGCGTTGCAATGCACGTTTTATTACTCATGTTCCAGTTGTGGGTCTCTTGATATTTTGAAAAATATATTGAATATTGTGTTGAATAATTTGGTATTATATATGAAATATAGCGGGATTCTGTTGAATAATTCTATAACTATTAATCGTGAATCAGTGAATATTGATTCATCTTTTGAAAAATGCTAGTCTCTACATATTTGCTCTCTTGACATTTTTTGATTACTGTCACCGTTTTCCCGTGGTACATCAATGAATCGGGAAACGTAATTTCCGGCGCCTCGATTTTGTCCCTACTAGTGTGACGTCATGAAAGCGATGCTCCGGCTTGGTGAGATAGAGTAGGCCCTGCTTTTTTATCTCTTGGAGCACACGAAAGGAAATTCCGATGGAGAGGAGGTAGTTTTTGGAATTCTTCTTGAATATTTGAAGGTTATATGTTCTTGGGGGAACTTCCATTGGTGAAGAATTCCAAAGCTTCGCCGTTCTATAGACGAACCAATTCTGGTAGAGTGTTGTTTGACACTTTTCGAGGTTAACGACTAGGTCCTGTGAGGTTCGTCTGATATAATAATAATAATAATAATAAAGTTACCGGGGAAGCAACCGGGTGGGACCAATTCTCACCCCGCTCTCACAAAACTAACATAGGGGATGACTGCCGGTCACCTTTCTTTCGACTTATACCGACAGCACACCCCAGGGAGAAATGGAGGATTTGGATACGCCAAATCAGCGCGCTAGAGCCATCTCCGTTATGTAACGGCATGTTCTCCTGCTACCATTTCATTATACCAATGGTGAGGCCGTCTGATAAGACAGACTACTGGCTCTGCAGTATCAGTGCCCGAGCAGAAACGCTGCTCACCCGCTCAGGCAGACAAGATATCCTTCCACTTGACCCATAGTGGAATTCTTCTTCACCTCCTCCACCGTATTCCGGTGGTGTTTTTTTTTGGATACCGCTGGCATATGTACGACCGGATGGGGCTATCCTCATCCCAGGTACCCATGTCAACAAGGTTCCTCTTGTTACGTTTGATGGGTCGCTGTCGCAAGAGGCTTTCGCCTGATTGCTACTCATGTTGACGAGAATCCTCTCGTCCCGTTGAATGAGTGATCGTACGTGGACTTTCACACGTTCCTCTACCTCGTTCACAGGAGAGGACCCGGCTTTTCCTACGTTGACTGGCGGTAGGATCGCTTGGGGCTACTCCCACCCTGACGAACTAAGGCACAAGGTACACCAAAGTTCCAGTTTTCACTGAGCAAGCCCAGCTACCAATGTCGACTGGAATCCTCGAGTCCCGTTTGATGGGTGTCTGTTCGCGTTCTTTCACACGTATCGCTACCATGACGAGAGTGGAGACCTCAAGCTTTCAACCAGAGGTGCCTGGAATCACCTTGGGCTACTTTCACTTGACGACGTGAGTGCATGGTGGGCCCACAGCCATCTGGGGTTCGTCTGCCTGACATTGCTAGTGATGGAAATATAGCAGAGATATCTGAGGAACATTTCCCGTGGAAGTGTCTATACAAAAGTGTAACGACTCCGACTTTTCTACGGTGTTCTAATGGAGTCAAAGAGTCGATGAGTATGGCACTACCCAACAGGTGAATGGCTCTCCTCTGGATGTAAGAGCATCAGCGTATGTTTGAGTGCTGAACCTCATACATGAGAACATCACTCTACAACTGGCGGGATCTGTGTTTGAGGAGCTGTTGTGGTGTAAATTAGATTTTCGCACGAAACAAGAAATCGAGTTTCTGTGAAGCAGCTTCTGCGATGTTTGTTCACCAGAGGTCTATTGCACATAATTCAATAGCTGAGACTTATACAAGAGAGACCAAGCATGGTTCTTGATCCATCTCCGCATTATTCAGTATCTCTTTGAAGTTGAAACTACCAAGAGATACTCCACGGACACTAACTGTAATCAAGTCGAACACGCTATGTATTCCTGAAGACCTATTGTCACTGACGTATACTGGTTGCACCAAATGGTCACAGGAGAAGATATCTACATAATGATATTGAGTTAATTATAAGTTGAAGACACTGGGATGTTGAGGACACTTTTATAGTCTCAAAGCTACGGAAATAATCCATGGTCAGTTGGAGTAAGTCAAAATGTAAAAGTAGAGATACTAGTCGAACCATTGGACTAATAACAGTTACAGTTAACTCTTCTCGATATTTTTTTATCGCTTGAAGATCACGAAAGAGATTCCCTGTTCGAAAAAACTGTTACCAAATTGTGGCTTGTGAAAAAGTGGCAGGGACTTTACTTTTCGACTTTCAATCCGCCATTTATAAGGTAGGTAAGTACTTACAAAGTCTTTATCTTCCACTGTTATGTGAATTGGATTTCCCTTGGAATCGACTACCTTTTCTCCCACAGGAGAATTTTCGTCGACGAATCCTTCTCTGGAAGACAACTTGATTTCTGGCGGATGCGCGTCGACAGGCTTCACCGTTATGAAGAGTTTGGCAGTGGTCGACCTTTTCGCTTCAGATAACTCTTGTGCCTAGAAACGAAAAAAAAAAGTCGTTATTCGTCCGTCACTTGATGCGCATAATCATTATGGAATGACGGATGAGCATTCAATTTGTTTATACAGGGTGTTCCGAAATAACACAGAAATATTTCAACCACCAATTTCTAGAAACAAAAAAAGCAGAAAATGTTAATATAAAGGGCTTGATTTAAAGCAATGACAAGCCACACTAGTGATTCACACGAGACCAACGAGACGAGACTTTCATAAAGTCTCGTCTCGTCTCGCCGATGAAATATGAAGTCTTGTCTCGAGTCTCGTCTCGCAGCCCCGAGTCTCGTCTTGTCTCGCGTCTCGTACGAGAGTCTCGCAAAAGTATCACAATTTCGTCATGCTAAATGTCTAGTACGGGATATTTACCTTTGCCTACTTTCTAGGTATACTGTAGCAGTAGAAAGAGAAAATTACAACAAAAATAACATTGTTTATGGAAAAGTAAGTATCTAATAGGTACATACTTACATCATACATGTAAACAAGAAAAAAAACATAGCATTATATATTCGAAAGTTATAAAAATGAAATAAAAAGTAACACGTATATTCTCAACAAATAAACAAAACAAAAACTTTAATCCAACATTATTGTACTTATTTGAGAAATAGGCTCGGAAATAGGTATTTGAGAAAATAGTTATTTGTTTTACTAGGCAGAAAAGTAGTCAATCTACATTTTCTGCCATGTGAAACATAGAATTTTTCCTCCAAATGATATAAAACCAATTTTGTGTGATTTTTTATTGAAAACTCCATCATTTTGTGTTAACCATATGTCAGTGTCAATTTTGATTACAAATTTCATTAGAATTTCTTGGAACGTTGCATAGCAACAAACTTTCTCTGCCTAGGCAGTAAAAGTACACCTTTTCTGCCTGTTAAGCGACAGGAAAAAGCCACTATTCCTGCCGCTTGGAGAAAAAACCTTTATCAGTCAGATCAGCCTTCACGATCGCAAATGTTTTTGTTTTTCACCCAGTCGTCAAGACATAACAAACATCGTGCAGATTCATCATTAAGGCGATTCCGATGTTTTCTTATAGAATTCTTCCTGAATATGTTTTATCATGAATGAAATTCTCAAGTCTGCAGTCGGTACGCAGAAATATTTACCTGCGAGACTCTCGCACGAGACACGAGAAGTCTTGCACGAGACTCGAGACGAGACCAATGAAAGTCTCGTCTCGCCTTGTCCGAGTCTCGTCTCGAGTCTTGTCTCGAAAACGAGACGAGACCATGCGAGACTCTCGAAAACGAGACTCTCGCGGGCACCACTAAGCCACACAAGAGTTCAATATAAGCTTATAAATGGCGCGAAGAACCAATGGTCACTATTGCATAGTACATGAGGGTTACTTAGCTTAAATAGTGCAAAATTTTATATTTTGTGCAAAATAATGTATTCAAATTCTTCGTAGCTGAGCGCTTTCGACTAACAATCATCATGAGTGCGTACTCGCCAGGTTTTGACAAGAAAATCATCCATAAAAATATATTTGGTCTAGTTGGGTAATATCAACATTATGGTTAATTACGGTTCATTTACTTATTAACTCTTTCAAGTACTTTGGTGCAGAATTTGAACCACGAATTTCCTGAAGTTATAGGTATGCTAGGACAAAATATATCTCGCTCTGCAATGGGCTCATGATTTGTGGTACGACGGTTTATTTTCTCTCCCGCCCCATATTACTTATTCATATTGGTCTTTAGAATCATATGTTCTAAGCTGAAGCGAATTGAACAATACATTATTAGTGAGTAAAATAAACTCGAAACTTGTTTCTCCTCCCGAATTGCGGCTGCAAATTTCATGCTTATCATGTGATTACATTTTTTATACCATCTAGGCAACATAGCTAAGCTACTTGTTATATTATTTCAACAAATTTGTTTATTTTTCGTACACCATATGTGAAAGTCGACACTGTTTGAAATTTGTCCCACCATACAACATGACCAAGACATTTTTCAAGGATAATGATGAGGAAAATGATGTCGAATTCAATTTTAACGACATTATACTGTCGGATGATATGAATATCGAGACACCCGTACTTATATATGGATACATGGGACCCAGAAGATTTGATACCCCTATCGCGGAGTTGAAACCAGTGATAGAGAAAAAATGGTGTGGAATGGATGAGATCGTTCAGCCAAAAGATTTCAATAGAACCTCTGGAGTTGCTCAAGATGGATAATCTCTCTCGTCAGTTTATCACGGACAAATTATTGAATCACATAGTTTTCCAGATCAATCTATATACTAAGCAGAATTATCAGACGACTGGAAAGACATATAAAGAAACAGATATTCATGAAATCTTTTTCTTGGATGCCGCTGTAGTCAACTCATTTATTCTTCACAAAATACTCTATATCTTTCAAAGTTATCAATGGAATATTTGATCATTTAGTCGTCAATAAATATCAGTATCTTCATCGAGAACATCAACCGAATGGACGATTCAAATAGAGAGAAATATTCAGTCAAAGCCCGGTAATGAGAGTCACACAGGGTGCTCATCAACATATCGTCGAAGTCGATGCAATTCAGGAGAGTTTGAAGTTCGAACAAACTGGTTGTGTGTTTCACTCTGTCTTGCAATGAACAAAACATGTTTGCAGACGTTTCACAGTGATTTGATATATGAGTCGATTCTCATGAAATATTCATTCACCTTATGGAATGGTACTGGGTTAGATTTTGACCTAACGTTTTTTTTTGGAAAAATTGGGAAATTCTGAAATTATTTTATATTTGTTACTATCTTTTGAGACATTTGGAGTTAGTTTGTTAATAAACCTCTTGAAAATCTGGAGAAAATTAAAACTGTACATCTAGGGGTGTTATATTTCTAAATTCCTGTACCTGAAAGAGTTAAACCGCCATTATAACTGCGGCATACGGCATAAATATCAGAACATTTTATAGATACAGTAGGTTTTTCACTTTGTTATAAAACCTATTGTTTTCCAGATCATGGAGCATATTTCCCTGTTTGCCCTGTTATTATCAACTATACTATTTGTATGTCTACTTTTTTCATTTCCATTCAAGTACAAAGTAATTTTTTGCATCTATATCCTAAGTCAATACCGATTTTCCTAAAACTATGCGACTTTCTATTGGCTGATGATGAGCTTATATATGCTCGAAACATCTTTCCTTACGATTGATCTTTGATCATTCTAATGGAAGTTGTGGAGATGACTTTGGAATTTCCTCTATGTAATTCTAAAATGTTCGACTTCGAATATACGGCTGAAACGAATATCAACAATCAATATATTTCCCAAATCAGGAAAGATAGATTTTTTCTAAAAATATATAGGGTGTTTCGTTGGAAACCAAGTTGGTACATTTTTCTGGACGTTCAGAACAAACCCTACGACTTCTGTATCTGAAGTCTTCTTCTGTTTCAATAATGAACCCTGTAGAAACTTTTTGGATATACAGGGTGTTATTTAAGTACGTGGCCAAACTTGAAGGGGTGATTCTTTGAGTGATTCTAAGACGAAAAGTTCATATAAACATAGGTCCGGTAATGCTTCGTTTTCAAGATACGGGGTGTCAAAATTTTTAAAAGAAATCGTTTTTTTCGTAAATATCTTAATAACCCTTCAACCAATTTTATTGAAATTTGGCAGTGTTATCAAGGTCGTAAAGGGCTAATTTAACCCTATCAAATAATTACGTATGTACCGTTTCAATTTGTGACAGTTATGAAGTTAAATTTGTTTGAACATTTGTTTTTCCTTCCATGGCCCTCTTACTTTAGTTTCAAAACACTGCAGTAATACATAAAAACATTATTTGTTTCATCGGAAACAGTTAATATGAGCGAAAAAATTTAAAGATGACTTCCATGTAATATTAATTGTTCAATCATAAATAAAAATGTCTTTATTGCATGTCCAATGTCCATGGACAACAATGAGCCCCTTTTGCAGCACGAGCCGAAGGCTGCAATTCATACATACATATTCTTTGTTTTTTCATTGCATTAATTTTGATAGAAAATTCTAAGACTAGAATAGAGTAATAATATGAAAAAATATTAGTAAGACCCCAGTTTTTGATGGTTTAGTAGTCGAAATGTTTTATTGTGTTGTCACAGGGATATGCAATGAAGTGATTTTTATGTTTTTTCTCAAAAACAAAGCAAGATACGAAAAAAATTCTGGATATAAAAAAGTTGTAATTTTAGTTGCTCGATGTGAAACAAATACAAAAATTGCAAAAAAATCAGTGGCGCACATTTTTTCTGTCAAAAATATTGGTTACAGTGCCTTCCGGGACGCCACTGGACATGATAATTTTGATATAGTTAGTGTTAAATTAGCCCTTTACGACCTTGAATAACACAGCCAAATTTCAATAAAATCGGCTGAAGGGTTATTAAGATATTTACGAAAAAAACGATTTCTTTTAAAAATTTTGACACCCTGTATCTTGAAAACGAAGCATTATAGGACCTATGTTTATATGAACTTTTCGTCTTAGAATCACTCAAAGAATCACTCCTTCAAGTTTGGCCACGTACTTAGATAACACCCTGTATAGGGTGTTTCGTTGGAAATAACCAAGTTGGTACCTATTTCATAAATCAGCGATATTAATTTGTTTCACCTCGTACAATTTTCTGGAGGTTCAGAACAAACCCTACGACTTCTGTATATCCAAAGTCTCCTTCTATTTCAATAATGAACCCTGTAGAAACTTTTTAGATATATGGAATGACCCTGGACAGTTGGACACGAAAAAATCATCAAATCCAAATAATGAAATGGAACACTCACTTTTATTATGACGTTGAATTTTTTGGTGGTCGACGTATCGACGGCTCTGACTTGTCGTACGGCCCCCGTATCCGGATCAATCCGGAAGTACTGGTCATACGAGTCCGGTACGCCGCTGACGAACGAGTACCGTATTGGGGAGTTTATGGTGTCCATGTCGACAGCCTGTATTTTTTCTGGGGAAATGTTGAGGATGCCGTGTAGCATGCCACTGAAAACCTGAAAAATTAAAAAAAAGGAAATGCAGAGCATGTTGATGTATAGAAAGTAGAACTGTGTTATCACTTCCTATCGAATGAAATTTCGAAATCTCTCAATATCGCCTACTCTGTAAAAATAGCGAGGCGTGCAAAATATACAGGGTGTCCCATTGAAAAAATCAAAGTTGTTGCTACTTTTCAATATACGCGGCAACGTCGCAGCGCTGAGAATATTTTAGGTCGATAGAACACAACTAATTATTCAAGGCACCAACTTTTCAGAATGAATAATCCTGAGTTGCGTTCTCAAGAAACGTCTAATGTGCCATCCACCGTGAATCAGCCTGTATACTGGCACTTGATATCTCCAAAGCATTCGATCGAGTCTGGCACCACGGACTCCTCGCCAAGCTTCTATCTTATGGCTTGCCTCCCCAGCTATGTTCTCTGCTAGCTAATTTTCTCTCAAACAGGTCTCTCCATGTAGTGGTCGACGGAGTTTCATCTGACTCTCTTATCATAAATGCTGGTGTTCCGCAAGGATCAATTCTAGCTCCAACGATTTGTTGGAAGCAACTTCATGTCCAGTACACAGCTTCACGGATGATAGTTCCCTCCATACCGGCTTCTCTTCCAGGGCTCCAATACCAGCAAGGCAAATCAGACACGAACGAGAAAGAAATGTTAACATAAATATGTACTTGGCAACAATTCTCGAATGTGGAACCAATAACTTGGTAGATTTCAATGCAAAGAAAACACAAGCATGCCTTTTCTCTATAAAAGCCGATCTCACAGTGCCCAACATAAACTTGTCAGGAGTAACCATACCTTCGAAGACATCCATTTCGATGCCTGGTATATTACTATCAGCAATGACCTTTCTTGGGAAAATCACGTGAGATCAATTGCTGAAAGTGCATCCCAAAAACTTGGTTTTCCGTTTCGGGCCAGGAGCTATTTCAGTTCCAGTCAGCTGCTTATGATCTATAAGGTACAGATCCGACTTGTCCTGGAACACTGTTCTCATATTTGGAGTGTAGCACCCAAACATACCCTGAAACTGTTGGATTCTGTCCAAAAAAGGGCAATTCGTCTCGTGGTTGATGCCTCGCTCACAAACTCACTCATTTCTCTGGAATATCGTAGAAAAGTTGGCTCTATTTTATAGATATTTTCATGGACGATGCTCTTTTGAAATATAAACAATTGTTCCTCCCTTGGCAGTCCCCACGAGATTAACCCATCGAGTTGAGGCTTCCAACCCCTTCGTGGTCACTTTGGAGACCTGCAGAACATTTCTTTCCAAAGACTTGTTCATCCAACGAACAGCGAGGCTCTGGAACACATTGCCAAGGGAGGTATTCCTCGAGGCATATAACCTCCAGAAATTTAAGGAGAACGCTAGTCCCTACCTCATTTCCCTTGGTTCTCACGATGTTCTCTGAACATTACAGGATATCCCTTTTTGTGGGAACCAGAACATTAAAAAAAGTCTCGCCTCGCGAATGCAAAATTTGCTTTTCAAACAGAGTGTCAATTTAGATCCTAATAAAACAATTTACTATTTTATTCAGGATCGGACATAAACAGCATAAAATGGGTTTCAGACAATATAGAAGCGTATTCCAAATGGCTCCTCACCAATGAATTATATGTATAAGGTAATGCAAGATTTAGTACAAGTAAACTCTTTTGTAATTCTCATAATATACCCTAGGTTTCTCAAAGATTTCGTTATTACATTATTAATGTTAGGGAATTTCAACAATAAATCTGATCCAGAACATTGATTGATCGTTTTCATTATTTTTATCACATCGTTCAAATGTTTTTGCAGGAACATTCTATAAGATACCGATTAAGCCATCTATATGGAATATTGTTCGAAGCAGTTCCTATATTTTGAAAATGTACTGAATATAGATCATTCAGAGAGTATTTCCGAGGATAACATCAGTTCTGAAAGAACATGACAAATTTTGAGGACGATGCATCGAAGACCGAGATTCATTAGCAAATCAACCTTATAATAAACCCGTTGTCAAGCCATTTTCTTTTTTACGAACCAGTTATGATCTTGCATCGAAGGTTGGATAATAAAGACACAAGCCACAAGTTTTGAAGAGTCGCTCAACTTATTTTTCTTTATAATTATTGGTATTGGTGAAAGTAAATACGAATAAACGTGACCATAAATACCTATTGGTATATAGTGAATGCCATAATATTCATTCAGCAGGATGAGTGGGTTTCGATACACATAGGGATTGCAAAATGACGTGGGAGTATACAGGGTATATCTAAATAACACCGAAAAAATTCGAGGGGTGTTTCGTTGTGACATTCTCAAATAAAGTTTAGATAAAAATGTGTCCTAACTTGCTCCGTTTTTGAGATACAGGATGTTGCAGTTGGAAGTATTAATTGTTTTTGTCTTCCCCCCCCCTGTATGAGCTTTCATGAGACTGAGAAAGCCCCAGAATTTCAAAATGATTGTAACTGGGGTTATTGAGTAATCCTAATGGAAGTCTTAAAAATACCGACATTAAATTTGGAGTCGAATCCTTTTTTTTTGTTTCCTCAAAAACTGAGCTAGATACAGAAATCATACAGAGGTAAAAAACGTTGTTATTTCAATAGTTCAATCTAATGAAAATATGAAACTGAAAAAAAAACGGTGTGTACAATGACATTCATCATGAATATCGATAAATTTACCCACTGTGACGCCACTGGAAATATTATTTCGATTCTAATTGCACTAGAAGAAGCTCCATATCACTATTAACAAAACCACAACGTTTTATTGAAATTGATGAAGAGACAATTGAGAAATGAATAGAAACAAGATTTTTCATGAAAATATCAATACCCTGTATCTCGAAAACGAAGCAAGTTAGGACACATGTTTATATGAACTTTATTTCCTAATATATCACAAGGAATCACCCCTTGAATTTTTCCGGTGTTATTTAGATACACCCTGTATAATGAATTGAACTGAACTAAAGAGTATAGAACAGTGGATTGATCAAAACAAGGTTTTTTTTATTCTTAGTTTCACACAGAATACTAAGTATCCATGTTATTGCGAAGCCTAATCCAAGACAAGAATCTTACCACATACAGAGAAGTGCAGAAAACAAATTATTGAAATCCCCGATTTTTCGGACCTCTGAAAACGAGGCGATGATTTGACGTCAAAACCCTAATACTGAAACAAGACTATTCCAGACAGAGATGAATGATACATGATTTCTGACAGAGTGAATTAGCGCGAGATCACAGTTGGAAGAATTGATATATATCAGTTGCCTCAGTCTCCGTCGGGCGTTTGGTATTTTCTTTTAACTATGGCGAGATGAGGTTTCTACGTCATGAGAGGGTCCGTTTCCAGAAGGTACTATTATTTATGTCCAAAAATAAAACATTCCAGTTGATTTTTCGATCGAATTATATATCGTCAATCATTATTTATGTATAAGAGGATCATTATAAACATGGTTTGAGTTGAAAGTTCTACTAAGGTGTACACGCCTATTGACGATACAATTTCTGTTTTATCACTTCCATTTTCACTAGAAACGACCCCAACTTTAGATTTTTAAATGGGATACCCTGTATTGTATTCCATAATCGGTTAGGCATTGTTATAACGAATTCATCGATACCGGGTTTAATATATAGGGTTATTTCAAACGATCACGCAGATATTCGCGTTCTAAGTTTTCATATGCTCAATGAGTGTGACAGAGAAAGAACTTAATATTGCGAAGTCACACCCATTGAGCATATGGAAACTTCGAACACATATATATTTGTAATCGTTTGGAATAACCATATCAAACCCGGTATCGTTGAATTCGGCATGATAATCCCTATCCGATTATGGAATACAATACAGGGTGTCCCATTTGAAAATCAAAAGTTCGGGTCGTTTCCGGTATACTTGCTACCTACCAATTTTGAAAACCCTATCTAGAATATGAAAACTTCACAAATGATAAGATTTTCACAAAATTCACACACACACGACTTGTTTCGCTAACACGAAAACGAGTATCAGCACTCAGCAACTGAGTCCCACTGTTATAATGTCAATTCACTAGCCTACGAAGAGGCAAAGAAATCTGAATGGATCAGAATCTATAGCAAGAATTGAGGCATAAAAGCATATGGGTACAAAAGATATTTCGAGAAAAGTTGTATAATTTGCCGTACAACTATGTATGATCATGATGGTGAGATTGTTTACAGGGTATTTTTCAGGCCCTACAAAAAAAAAGTGAGGTTGATCTGGTAGAATAATTATTTCTGTACTGTTTCTGTCAGGCAGAGGAGGAAACATCAGTACTGCCAGAACATTTAGTAGTAACTTAAGAGATGAATTCAATCGATTATCAGTGACACCTTTCTATAAAAAAATGTATGAAGAAGATTACGAAAGGTATGTAGAGGGTATATTGAAAAATGGAAAATATCACTGAGGTACCTTTGGACGTTCCGGGAACGAATTTGCTCCCTCGAATCGATTTTTTTTCCTTTCTTGATGCTACTGAGGAACAGAAGTTGTGAAATGTAGGTATGAGTTACAGAATGTTTTCAGATCTTGAAATCGCCATTTTCATACTGAGGGTTTTAAACCTGGATTAAGGAAAGCCAAGAGCTTCCAGATTTATGTAGAAACCTAAAATTATTCCATCTAAAGTGTTATGGTAATAACTGAGCTACGTAAAATTCTCTGAAACATTTTTAGGTGCAGACACAATAAATTCAAAATGGTAGAGGTATCACCATCGAGTATCAGTATAAACAGTATTGTCTAAAAATTCAGAATAAATTATACCAAGGTGTCCAGTTCCTGATTGACATGCACATTTTGTTTTTAGGAAGGTCACCTATTGAATTGAAAAAATTAAGTATAGTGTTATTAGAAATTAAAGTGGAGACTGGAGATGGAGAATTGGACTTGAATTGGTTTTTCCTTACCATGAAATGAATGAAGAATAGGTCATTGAAAAAAGGCGATCAAATACCAATTCCTAATTGAGGTCCACATTCTTCCATATGAAAGATTATACAAGTCCAAGTTTGATCATCTTGTGAATATTCAAATCGAGTATAATTATTATAATGATGTGTATAGTTAGGTAAATCTAGAACACCTGTTCGTTTGTTCACGTTGGGTGGGTATACACATATAGTGTGAGATCATGAGAAAATACGATCTACTTTCGTGGGAATCCGGTGCAATAGAACCCAATAAAAATATCTGTCAATTCAATATCATGTAACTTTTTCACTCGGGAATGTCCAATGTGCATTCAACTATATCGCTTTCATATCATGTGCTTCTTTGATTTCTTTGTCATTCATACCCTTCGAATGCTTTGAATGCTTTGCCTATATTTACATTCTTCGAATCAACCTTTTCGAAATGTACCCACCTGTGGTGTTATCGCAGGTGTATAGAGGGTATATATTATCATCAAAACATAGTGCAGGTAAAAATCTCAAAGGTCTAATAATCTTATTGGGTAAATGTTCTTAACAAATAACAATATTTTGTGGAATATGAAATTTCTTGAATAACTTGATGCTAGTTTGGGTTGTGTATGAGGAATGCCTAAGTAAACTCATCCTCCCTATTTGAAAAAGTTGAGTTGTCAGAATTTTTTCAATGAAATCGCCCCGTGCCAATATTCTACAAAATGGGACATCAAGAGTTATTAGCCTAGACTTCCAGGTGACAGTTCTACAAAGTTGGTGGTTGGTGGTTATTTCTACACCAAGAGAAATATCTATTAGCTGTTATACGAAACAACCTTCAAAAGATTTGCGAATTGAATAGGCGCCAGCATAGTTCTATTTTATCTGTAATCAAGTCCATTGTTTCAAAAAAATCATATAACTGTGAACCAACACTTATATGAGGATGACATGGCGCTCATATATTGGTCAAATGATCAGCATTCTAATATTAAATAGTGATATAAAAATGAAATAATACTCATATCAATATACTTTGCTTTCAATTCAATAGTCAAATGATTTAATTGCATATCAGTATTAGGATGATCCATTATTTTTACAGAAAATAAAGTGAGATGAAGATCACCGAGAGATTTTGAAGACATATCAACTTAGTATATATACTTATTGAAACTACAGAGCATTGAAGTGCATCACAAGGGCGAGATTCTCAGTACACCATAATTCAATTTGCCTACGATAAAATGCTTCCAATTTGAAGTATTTGTTGTTTTGGTCACTACCCTGGATTATTAGTTAAGATAGTTGCCAAAAATGTACACGGTGGCGTCGGTAAATGAGGGTTCACGAATCACGAAGCGAAAACTAAAAACCTCCATTTTTTCTGATGCATTGTTGGCTAGAACTCTTGCGAATTTTGAAGCAGCAAATAAAATTATACGAATCAAATAAATACATATAAGGATAAGGATATGATAAGGATGCGAAGACATCCTTATCTTGGTCATACTGTAGACGCAATACAATCTATCACCGATATAAATGTGTAAATTCAAGCTTTCGCCACTATAGTGAATGAAGAGGTAGTTTAAAGATACATTTTTGTATCCAAATTGGAAGAATTTCTGATACATACCGATTTATCCTGAAAACACTATAACGCCATGGTGCAGCTCAACCTGCTCAACTTCCTGTAGTTCCACAACAAATCCGATATTTGGGGGCTATATGAGCAAATATGTCCTTAAAATTTCTGAAAGAACTTTCAACCACTTTTTCGAAAATGAAAAAAATATCACCCTGTAGGAAGGGTCCACGAGCTGCTGCGTGCTAATATGTCCTTACATATCAGGTAGCCGTAGACGACTAACGATTCTGATGGAACAAGTGTTCATGAGTGAGTGAGATGACTCATTGTGGTCAACGAGTATGACAAAGATGGTGAATGAAGAAGGAATGGAACTTAAATGATACTTGTATAACTGTGAGATGACATCTTTTAGGATTTGAATGATCATCTTTCAAATTCCATCTTTTACCTATAATCTTGTTCAATTTAAAATATGTAAGGTAACATTTTCAAACAAAAAGAGTGATTTGAAAAGGTGACCTGTTTCTCGTTGAAAACGTTGACTTTCCACGTTCATCAGATGACATTTCGTGGTTAAAATGTTTCATTTAGCAGTTATAGGATGTTTCTGAAAAGGGACTTGTATAGATAACTGGAATTATCTCGGTGTAGTATATTTTTAGTATAAGTACTAGTTTGTATTCGTATTATATTTCATATATGAAAAGGGGAGAACCCGTGTAATATGAAATAAAATAAAATAAAAAATTAAAAATTATCGCGAAAATTTCGTCATATATGAAATGTATCATGAGAACAATGCAATCATCGAAAACTTACAGCGATAATTGCACTGCAGAGATTGCACTGCCAGAACGAATAAATGTCAGATTGTCAAAAAGTGAAACAAATGTCGCGTTTCGCTGAGTGCTCTATACAATCAATCGAGAATTTCTTTATTCGTGAAATATTCCAGTGAATTACATTCGTGCATACAAATGACCAGATGAATTTGCATTAAAGCGTGTTATCCCTCCTCCTTCAAAAACGGGCTCTTTCGCCAAAATATGAAAATAAGCTCTGGCAATTTTTAGATAAGACGCTTTCTTGCAAAATTATCGGTAATTTTTATGCACTCGTACAATTATAACCGATAATCACCCGTTCAGTGGCGTAACTACCATAAGACAAGTGAGCGCAATGCGCTGGGGCCCCCAAGCTTGGGGGGCCCACTCGTCCGACTTTAATGAAAATAAAAACTGAAATATCCGAATATTTGAAACATTTCCTAATATTGTAGGTTTTCTTTTCAACTGAATCTAGGGACACTTCTGTCAAGCAAACATTATCTTTACTATGTTCTGCTTTAGTTCTGGGCGCGACTCATGACGCAGACGGTCAGCGGTCAGTTGACAAATATAGATTTACAGGGTTCAATAAATTTCAATTTTTACAACCTAAAAATTTCATAAATTCAACAGAGTCGGAAATCCTTGAGAGGTGCGACTACATTAAAAAAATATATTCTCAAATCATATCGCCAAATATATGTCTTTACAATTTATTAACATGGTTACATTGTTGAAATCAGAGTTAAATCCAGAAAAGTATGTAAAAAATTTTGGCGATTTATTGTTAATGAAATATAATTATTTGGAGTGTGACTTTCCACAAGTTTATATTGTCCTATCATTATTTTTTCCATGCCAATTACATCTGCGTCAGCTAAAAGATCATTAAGTAAATTGAAACTGATCAAAAGTTATTTGAGGAATCAAATAGGGCAAGAGCGATTAAAATATTTATCTTTAATTTCCATCGAAAGTGAAGCTGCCAACAAATTAGACCTGAGAGATTAGATAAATGAATTTGCAATGTGTAAAGCCAAAAAAAAAACATTTATCGTTCAATAATTTTAGTTTGAATGTAAAGTTGAAGGTATTTGAAGTTTTGTTTTTATTCAATGAAAAAAACACGTTGAGTTTCATTTTACTCAAAAAATCTGAAGTTATTTCGATTTTTTTATTTATGAAAAAAATATGTTGTTGTAGTATAATTATGTAAAATAAAATATTGAAAAAATAATGCCTGTTTAGTTCAATGTTTTATTTTTTTTACTATTTGTGATTTGTGACTGAAAGTGGGCCCTCTTATGTATTTTGCGTTGGGGCCAAAAAATTGTAGTTACGCCACTGCACCCGTTGCTTCAAGTAATGTAAACAAAAAGAAGCCTTCTATAATGGGTTGAAAATAAATTCATGAAATCTTCTGAAAAATCGACATATCTCAAAACTGTGAAAGATCATATGTATACTATTCGGAAAAGCATATCTTTTCTTCACTTACCGATGCAGTATATTCAGGATTGATGCAGGATCCATCCAGCAACATGCACCCTTTGTAGATGAATGAAGGTGGAAGGTCATCGTCATCCTTGATATTGACTGTAAGGGTAGTTGTTGACGATAGTCTTTGCGATTCATCTCTAGCTCTATCCTATATAGGGAGGAACAATAAATCCATTAGAAACAATGTAGGGCGCTAGTTACACGGTTCGTACCGAGTAGTTTTGAACATAACTTTTTTGAGGTTAGGTTTTTCAATCCAAATTTGATGTGAACTCAAACATCATTCAATTTCACACCAAAAAGGTACTCTAGGTAAAACTCGATACTGTGTTCCGTTTTCGGGATATTTCGATTTGAAAATGATGAAGTGGTAACTGTTGCTGGTATAAAGCTATGTATTAGAGTGAGTATTATGAAAAATTATCACCTATTTATTGAAAACTGAAAACAACAATACATTTCTGATATGCTGATGCAAAACTCATTGATTTAACAATGAATCACAAAAGAATAACATCGTAACTGATTTGACTAAGAACATGGATTACACAGTTTTGTTGTAGAACGTCTATGCTACATAAGTAAATTCACGTTGTGAGACATAATTGAACATCACTCAAATGACCTAACAGCTGATCCCCAACTAGGACATTTTGAACACTTTTTTTTTATCGCTTGGAGCGCACGAAAGGGAATCCCTATAATGTTCAAAGAACATCGTGCGTTCCTAGGGAGGAAAGGGATAGGAGGTGGGTATTGGAATTTTTCTTGAACTGATTCAATATTTCATGTTTCTAGTCAAATATCTCTTAATTTTCTACTTATGATTCTTTGTTCCATGAATAACTTCAGCACAAAAATAATTTTATTGTTTTTGAACCTGAATAGATAATTGAACTCAATAAAATTCATTTTATACCAGCATCATTACTACTCCACTATTTTCAAATCGAAATATTCCGAAACCAGAACATAGTATCGAGTTTCCCCAAGAATACCTTTTTGGTGTGAAAGTGAATGAGTTCATATCATATTTGGATTGAAAAATCTAACATCAAAAAAGTTATGTTCAAAACTACTCGGTACGAACCGTGTAACTAGCGCCCTCTATGAGAGTCAGATATAAAAACGAATTCATGCGATGTGTGAGATTTCAAGAAACATCCATACAAAATTGCATTACAATGTTGGCAGTAGTTTCGGAATAATCGTGAAAAATGTGTAAAAAAATAATTTTTTCAACACCTTGTATCATGGAAACGGATGTCGTTACGACATTTTTTCACTGATCTAACCCAACTTATTTTGCAATGTTCTACCTACCCTAGCAAGGGGGTTAGGTTTTTTTGAAACACCCTGTATATACTCTCAATAAAGATTCTGAATAACTAATGATGATGTTGAAAGATTTGCTTTAATATTTTTATTTTTGACTTGAAAAAGTTTGAAATCATCGCAGAAATGAAAATGAAAATATTAAAGCTTTAAAAATATACTTGCGAAAAATCCTCGACAATGCTTATTCAGATAATATCACAATCTCTTTGTCCATTTCATTATGAGTGAGTATTGTACGAGGTATTATTGTTATATTGTTGGAATGTGAATAAATTCGTTTTTTATGTTATGCATTTAATTGTGAACAGATAATAATTTGCAGTATAGGTAGGTATACACAATTATATGTCAAGATCTCAGCCACTTAGAAAGCAATTCTAATTACTTCCCTACTTCTAGTTTTCTTAAAAGTCAATCAATTGTTAGGTACTATTGCAACGTGATGGAAATTATAAACTTCAAACGAACTCCATTAGAAAAAAGGCGTCAACGTTGAACTATGCAGAATGTGAAAGAAATAATAGCACTAGAGATTGCGGATAAATTAGTAGTATAGTGCATGATTACACTGTTTATCTACCTCATATGTAAATAACAAAACTTCGTGACTGAAACCTACCCAAAAAGCCATTTATGGTTACTCTAAAATAAATGGAGCGTTATAATTTCACATATATATAGATAATCGAAAATGTAACATTGAGACTCACTAAAACTATTTTCTTAATAACATGTACTGTTCCTGCCAAGATATATTAATGACCTGGTAGCCGTTGTAATAATATGATGAAGTAAAATTACCGTGAAGGTAATATGGTTTCAGAGCAAGTGGAAGTACAGTATCAGTACGAATCTTAATCGTAAGGTCCCAAGATAATGGGAAACTCAATATATTTTTTTAACATTTCTGGATCCAAGAATCGTGGCATATTTTTTGGGTCAATGATTCATGAATCAAATTATTTCTCGACTTTGTCTTATAGATTGCTGTCACTGCCATTTATTGCTTTAGATTTACTTAGTTCCGTTTTATATGGGGAACATTTGAATTATATGGATACATGATTTTTCAAAAATGACTTTGTTTTCCAATGGAATGACGGTGATGGGCCATGTATTTTCTAGAGATTTATTCAACTTTCTCATTTGAATATTTAGTACATTCACGAAAACCATCGTAAACACATTACACAGATTTCGAAAATTGCTTGAATGAGATAATCAGATAATATGGCAAAAACTAGACAGACTATAGCTATGATCCGTTCAGGAATGACACCCATTGACCCATTGGACCAGAACCGATACCGGAAATACCCAATAGCAAGGCTATGTCCTTCATGAAGAGAATGCTACAGAAGCAGTTCCTTTAAATATGGCGGGACACTCCAGGAATGAGACAATCAGAGCTCCATATAACGAAACCTTCGAAAGGCTCACGAGAGGGGTCCTGTCACTAAACAGAAGGGATCTCAAGATGGTATTTGGGCACCTAACTGGACACAACCACCTCATCAGGCTTTTGGAGCTGATAGGTATCAAGTAGGGCTCATCGGGGCCTACTCGCTAACCCATGCTCTCCACATATCTACGCTTCCTTCACCTAGATTTCCTTTAAGGATCTCCCAGACCTTCTTATGAAGACCAGTATATGTCCGTCCACTCTAATATGATCAACTCCTCCTGTAAATCTCAGCCTCCCGTACGCCTCGCACTCGCCGAGAAAATGGAATGACGTTTCTTCGTCTTTCCCTCATCTAGGGCAAGTAGGATTGTCCTCTATTCCCATAGGTGTTAGGTGTCTGCCTAGCCTGTTGGGTCCTGTGAGTACTTCTATGAGGAGGCGGAGTACTTGGCAGTCTCTGCCGAGCAGCCAGTTCTTCCTTGATTTGCTCGGACCGGCCACGAATTCCTTGGCCTGCCTGCAACCTGTGATGTTCCTCCAGTATTCTCCTAGTTTCTTGTCGGCCCATCCATCAAGGGCTGACGTAGTTTGGCTCCTTGCTATACCTAGTACAGGCTCCGTTCCCAGAAACAGCTCCGCGGATCCGGCCCTAGCAAGTTTGTCTGCTGTTTCGTTTCCGGACACCCCACTGTGACCCGAGACCCATACCAGTTGAACTTCGTTTGACTCGGATAATTTCTCAAGGGCATTTCCACATTCCTGTACCAATGCCGAGCTTGGTCTGGGATGACAGATAGCCGTGAGTGCTGCCTAACTATCCAAACAGATGTAGATCTTCTGCTCTGGTCCCTCTTTCACCTCTTGCCATTCTGCTACGACCAGGATGGCGAACACCTCAGCTCTTTTTTTTATATTCTGGTTCCCACGAAAAAGGATATCCTTTAATGTTCAGAGAACATCGTTTCTGGAGGTTATATGCCTTGGGGAACACCTCCCTTGGCGATGTGTTCCAGAGCCTCGCTGTTCGTTGGATGAACGAGTCTTTGGAAAGTGATGTTGTGCAGGTCCTTAAAGTGACCACGAAGGGGTCCGGAGCCTCAACTTGACGAGTTAATCTCACGGGGAGTGTCAAGGGAGGAACACTTGCTGATATTTCAGAAGAGCATCGTCCATGAAAATATCTATAAAATAGAGCTAGATCGCCAACTTTTCAACGGTGTTCCAGAGAAGTGAGTGAGTTTGTGAGCGAGGCATCACCCACGAGATGAATTGACCTTTTTTGGACAGAATCAAACAGTTTCAGGGTATGTTTGGGAGCTGCACTTCAAATATGGGAACGTTATTCCAGGACATCGACATCGAGCTCATGAAATACCTGGAACATTCAGGTATTATCAACGATACAACGATAGGCAAGATGGCATTCGTCATCAGAGATCAACTGGTGACCTGCTCGCTTACGTCTCACATATATGGCAACAATCTATTGAAAAATATGGTGAAACCTAAGCCGTGGCACACTTGATATCTCCAAGGCATTCGATCGAGTCTGGCACGACGGACTCCTCGCCAAGCTTCCATCTTATGGCTTGCCTCCCCAGCTATATTCCCTGCTAGCTAGTTTTCTCTCAAACAGATCTCTCCACGAGACGGAATTCTATCTGACTCTCTTATCATAAATGCTGGGGAATCTGTGGTGTATTTTCCTAGAGCGTAGCTTTCTCGTATGTTTTTTCCTTCGAGATAGATCCCTGCGTCCAAGGTCTGTTTGTAAGTCAAACGGGACCCGTCTGTGTGACATACTAAGCTTCCTAAGCGAAACTCCACTGTATTGCTTCCTCATTATAGGTATCAAAGATGATCGCATCTGCAGATGGTGCTTAGAGGATGATGAAACATCATCGCACATACTTGCTGAATGCCCCGCGCTGATCATCAGAGAGAAGCTGCCTTTGGGAGCATTGTACTGCTGAATTTCGTCGAAGAAATTGGCATGCCCAGTTGTCTGAAGAGTTCTGAGAGAAGTAGAAAAGGTAATCAGAATCTGATTCAAATCAGATTTTGAACTTCTCGGCTGAAGGGGTAGGTGCCTATGTCTACTTGACATGAGTTCAACATAGAATTAGAGGATTGTAATAAAAATGAACTACGAATGAGGAAGAGAACTCACCGTAGCCACAATAGTGACATAATATCTTTGAGTTTTCTCGAAGTCCAGCGTCCTGTTAACTGTAACTTGACCCTGGTGTGGTAAGTTGATGGCGAAATATCCATAACCGTCTTCACTGTGTATCCGTTGTCTCCCGATACCTTCGTCCGGTGGTAGGTGGTCGGCTAAAAACCAATTGACAATCATTGATCGTTTTTATTATTATTGTTTGACATTATTAAAAACCAATAGAAACTTTCGATTCCATTTTTGAATTAACAGTGCATCCATTTTGGTTTTGAGACTGCCATTATGTTTTTCGGTTTTTATTGAAGATAGAGCTTCATACTTTTTGGTTCCCTTCTATATGTACGAAGTTATTAGATATAATGTTGCGCTGCATTTTTTTCGTAGTATGGTTTTGGAAATACGACACAATTTTAAATATCTTTTTCGAGTGATATCGAAAGGATTCAGGAGGTATAGTAATAAACCAAGAATACTGATAATCGGAAAGGGTTTTCAATATTGCTCGATGGTACATTGTTTGATAGATCTAAAGGGCTCAGAAAAAATAGAATCAATTTTTAACAACAATCTGATTTCACTGTAATACGATCGAAAGGATCCTATGAATGATTAAATTCGCTGAAACTTGTTATACATATAATTCAAGTAAGGATATGAAAAGCTATAAAATTGCCGTATAAATCCATTACTAGTGAAGAAAACCATTTGAGCACGAGCCGCTGGCTCAAAGAATGATGCTTTTTATTTCTCAATTCCTAACATCCGTGTTATTAAACGTGACTAGATCTCGCAGAGCAGAATAATACTCCTGAAGATGCACCGTCATGGTTCCTGTTCATTTCGAAGCGACACGAAAAAAACAAATATTTTTTTTTTGATTATGTTACCTTCTACTATGGAGTATTCTACTAGTCCGTTGACACCGGTATCTTTGTCTTTGGCGGCGATATTCTGAAATATCGTCGTGCCAACAGGCGTCAGCTGTAAAATAAAGAAATCATTTATTCATACTTCATAGTCAGTTTCCATTATCCTATTGTTCGGTGCTCGGTGACTTTCTGTTTGGAGCTGCGGCGAGTCATGAGGAACTATCTTCATAACAGAAGATTGCTTTTCTAGTTTACTATACCGACTGTCCTCATCTCAGTGAATACTCCACAGCTATTCGATGGATATCCAATGAACATCCATTTTAGATATTTTATATATCTAGAGAACGTCTACTTGATATTCGTTGTACAGGGTGTTAGTAAAGAACTGCAACCAACTTCAGGGGATGATTCCTTGTGATATTTTAGGAAATAAAGTTGATATAAACATGTGTCCTAACTTGCTTCGTTTTTGATTTACAGGATGTTGAGGTTAGAAGTTTTAATTGTTTTCATTCAAAACGCCCCTGTATATGCTTTCATGGTGCCAAAATTCAGTATGGGTGGAGACTGCAGAAGTCCCAATATTTGATTCATGGTGAAAATAATTCCACCATGATTTGATTGTGGTTATTGAGTGATGTCAATGAATGTTTTGAGAGCACATATACATTAAAATTTGGAGTCAACACGCATTTTTATTGTTTCCTCAAATACTAAGCGAGATACAAAAGAAACACCAGATGATAAGAAAGTTTATATTTCAATTGTTCAATGTAATAAAAAAAAAGAAAAACCAGTGGCGTACAATGATAACCGTAAATTTCGATTAATCAACCCACTGTGACGCCACTGAAGATATTATTTTGAATTCAATCACATCAAAAGAAGCTCCATGTTACATTCAACAAAACCACCAAGTTCCATTGAAATTGGTGAAAAGACATTTGAGTTCTGATTAAAAAAACGTTTTTTCATGGAAATATTAATACACTGGGTTTCGAAAACAAAGCAAGTTAGGACACATGTATATATAAACTTTTTCTGGAATATCACAAGGAATCAGCCCCTGAAGTTTGTTGCACTCATTTACTAACATCCTGTATATTTTATGGATGCCCAATGGATGTTCCCAGTGGAAGAAGCTGGACTTCCACAAGATATACCCTCCAGCAATATTCAAAAAAATATTGTTCAGAAATATAGGTACATAAGATGTCTTTCAAGGTTATTCATACACCATAAGGCATTGATCACAGTTACACACAAGATATCTCTGATAGGGATATCATTATGTGAAATATCGTGTATAGTAGCAGAGGAATGAAACAAAAAGGGGAAAAAATTAAATATATTCGAATTTTCAGGAATGAACTGTAAACCTATAACATTCGAATTGACGAAACAAGAAAACAACAACAACAACAAAAAATTTAAAGTTATGAACTATCGAATTTGAAAATAAATTGGAACAAAAAATCAGGAAAGATATAACTTCTGATAGAATGGCGATCTTATATAGAGAATGAAAGTGTATAGTGTGGAGGAAGAAGAATCAATTATATCAATTTATATTTGCATCAGATATTTCATGGCCATCTGTATATGTATTGGATACCTCGAAATCTTGTATGAATATCTCATGAATGTCCAGGAACAAAACTTGTGATGGGTGCGATTTTTTCAAAAAGGTACATCTCCTGTACAAAAGATGAGTATAGACAAAAAAATAAGTTATCCGTGGTATATTTCTGGAGGATATCTTCTTCGAATCCATCGATGAATATCTCATGGATATGCATCTCAAGCTCAACAAAAACAGTTAAGATACGAGTACTTTTTAGAAGGGCAATTTTCTATTGCAGGAACATTTTTGAGAAACAAAATTATTGATTTTTAACAGTGATTTTGGTATTTATATGACTTTATGTTTGCTTTACGGTATCTTTCGGCTATCCGTGAGATATCTTCTGATAGATGTCGGTTTCGAATTTAACAATGAATATCTCATGAATATACATCTGAAACCCAGGAAGAAATAAAATATAGTATACGACCATTATTTGAATGATTATATAAGTGTATTAAAACCTATGTGACAACAAACAGTGATTTTATAGTTTATATGCATTTTATGTTTTCTTTGGATATCTTATGAATAACCAATTCCGATCCAGAGATATCCTGAACAGAATTGGACATGAAACGGATAGGGGAATAAAGGAAAGCAATTTTCTGAACTTGCTTGTCTCGCTTCTAGAGGACTGAAAAACTCAAAATGATATAAAATTGGGGCTGCATCTTCTTGACAGCAAACTCTTCAATTACGTTATTCCTCCAAGAAATCATGATCAGGGTCGAATAGTTTAGTTGCAATGGTTTGACGACGATTAATTGCGTGCACTAATTACGTGAATGTATCAGCAGACCATAAAGTATTAATTTTCTGGCTTACCTCGGATATGGTGGTTTCATATGGCGTATTAACGAATTGCGGTGCATTATCATTAATATCAGTCAGTCTTACAATTACGGGAATAGTCTTCTTCTTGTGAGTCGATTTGATTGTACATATTAACTGGAAGAAAATTCATGATTATTGATATTCAATACCATTAGGTGGATGGAATGATGAATGCATTCATGTATATACTTGTAGATAATCGAACTGGGAATCGCTATAATATATGCCTACCAGGGATTTACTCCCGACAATTTTCTTGAAATTCACACAGCTTTAGTAGTTTTTTTACAATACAATACCGGGTGACATTGATATATGTACAAATATTTTAAACACTGAGAAAGCTCGACGCGTACTATCGAATTGCACTAGTAAAAAAATTTAGGGATCAAAATGAAATTTGAGGTTAGATCCCTTGTTATACCCAAAGTACACTGTAGCAAATCTGACGTCACCTTTGTTCAAATTTCCATGCGGTAGGCTCAATCACGCGGAGTTCAATCATTTAAATTGTTTCAAAGTGGCATACTTGATTTTTTCTCGTATTTTGTACAATTTCTGGAATTGAATTTCTCCTGAATTAGAATGAGAAACTACCAGCGAATTAATTTTGAATTTTCCCATTCATGCTAAGACGATGAAAAAAATTAATAAGAATATGTCCATTACAAATAAACACACAATTCCTGTGCCATTTGAGATTTTGTCAATTCATTGGTGTGACTGGTGCGAAGTCTTTGTCCCAACACGCCTATTGTCCTTGAACTGACCAATCACACTGCAACACTGCAGAATGACGCGGTATCAGAGAGAGATAGCTACAGCTCGGGACTAATACGTCACGGCCCCACCATCATATTCGGCTGTTTGAAATATCGAATGAAATATGCTGATTTCAAAACGATATAGATTCGATTCCCTTCAACTTCAACTCATAATATTGATTGTACATCAAACGTGAATCATGATTCGTCGATTGAAAGAGGTTTGCACGGATTTCTTCTCTCAGTGGTCTTCCCCATTCAAATATTCAAATATTCTAGTGATCATGTAATGATTTTGAAGAAGATGAATGACAATTTAACAATTGTCCTTTAATATGAGGTCTGTTATTGCTGGTATCCGTATAAGCTATATTCTTTGACTTATGTACATTGAAGGAACAAGAAATACGAACTCGTTCCTGTAACAACTATCCAAACTTGGGCAACGGACGTAACAAAAAAAAATACTCGACCAGCATCCGGACAAATCCATTCGCTCAATGAATGAAAGTCGTAGAATGAGAATCATGTTGTGTGTACGTACTGTGGATTTCGAGAATGCCAATAGAACGGTTACGATACATAACCTGATTTTTTCTTGAGATTGGCATGCCAGCATTTTTCGAACAATGTGTCACTGACTATTGATTGAATTTCTCTTTCAGGTTTTCTTAAAGTGGGATTTTAAACGCAGGGACATTTTGATGTGAATCATCTGATCCGTCCTTATACTACAACTATAATAAAAAGCTACTAACATTTGTATTTATAAAAACCAGGAGAGAAAATGCCAATAGTTTATGGATAATCATTTAAACAGGGCGAGTCGATAGTGTGTTCTCTTTCGATATCAGCCAAACTCTCAGCTATATAGAAAAAATTCGAATACAACAGTTCGATGTGTTTTTTTTAATGGGATACACTAAATATTATTGCATTTTTTCTTCCCGAAGAGCTGATTCCATCAATGCATCACACTTGGGGTCTAGCAGGAATGATTACAGAGATATAGGGTGTTTATAAAATCGAGATTTTTCAAGTTGTGGATTTTTTTGTCGAAACTATTCATTATTGGTCAAAACGGCTTATATGTCCCTATGTTTACTTTAGATCAACTATCTACTGACATTCAAGCCGTTTTGACCAATAATGAATAGTTTCAACACAAAAAAATCCACAATTTGAGAAATCTAGATTTTGAACACCCTATATCTCTGTAATCATTCCTGCTAGACCACAAGTGTGATGAATTGATAAAATCAGCTCTTCAGGGAGAAAGCAAAAATGCAATGATATACAGGGTATCCTATCTACAGAAACTATCATCAGTCAATATCTTCGAGTTTGAACACCCTATAAATATGAAAATAATTTTAGGTTATAGTTCTCATGAAACCATATAACTGTATATTTGAATTTTTTTTGTATATATGACAGTTTGGCCTATATCGAAGGAGAACACACTAACCCTGTATATTGGGGTGCATGGTATGAAAACCATTTTTTTCTTTGACGGGAAAAGAGTTTGGCATTTCATTTCTGTTGGCAGGTTATAAAATGTCACTTCTCAAAAAAAACTCTTTTCCCGTGGGTAAAAAATGAGTACTTTTTTCCCGGATATATTTCACATATATATACACTGTTGATGGCTTTTGTTGTGCTATAGTTCCGAAAAATGAGTCAATAATACCGTCTCCGAGAAAGACCTGCAAGCCCTTTTATCTTCCATTCGACTTCGCGGCTACGTATATTACTAAACAACCATACTAAATTCGCAATTTTTTGAATTCAAATCACAGAATTAGACTGACAGAAGTGACATCAAATATTTGATTACTTCAAAAGAATGATAAAGATGCCTAAAACGCAGGTGTCCCTACTGTTAAAAACTTGAAATTTCACGTCGATAATTTTCAGATTTCCAAATAATGTAATATCTTCTCGATATTGATTCGTCCTTTCTTCTGTCACAGAAAAAAATTTGATTTTAGCTCACACACAACCTGGAGCTAAAATCTACTACATTTTTCCCTTATCACTATTGTTTCAACAGGTTTCCTATTTTTTTATGTCATTGGGATAGAAGGAATAGTTCGGGAGATATCAACATTTCTTGTAAAATTTTTGAGTACATTCTTCTGAAACTTTCAATAGGTATTGATTCATTATGGAAGATATGGGTCTACGTACTGAGGAAATTGAATTCATGGAATCGCATTTAGAAACTAGAGAATCAACAGGGGTGGTTTCATTTCTGTAATTGATTGAATGATATATTTTTTTTCAATTTTCAGGTTCAATTGATGTCGCGGTCACAGAAATAAGAATGGACCAAACGATTCAATGGGAGCTATTCTTCTATTTTATATACATATATTTATTTTTTCATAATCAGTTCATTTTTTTCATCCTATTATGAAGTGGATTCACATTTTCATTTGTATTCTTGTGGGAGAATGCATTGCATTTAATTCAATGGTACCCACAGTATCAACCAATAAAGTAGTTGCGACGGCAACAATGTTGAATACGCATAAGTAATACCTACCTAGAATATAGAAATTATTTCACATGAGCTGGTATTTTGCTCGTCGTCAATTCTTGATTCATTTTTAATAGTATAGTCAGTGAAAGTAGAAATTTGTCGTTCCTTATCATTTTTTCTATGATCATTACCTGCAAGTATCATGAATGCATTCAAAATTGCACCATTAACAAAATGAACAGTTTATACGTAGATTACTACCTGGAATACTATGTGGGATAGATTGTTCTCATCTCTGTCTAAAGGAGAAATAAGTTGCAACTTCTTTCCGTTGAGGAAGAACAAAGGGATACCCTTTGGAAATGATAGGTCCAGAAATATATCTACATTCGGTTCGCCTGATATTGGTAATTCTGGAGGGTTAGTCTCTTGAGTGATTGCTGAAAGAAATATAGAGAAAAAACTTAAAATTCGATTGATTCACCATCAACTGATTGGAATGATTAGTATAGAAAATGTTCATCCACGAATCGATCGAATTCTGAATCATGATTATCATCAGCTCCAATATTAGGAATATTTCCAGTATAATTTATGATTTTGAAGTTTGAGAATTGTTACAAATAAAAATGTTCTTAACTAATTGTGATTTTAAATTTCTTCGACAGGCTAGAGGAAGGGAAGGAACTGCCTCATCATATTTTATACTCATCATTCAGCTCCATTATGTCTATTCGATTGTGTTCAATGGATACCAGATACAAAATTGAATATGTTTCTGGAAACACCAATTCAGAGAGTGATGATTTTGGAAAATATTCAATTCACCTTTCTCACTGTCTAGCAGTTATGAGTTATTTGAACTGATCTAATGTGAAGAGTCCTTGTTTCGTGGGCAAATTCAAAACTAGGCTGCAAATACATTCATTGGAACGATCCAACTCAAATATTTGTAGATTTTGAATTGTTTGTTTTGTGTACTGTGAGTTTATTGTGATTTGCATGTTAATCTTGAGTTTGTGAATCGAATGTCTATCGGGTGGTCACAAAAAAAAACGGAAGTTTTTATTTTCCTCGTGGTTTCATCATTTCTCAACCGAATTCGAATTTCTTGGCGTCATTTCATAGCTAAAGGGCTATAGTATGCAGTGAAATATTTGAAAATTTCATGATGAACAGAAACAAAACGGCTGAATTTACCAAAGTATTGTCATTTAGAAAAACCACTGGAGGAAAATAAAATCATATTTTTTTCAACCTGTACCGATGTCATCTTAGGCTATTCATTTCTGAAGAGAATGAGTACTCGAACATCGAAATCGAACAAATAGTCCAGTAGATACACTCATTTCTTTGCAATTTGTTATGGAGTGAATGTGTTAATCTCGTATAAACGATTATTATTATTTTGCTTCAGGCTTCATGAAAATTCAATCGAATTTAGATTTCTTAGAGTTATTTCAAAGATAAAGAACTGTATATAGTACACAATGGAACATTTGAAAATCCAATAATTGAAAGAAACAAAATGGTGGAGAATCCAAAAAGCAACGTTGCCGAAATTTATTGAATAGTTTCCGGCTGTAAATCACGGAAGTTAGGATTACTCCACCATTTCGTTTTTTTTTTTCAATTATGAAATTTTCAGATGTTCCACTGTGTACTACAGCTATTCAGCTTTGGAATGGCGTTAGGAAATCCAAATTCGTTCTGATAAAGCCAGAAGCAAACTAAAAGTAATTCTTATCACGAGATTGGCACATTCACTCCATAACACTTTGCCAAAAAGAACGTGTTCCTCCTGGACTAATTGTTCGATTCAGATGTTCGAGTGCTCATTCTTTTTAGAAATCAATGATCTAAAATTGTATCGGTCCTGATTGGAAGAATGAACATTTTTTTATTCGCCAGAGAGTTTTGAAAATCACAAAAATTCTGGATTCCCCACCATTTTGTTTTTTTCAATTATTGCATTTTCAAATGTTCTATTGTGTACTACAGTTCTTGATCTTTGGAATAACTCTAAGAAATCCAAATTCGATTGAATTTTCATGATGCCTGAAGCAAAATATTAATTATCATTTATACGAGATTAGCACATTCACTCCATAACAAATTGCAAAGAAATGAGTGCATCTACTGGACTATTTGTTTGATTTCGATGTTCGACTACTCAATCTCTTCAGAAATGAATAGCCTAAGATGACATCGGTACAGGTTGAAAAAAATCTGATTTTATTTTTCTCCAGTGGTTTTTGTACATGACAATACTTTGGTAGAATCCGCCATTTTGTTTTTGTTCATCATGAAATTTTCAAATATTGCACTGTATACTATAGCCCTTTAGCTATGAAACGACGCCAAGAAATTCGAATTCGGTTGAGAAATGATGAAACCACGAGGAAAATAAAAGCTTCTGGTTTTTTTGTGACCTCCCGATAGATGTGTCTTGTTTGTATTCATCTTATGACTGTTTTGTTCTGATACTTGTATAAGATTTTTTGCTAAATAAAAAATCATCATCATTATTATTATCATTATTTATGAAGTTACTGATCATCACACTGATGATTTTGGGTTCTTCCATAGGGATTGATACACGAAATGACGAAGTGACCCTATTATTCGGTTGGAAATCCCAATAGAGAAAATACAAGTTGTTCAAACTGTTGTTCAAACTGATATCTGTTCTCAACAATACAGTAAAATATAAGTAATATATCACAAGATTTCGATCACTGAATGAATCTCACTACACTATAATGGTGCATATTTGGATCAGTGTAAAACCAGCCACTAGTTCCAGCCACGACTTCGCCTAATATTCAAAGCGCGCGCCATACCACCAATGCTCGTTCACAATTAATTTATATTCATGGCTGGCCATGGAATTACTCATACCTCCAGAATATGTCCATGGATGAAACTATTTTATATCAATGAATTCCTCTGAGGGTCTATAATAATCTGTATATCTCACAATAATTTGTCGGACAAGAATTAACTTCACAGCCCACTCTTTCCGAATTTCGAAGAAAAAATCATAACTTTTTCAAAATACACGTAGATGGGAGTTTTTTCCTATGAATGTGTTCCTCTGATACTACTTAATAATGTGTATATCTCACAATATCTTGTCGGGCAAGAATTAATCCCACAGGCCCCCTTTTTGGAATTGTATTTTGAAAAAGTTATGATTTTTTTTTTCGAAATTTTAAGAAAGGGGTCCTGTGGGGTTAATTCTTGCCCGACAAAATATTGTGAGATATACACATCATCAAGTACTATCAGAGGAACACATTAAAAAAAAAAAGTCCCATCCACGTGTATTTTGGAAGAGTTATGATTTTTTTTCGAAATTCCGGAAAAGGGGGCCTGTGGGGTTAATTCTTGCCCGACAAACTATTGTGAGATATACATATTATTAAGCTCTATCAGATGAACACATTCATAGAAAAAACTCCCATCCACGTGTATTTTGAAAAAGTTATGATTTTTTTTCGAAATTCAGAAAAAGGAAGCCTGTGGGGTTAATTCTTGCCCGACAAAATATTCTGTGTTATACATATTATTGAGTACCATCTGAGGAACACATTCATACAAAGAAACTCCCATCCACGTGTATTTTGAAAAAGTTATGATTATTTTCGAAATTCCGAAAAAGGAGGCCTGTGGGGTTAGTTCTTGCCCGACAAAATATTGTGAGATATACATATCATTGAGTATTATAAGAGGAACACATTCATAGAAAAAAACTCCTATCCACGTGTATTTTCAAGAAGTTATGATTTTTTTCGAAATTCCAAAAAAGGGGGCCTGTGGGGGTTAATTCTTGCCCGACAAAATATTGTGAGATATACACATTATTGAGTACTATCAGAGAAACACATTCATAGAAAGAAACTCCCATCCACGTGTATTTTGAAGAAGTTATGATTTTTTCTTCGAAATTCGGAAAGAGGGGGCTGTGAAGTTAATTCTTGTCCGACAAATTATTGTGAGAAATACAGATTATTATAGACTCTCAGAGGAATTTATTGATGTAAAATAGTTTCATCCATGGACATATTTTGGAGGTTTGAGTAATTTCCCAGCCATGAATATAAATTAATAATGAACGACCATTGGTAGTATGGCGCGCGCCTTCAATATTTGGCGAAGTCGTTGGAACTCGTGGCTGGTTTCACACTGATCATATTATTATTTGGAGCTTTCTTTTAGAATATCCTCTCTCCAATGATTATATATCCATTATTGTATTATTTGTTATTATTACGAGTAGTTCTACATCTTCATTAAAAATATTGCACAATGCTTATTTTGCTGATAAACAAAACTGTTAACAAAATATCAGTAAACATAGTTTTTCAATGAGTTTCACGTACATAACAATGATGACCTATATTTTCCCACAACTATAATTAGCGATATCTATAGTTACCGTTATACTTGTCAATATGCATACAATTACTATATATTGGGAATAAAAAGTGATGCATAGCATATACTTACACGTTCCTCTGCTTTCTTCTATGTCTAGAATAATATTCGATGCCCCCTTTTCCACTTCACATAACCCTGTAAAAAATATAAATTATTTATAATTGTGTGATTACAGTGATTGAGGAAAGTTTTTATGCCATCAATATATAGAGCTGATATACGTACAGCTTATAATTAATGCATTCTCTTGAGGTTTCATTACTATTAAGTGCACAAAAAATAACGTAATCTAATTGTAGATATCATCTATATTATGGTATTGAACATATCGATATACAGGGTGATTTTGATTTCATTGAGGTTTTGAAAAATCAATTATACATTGTGTTGAACTAATTCTTATCAATACATCATCTATGGAAATTTGTCAACATCCATTGTTCTATACAGTGTGTCCCACTTACCAAGCTCACCATGGGTATCTTTTCAACGGTGAGAGATACGAGGTCGGTTAAATGACACCAAATGTGGAGTTTGTCAGGGCCAACTATAATGTGGAAAAACATTTTGATAAAATCTATTCGTTTTTGTTTTATCCGCAAAAAACAGATTTTGATCATTTTCATGTCTCCTCCGTAACTTCTTTATTTATGAAAATATTCAAATAGGAATTTCACATTCTCCTGGCAGTTTTTCAAAGTGATTTCGAAAAAAATATGAAATTCATACTGATTCTTCTAAAATTTGAGATATCAGCACCAACTTTAGTTTTTCACATGTAGGTCATAGCTCACTATATGACTTAGTTACAAATAACTTTTTTTTCTCTTCCAGATGATATGTCGCAGTAATAGTTTTTTGTTGATAACAACGGAGTTATCGTCATTTATACAAGAACAAAAAATTATTTGGATGCCGCCATCTTGAATTCATAAATTTTAACAAAAAAATCATGATCTCCGACCTCAAAAACCCCCACTTAGCAATTTTGAATGGAATCGGACCAAATCTTGTCCACCATCTTGGAGCAGCCATTTTTTTCAATTTCAACAAAAATTCCATAACTCCGATTAACTTGAAATTTGACAGGTGTTCATAATTTCGGTGACAATACATTATGGAATTTTTGTTGAAATAAAAAAAAATGGCTGCTCCAAGATGGCGGACAAGATTTGGTCCGATTCCATTCAAAATTGGTAAGTGGGAGTTTTTGAGGTCGGAGATCATGATTTTTCCATTGAAATTTATAAATTCAAGATGGCGGCTTTCAAATAATTTTTTGTTCTTATATAGATGAGGATAACTCCGTTGTTATAAACAAAAAACTAATACTGCGACATATCATCTGGAAGAGAAAAAAAAGTTATTTGTAACTAAGTCATAGTGAGCTATGACCTACATTTGAAAAACTAAAGTTGGTGCTGATATCTCAAATTCTAGAAGAGTTGGTATGAATTTCATATTTATTTTGAAATCACTTTAAAAAACTGCCATGAAAATGTGAAATTCCTATTTGAATATTTTCATAAATAAAGAAGTTACGGAGGAGACATGAAAATGATCAAAATCTGTTTTTTGCGTATAAAACAAAGACGAATAGATTTTATCAAAATTTTTTTTCACATTATAGTTGGCCTTGACAAACTCCACATTTGGTGTCATTTAACCCACCTCGTATCTCTCACCGTTTAAAAGATACCCATGGTGAGCATGGTAAGTGGGACACACTGTATATCAATAATCTTGCGAACTAAAACCAATTTTTGAATAAGAGTACAGGGTGTTCCATGGATTACCCCCTCTGTGACTTTCTTCTTTATACAGATATTTGAAAATATACACTCAGTTCCAAAAAAAGTGACGCACTTGATATTTGACCTATATTCTTGAAAAAACAAAACAAAAAATAGTAGGCCGATTTTTATTTTCTTTTATTTGTTGGTAGGTAATGCATTTGTCTTTAAGAAAAAAATAAAGAGGTGAAAATGTTTTCAAAGCCTCCTTGATGGTTAAAACAATATTCACCTTCCTTATATTACGTCGAAATTTGGGTCGATCAAAATTTGGGTCAATCGAAATTTGGGTAAATCGAAAATTGGGCGAAACGAGACTTTCCTATTTCATATCATATCGATATATTAATATTAATATTAACGATTAACCTACAGACAGTATTTAAAAAATATCTGTTTCTGTAGGGTCTGTTTTTTTCTAGACTGATTATTCATATCCTGAATACAGCTCATGATATCTTCATTCACAGAATAGACCATTTATTCTTTGAACTGTAATTTTTATCATCCACAAACCAAGATTGGCTACAGGGAAATCTTTTCACTCAGGAAACTTCATTATTATCTTCCGATTAACGAATGAATGATACAATTATTACTTAACCTGTTTCCTGTTTCCCATGAAAAATTGCATATCTATATGCATGTTTAGCAAAAAGTGGATTGCAAACTTCATCGGCCATCCAGTCGATTGTAAATAATTATATCCTATATCGCTATAAGATATAGTCGGAGCTGCCGATACTATACATATCTTATGGTCTTTGCAGACGATTTAGTAAAAATTGCTTGGAGAGCTGATAACCTGCTCTTCTGGTTTCGATCGCATCGGCCTACATATCCTTCAGCCAAGATTCAAATCTCGAACTAGTTCATTTATTTTACGACCCTCGCGGTACACTATACTTTATACAGTGTGTTATCGAAATAAATACATATTATATTATGAACACATCAATATTCCTAAGTCTAATAAAAATTATACCAAAATATTCGATCTCCAAGTTAACCAGAAATATCATCTCCAAAATTGAACAAAAATTGGAATAGAAATCGATTACGCCATTTCATGGATATTGAAGTTCTAGTGACTCTGCAGTCCACATGGAAATCTGATGACATTGACTTTATGCTTTTTTAATGTTCTGGTTCCCACGAAAAAGGATATCCTGTAATGTTCAGAGAACATCGTGAGAATCAAGGGAAATCTGGTAGAAATTGGTGTTCTTCTTAAATTTCTGGCAATGTGTTTCAGAGCCTCGCTGTTCGTTGGATGAACGAGTCTTTGGAGAGAGATGTTCTGCAGGTCTCCAAAGTGACCACGAAGGGGTGCGAAGCCTCAACTCGACGGGTTAATCTTGCGGAGACTGCCAAGGGAGAAACAATAATTGTTGATATTTCAGAAGAGCATCGTCCATGAAAATATCTATAAAATAGAGCCAGACCGCCAACTTGTCTACGGTGTTCCAGAGAAGTGAGTGAGTTTGTGAGAGAGGCATCACCCACGAGAAGAATTGCCCTTTTTTGGACAGAATCCAACAGTTTCAGGGTATGTTTGGGTGCTGCACCGACAGGTCGGATCTGTACCTTATAGATCATAAGCAGCTGACTGGAAGTGAAATAGCTCCTGTCCCGAAACAGAAAACCAAGTTTTTGCGATGTACTTTTAGCAATTGATCTGACGTGATTTTCCCAAGAAATTGCTGATTGCTGATAGTAATACCAAGCATCGAATTGGATGTCTTCAAAGGTATGGTATATAACTCCTGAAAAGCTTTTGTTGGGCACAGTGAGATCGGCTTTCCTGGAGGAAAGGCATGCTTGTGTTTTGTTTGCATTGATCTACCAAGTTATTGGATTTCCATTCGAGAATTGTTGCCAAGTCCATATTTATGTTGTCAACATTTCTCCCTCGTTCGTTTCTGATTTGCCTGGCTGGTATTGGAGCCCTGGAAGAGAAGACGGTATGAAGGGTACTATCGTCCGCGAAGCTGTGTACTGGCCATGAAGTTGAACCAGATCTCATAACAAAGAGATGTGGGAAGAAGAGAATTGCTTCAATTGTCAGCAGGAGCGGGACTGTTACTTGTAGCACCACATTGCAACGTTGTAGACGTATGACGTTGTATGACGTGACCGCAGGCACCTACATCAGAACTAAAGCCACTAGATGGCGTTAGCATGACTGAACATCATGCGTTATCCGGTATCCTTGAGTATCTAACTGAAGTAATTCCTTCTGATGAAAAATTAATTGTTCAGTGTCGAGGTGTGAAAAAATCGAGAAAATTTCCTGATCCCTAAGTTTTTACTCCACTTTTGGCCATTCTATAGTGTTTGTGTCTGGTATTTCTGTAGAGCTTGAGAGCTTGTGTGTGAGGAAATGCTTGTGGAGTAAGTTGATTCTGAAATTTTTGCATCATTTGCTTACATTATCTATTTTTATTTTTATTATCTGATGGTTCTCTTCAAACCGTTGTGATGGAGACTAGCAGTTGGTCATCATTAGTTAGTATAGTTTGGTATTCTTTTTGATATTGCAGGGTTTTTTGACCGTTTTTAACGTACCTATGTACCGCATTTCCTTCTATGGTTAACATTGACGAATGATTCTTTTTTTACATTGTGTCAGTCACTTCGTCAGGGATTGATTTCTTGAACTATTGTCTTCCGAATATTAGTGATAATATCCAATCCGAAAACTATTTCAATCTGATTAATTTCAGATTTGAAAAACATATTTTTTCTAACCTCTATTAAAATCAATTTCTTATTTCAACATCTTCATGAACTGTGGCAACGTCAAATCTTAATTTGACCGCTATATTCATCACAATGGTGCCATTCGACAGTACATTTTCGCCCTTCTTAGGGTTGAAATTCAATGTATTAATTTCGATAAGACCCTGTACTATCATATCTTTCGGATGGCATGACCGGGAATACCTATTGTGTGCCGCTCTGTACAAATATTTGGCCCCCCATGGTCTTGAGAGATCTGGTAAAGAGTTGTTCGACAAAAAATCTCAAGGTTGACGAAGGAATGTGCTGACCGCGCTTGTCGCGAGTTCGTTTTATAGAAAAGTTGAAAATGGCAAACTTTCCACGCTGTTTCGATGATATGAAGACATTTGCAAGTGTGGCATCACTTACCATCAGGCGAATAGTTCGTCATTGAATGAAAACTGAGATCATCATTACCGAGTATAAAGATTGTGGACTTTGAGGTGGTGTCAGATATTTTTATATCTGGCTTGCTGAATTTTTAGAGAAAATTTACAATACAATACAATAAAAATTATTGTAGGATATTTCCATGGCGCTAGATGATATTTTGCACATGCATAAAATGGCCCTAAAATTGTCTGATATCTGATAAAACTCCTCTCATTGAATTTGTCGTTATACCTATAGGGTGAATGGTGTAACTGGATGATTACTATTTACCTTGAGCTTCTGTCTTTTGCAGAAAGAGTAAAAGACATATCGAACATGCTATCCGGAATATGGACGCCATTCGGGAAACCTGAAACAAGAAAAAACTGTGAATTTTCGTTCAGCTCCACCCAACATAGTTGTTGCTATACAGTCTGTCCAAGACACAGATTCCAAGATAAGGTTGAACAGCATGGGGATCTCGAAAACTGTAGGAGATACGAATTCGGTTAAATGGGGAAGAGTTGCGCATTCGGAGGCTCATATCAAGGGCCTTCGGAAATTTTTAAAATTAACTTTTGTTTTTGAGTTATATCGAAAAAAGTGAATTTTTGGAATATCTATTTTTTTTTCTCCGTTATTATTACAGATACAGAAAAACGGAAGATACTTTTTCATAGCAACTTTCGATGACGTTTAACGTGGTGATACCAGTTTTTTATGCAACGTTTCGTATTCGTAGAACCATCATCAACTTTTGTTTTTTGAATACGGTCTTGATAATTTTTTCACAGATACTGAAAGGTTTTTTTATTCTGAATTCAACCGTGTATTATACATGGAGGTTTATGTGTGTTTCGACCAATTTTTAGCCATCATCAATGTTTTTTCGAAATTCCAAAGGAAAAATGCCATCAGTTCCACTTATTTTGAATGAAAATTAGTCAACACACTAATACCTCATCCACTGGTTCCAATCAACAACCCATTTCATTTTGAGGAAACAAAAATTCCATCCATACAAATTGAGAATATGTCAAGTGCTAAAACCAGGCGAAAGGCGCAGGACATTCTGTGAGTGGTATACCAGGAAATGTCAAAATTTTGCAGATTTTCCTCGAACAAACATCTGGACTGATAAAAGCATGGTCATTAATCATGGTATCTGACAGAAATAATACACATTATTGTTCACGAGATAATGAACATTATACATTACAGAGAGGCACCAACACCGTTTCGGCTTTAATATGTGGGTTGCAATATTTGGTACACGAATTATTGGTCCTTTTATTTACCATGAAACACAGACTTCCGAACGTTATAGAAATTTGCTTGAGAATCATCTTGAGGAAGCTCTGGATGATTGACCGATTGTGGAAGTTCAGAACTGTTGGTTTCAACAAGATGGCGCTCCGGTACATAATTCCAGAAAAGTCCGTGCGTTTTTATCTAGAAAAATGGATTGGTACTCATTCTACAGTCCCTTGGCCGGCGCGGTTGCCTGATTTGACACAGCTGGATTTTTTCTTAGGGGATATATCAAAAACTTTGTATACGCAAATAACTTGATGATGATGATAAAGAACTAAGGGACAGTGTCATCGAAGCATTCAATAGAATAACCCCAGAAATGCTTAGTAATGTCTTAGAAGCAACTGTGAGAAGAGGATATCTTTGATCAGAAAATAATGGTTATCATTTTGAACATTTGTTATGAATGTTTCTGTAGGTATTTTCAAAGTTAAGTTGTTGAAATAATTCGTGTAAGAATTCATCAACAATTTTAAGCGCTGCATCGAATGATGTAGTGAAATATGTTTCATTCACTTTTCAGTATTGAATAACTAACCCATCAATGTTTGAATCTGAATGATTCTTATCCTGCAGGGTGGAAAAGTAGGATATATAAAAGTAAGGCAAGCCAAGGTTAGTTTAATTTATTGTACCAGTATTTCACCTGATGAAGCTACTGAGTTAGCGGAACATGTCGTGTGATTGCGAATTTTGTGGTAATCTTAACGTTCGTGAAGTTTTTACATTTTTAAATTCATTAAAACTTGGTTCTTCTATCCTAGCAGGATCCAAATAGATCTTTTATGCCTCTTTATTTAACCCAAAAATTAAGAATGAATCCTATTTATAAACATATCGCTTCCTGAATAATTTTGCTCATTATATATTGGTATCATATTCAGCAGAAGAATGGCATCAATGCTGTACGGTAACGGATCAGTGAACACTCCTTATGGTAATCGGATCAAAAGTGGCTTTACTTATATTTTATGGCGTATACGCTAGACTTCGATGGCCAGACAAAGAAGCGAATGTGATAGTCTCAGTACTTAGTAGAGCCTACAAGAATTAACGAGCCCCAGAAGTAGCGAAAGCTATATAGGATCAACGCCTTTTTCACAAAACGAAATAGTGGAATCCGACATAATGTGTAGTTTCTTTGAGAAATACACAGAAAATTATACAGGGTGCCTCTGGAAGGTCTTAACAGAAACTTACCACATATTCCTCAGACTAAAACAACTCGGATAAACAGTATATTATCATCATAAGTATAATATCACGATGTTCTAAATATTCGAGATGATCTTGTCGCTTCCTTGTCCACTGTTTACAGTTTACAGTTTACAGCAATACCACTCGTCCTGACGGACTCGTGGTGTTGCTCGGCAACATAATTGAGTTAGTAATGAGAGACAGAATTTCGAGAAGATATTCAGAACAGAGTGGTATTTTGATAGACTACTAAAATAATTCTTTGAAATCAGTGACATTTTGGGACAAATCATCTGATATGTCCTTACTACACGTATATGGAAATAATATTCATATTTTTTTATTTTATATAGAAAATAGGAGAGAAAATCCCAAAAAAAAAATGGGAAAAATGGGTGTATACTTGTCATTCAAAAAGTTGTATTTATCAATTTTTTCTGTAAAGATAATGGAAAACTTCAAAGGTGAATAATTTTAACATAAAAAATTAATTACGGTCCATAACAATAGTGTTCGAAATGTTGTATAAAGTAAGAAATCTGACCACAACGATGAAAAAGAAAAATAATTCAAGGAAGGTAAACGTTTTCCAATAAACTATACGGTTACTTGCAAATTTCGCAAGTTCAAAAACAATGCAAAAATACTAGACCTTTTTCTTAACGGTCACTGATCGCTTTCCTCACGTTTCTATAATAGAATAGAATAGATTTATTCACTTATGAAAATTCACTTATGAAAAATGAGATACAATAATAATAATAATGAGGTAGGTACAATAATATGAACTTATATGACTAAATTTACTAAATTACTTAATATTATGAAGAAACATGAGTAAATATGAGCGAATATGAACAAGTATGAGTTGAAACATCATTTTCTTGATACAATTACAATTACAAATTTACATTTCAACTGTTTCGTGAATAAATGCACAGAGCCCACTTAAGGCAGAGCCTTGTCTGTGGGTAGTACAAGTATTGTACTGCATTTGTTTAAATAAAAAATATATAAATAAATATAGTATGCGAAACACAAATTACAAATTATAATTTATGGCGTGTGTATTGACTACATGTTTAGACTAGAGGCACATAATTATATCTACTACAATAAATGAATAATATATTATAAAACAATTAGAAGAATCAACAAAGCTACATAAGACTAAAAATGAGCATAATTCAAAAATTACACTTTATAATCGAAGGTTGCAGTGGTTTCAGAGTACATGAGGTTTTTATTATTTTCGTTGAGGTTGAAATGGTATGGTTATGAGGGGGAATTACAATCAATACTGGTAAGTATTTTTGACGTCTATCAACTGATGTACTGATAGCCTAGGGATTTGGAATATCCATTTTCTTGCATTTTTTCTAAAATTTCCGATCATCCTGAATTCTTTCAGTTCTGGCGGAACGCTGTTATAAAGTTTTGGTCCGAGATAAGAAAAACTTCTTTGGAGCACATTTTTTGTTGGTTTAGGAACCTTTATCGAATGTGATTTATATCTTGTTGGGTACATGTGATCAATATTCCCCAGGTAAGACTTATATTTATGTTGTCTACAAATAGCTGCTAAGAAGTATATTTGCCTTATGTCAAGCAATCTGGATTCCTCATAGAGTTGATTTGATGGATAAGTACGTGGTTTGTGCTCAATGGTTTTTATAATAAGTTTCTGGATTTTCTCAAGATTTTTCAAATAGAATTTATTTATTTAATTTGTTAGTACTATGACTGATGATGACAATTTGAATGGTCGAAACATATCTCAATCAAAACTAATGAATCAGAATGGACTGTACACTTCACCAATAAACTCGTGGAGACGACTTCGAGTTTTTTTCTCTCTTAGATCAATAATTTTGTTGAAAGTGTTTTGCACTCATTGAATGATGAAGAGGTACTTATTAATAAAAGAGGTCAAACTTATTTCCGTGGAACATCTACTTTGTTTTTAACTGTTCTAGAATACTGTTCCCACATATGGGGTTCAGCATCAAAACATACGCTGATGCTCTTAGATTCCATCCAGAGAAGAGCCATTCGCCTGGTGGGTGACGCCACACTCACTCACTCTTTCACCGTAGAAAGGTCGACGACCTTTCACTTTTCTATCGATACTTCTACGGGAAATGTGCTTCGGAAATCTCTGCTATCATCCCTTCACTAGCAATACCAGTCAGACGAACTAGACAAGCCCAGTCAGCACATCCTTTCGTTGTCAACCTCGCGAGATGCCGAACAGCACTTTATCAAAACTCCTTCATCCATAGAACGACTAGGCTCTGGAATTCATTGCCTGAGGAAGTATTCCCAACAACATATAATCTCCAGAAGTTCAAAAAAAATTCCAATGCCTACCTCCTATCCCTATCCTCCCTTAGAACGCACGATGTTCTCTGAACATTATAGGGATTCCCTTTCGTGCGCTCCAAGCGATAAAAAAAACTGAAGTTAAGAAAGAATTTCAGGAAATAATTTCACTATTATAGTATTTCGTATTCCATTGGGTATGCACCAGTTCACATTTTGGATTGAACCAACGTGGTGCTGTCGCAAAACTGGTGCATAACCAGTGCACCACCAGGTTAGGTTAGGTTAGGCACCAGGAATGACAGATTTCATTACAATAAATAGTTGGTAATTGAAAAAAACATTGCTATCCCACTTCGACAGATTCCAATAAACTGAGGTCTAGACAACTAAATCCAATTAACATCTAACCACTAAATAATTCAGCTTGCACTTAGTTTCAATGGATCGAAACCATCAGACCCGCTTGTTTCTTCATGTACCGTTGTGCGTGCTTATGTTTACAAATCAATCAGGTGATAGTGGAGCAGCTGGACT